CCCTGTCCTGCAGTTTCAGGACGGTAGTTTGCGCCTGTTTCCTACAGTAGCCTTTGGGAGTCGAGTCTTACATTACTAAACACCGTTCTCGTTGTGAAATAACAAGTAGTCTGAACAACTTCTGAGTGATTTACAACAGTTTAAAAACTACACTCTACACAGTGCTGATGTGCTTCCTTGTACAGGAGTGAGCTCCCATACAGCTGTTAGCAATTCACCCGGGTTGCCTCGGCAACGCTGCAATGGAAAATTCATGGAAACTTCCACGTGGCAAAGGATTCTGGGAAAGCAACCCAGCGCCGGGGGTCGATTCGTTAGTCCCACACTTTGTTTTCACATGCAGTTCACTGCACGGGGGGACATGGCGATGTCTCAAAACTAATTCAATCATGACAAAACTTTAACCGGATAGTAGAGCAGCACCCACAAAATATCAGTGGGGGAGTGGAGGAAAGTTTGTGGGAAGCCCCCCACCCCCTCAGCCCCTCTATATCTGGCTGCATCGGAGTCAGGACACTGAACATCCCTAGGACTGAGGCTCGCCTAAATATAGTCTCGGTTGAGGGATTGGGGGGGAGGGAGAGGGGGGTTTGAGAGAGCGAGAGAGGGAACATGACAGAGAAACAGTAGGAAAAGTGTAAGAAAGGAAACAAGGATAAAAGCAGTGGGAGAGTATGGTGGGGGGGAAAAAGTGAAGCTAGACCGGGCTAACATACCATTACGCGCTCGGATTTTGCACAGTTGCACGTGTGTGTGTGTGTGTGTGTGTAAGCGATCTAACCCGCCAGCTGCTTGAGTCAAGGCATGCCTCCTGAAATAAATAGATGCGAGCAGCAACTCTCTCGCAGCTGAGCGTCACAAATCACAGCCGAGGAAATCCTATACAAGCCTGAGATGATCATTTCCATCTGTTGGCTACATCAGCTCCACCCTCCCCCGACGTCCCCGTGTTACACAACGTCACAATACAAGTTCTGTAACTGCAATCAAAGTCAAACAAAATCGTTAGTCATCACGTGTTTTCCCTTTTTCGTTCCTCCGTTATACTGGAGGCGACGTTCTAGATCTCCACGCTTCTCCCAAACCAAGACCTACGAGCAAGGCTCTCTGGTTGAATCCACACACAACGCCTGCATTCTTTTGCACGAATAAAGCAGAATTAATGAAACAATAACATATATAACAAGGCGTTGGACACTGACTGTGGCCAGTGTTCGTCTCCAGGGATATTGTCACATTTTCTGGTTCAAATTGTCTAGACGATGTATGACATGATTTCACAGCTGCAAGCCAAATGTCAAAACTTCACTATTTGACTGATTTGCAGATTCCAGACTATCCAATATTTCTCCTAATTTCTATACAGCATAGTGGGAACTGAGCCATCTTCATCACTGGCCACTGTGAGCCACTGGCATGTAAAAAGAGTCATCATGCAAGATAATGTGAAGCTGGAAACTGTACATCAAGAAAAAAAAAAATGGAGGGACAGTCATATGAAGCGATACAAGCGTTCACTTTCTTGCCGAGAGTTAAACGAGACGCTCGCTTGCTCAGAATTCACACCTCAGGAGAGGAGCCTGCTCTATATCTGTATACGTCCACCCTCTCTGCCCGTGCTGCTCCCCGTCCGGACGCAGTGCCTCCTCGCATTAGGCCACGCGATTGCCAGAGACGGGGAGAACAAGCGAGGCACGGGGCTCTTTAGCTGGTTGAGCATGAAATCTAGTTAGCTTTTTTTTTTTTTTTAAACAAGCAAGTGAGAGCGGTGAAAAAAATGGAGCAACGGGTGACAGAAAAAAAAAAAAAACTGTGGGAGAAAAATGGAGGAAGGAGACAAAGTCGCTCGGTGACTGAGGCCGAAGCCAGAAAGTAGCATGTGATCACGTCTCGGACTGGATGGCAGAATTCATGCACATTGCGAGCACACATGAATAAGTGCATGGAGCAAAATGTCCCACGTACAAAAAAAGACGTGTAGGATCCCTGTCTTTTTCTCTTTACCTCCGATTTCTCAATGTGCCAGCCTGGCGCCGACATCTCTGGGGCTCGAGTCGACGACATCAGACTTTGCGTTTCAGATTCGATGATGTTAATCATCTGCCTTCGGGCCCCAAAGGAACAAGATAAAGAAGATGCACTGGAGGGGGGGGGGGCGGCGCGCCGGACGGAGAGCAAGACGGACAGGGAGAGCGACGAGGAGGATCGTGAGAAGGGACGCGGGGAAGGGCGGCGAGGAAGAGCGGGGACATGGAGATCTGAAGCTGAGAGATGCTGGCATGTGAGGTTAGAGATGGAGCCCAGAGAGGCAGTCGCACTTCAGGCCATGAGGCAGAGGGGATGTGGGGGTGGGGGGCGGGGGGGGGAAGGACACGGCCAGTGTGCACGTACTGTGTGTAGCCCTCTGTTTAAGTCACACGGACCGTGAGCTTGTTAAAACCTTTGCTTAACCACAGTTCGGAATTTCCCGGAGGGAAACACACTGGGTCGGTCCGTCCGTCCGTCACCGCCCTTCTATCTGGTTTCTCCGCGTCTACCCGGGACTTTCACCTTGAGGAGTCGACATGAAGCTTGTCACTCAAAATCACCGTCACCGCGAGAGCGCAGCATGAGGAATACAGGCGGGGACGACGTGAGAAAGGGAGGGTTTTTTTTCTTCATCATCCTCCTCCGCAGAGAGAGAAGTTGAAAATGTGATGCGAGATGACTAGTTGATTTCGTCCTTTTCCACCTTCAAACAAAGCCTGCCAGTTGTCTTGTGAACTTTAATATTGTTTTTTTTCCCCCCCATTGGTGTGCAGACGGCCAATTTCCCTCCATTAGACCACTGTGTCTATGTGAAAGTCGGCCTGTGTGAATAACGTGTAGCTACACAACCCACAGATCAATCCACTTAGTGCCAATGAAAACTAGGGAGTGGGCCGGCCACTCTGCTAGTCTGACATCACGCCACTCGGCCATTAGGCTGAGTGCCATCATGGCTCACCAGCTCTCCGGAGGACTACACGAGGAGCATTCAAGGCCGAACGCTGGGGTCCGGCCTCCGGCCGAACCATCTGGAATCATTAAACCTGTTGATTAAGTGAGAAGCAGCCGGGTTGAAACGGGCTCACGGGCCTACGTTTGATTTAAAAAAATGTTGCATCTGTTAATATTCCACTACAGATATAGAGGTTATGAGTCAGATTTAGACAGAGTGAAAACATATCTTGAGTTCACGACCCATCTGGGAGGGAGAGGAGGGAGTTGGATGCCCATAGTTGGAGGTCAAAGTACTGTGATGAATAAAAATAGCTAAAGCTGTAAACTATTAATATTATGTTGGACTGGGTATTATACAGGGCGGTGCGGTGGTTAGCACTGTCGCCTCACAGCAAGAAGGTGCTGGGTTCGACTCCGCCCAGTGGCCTCTCTGTGTGGAGCCTGCATGTTCTCCCTGTGTCTGCGTGGGTTCTCTCCGGGTTCTCCGGCTTCCTCCCACAGTCCAAAGACATGCTCTGGGGAAACTGCCTGTAGATGGGTGAATGTGAGTGTGAATGGTTGTGTGTCTCTGTGATTGGCTGGCGACCAGTCCAGGATGTACCCTGTCTATTGCCCGAAGTTGACTCCAGCCCCCCTGCGACCCTGTGTGCAGGATAAGCGGTTGGACAATGGATGGATGGGTATTATACATCCATATAGGAGGTGGATTAAGGAGGGGTTGTAATACACAAATGGAGCACATAGACATTAGATATTTTTTTAAATGACTTTGGTTCTCAAGTCTCACAATATGCCCACATGGTCTAGAGAAAGATGGGACTTTGAGAGATATTTATGTAATTAAATATATTGTTCCAAGTATGTTGTTCATCAATCAATTAGTTCTTCACTCGAATAAGTGTTAAAATATCAGGACCCAACGATACCCAAGTTCCCAGGACCCAAATAGACCTCTTCACACTGCTTGTGTTAAGCAACCTTCGAAAATCCCCAAATACTCAAATTAGCATCAAAGCAGAAATAGAAAACTCGTCTGAAGGTTCTACAGCAAAGGTTTGAGATCCTCATGAGGGACATGCCTTGCAGGCATGATTCATTTGACAGTGAGTCACATCCCCCCCTCCCCCATCCCCACCCAGAGGTGTCAAAAGTATCCATTCATTACTGGAGTAGAAGTATTGATACCAGGGTTTAAGAAGACTTGTGTAGACCCCTGTTATAATGATGGGAAACACTGAACGGGCAGCGCTCGGTCATCAAAACATTGGCCAAATAAACATTTTTTTCAGACTTTATGAGCAACGTGTTGTGCCACATTCTCAATAAAGTTAGAAAAAAGCCATGAAGATACTCATTTAAGGTTACATGGGATCTGCATGAGGAAGAAGGGGAGGAGGAGGAGGGTCCATGTCGCTAAATCCCAACTGAGATCGGCTTGTGCCGTTCTGAAAAGGATCCTACTACCGACCACCGGAGGAACCGACCACCGACCACCGACCGATCTCCGCCCCCGGCGTCGCTCTGATCTGCAGGTGCATCGCGGAGAAAACCAGTAGGATGTCTGAATGGTGAATGTTTAAACTCATCCAACCACAATCAAATACTCTCTATCCGGATGGCGAGATTTATCTGGATAGGGTTTGGTGTGCGTGTGTGTGCGCGCGCGCGCGCCGGAATGAAAACAAGCCAAAAGAAATAGGAGTAAGTAAGACAAATAAACACTCCAGTGAAGTATAAATACCCCAAATGGCTCAGGGTAACGTAAGTAAGGTAAAGGTAACTACGTATTTGTACTTCGTTGACCCCCCCCCCCCCCCCCGCACACATGGACAGTGGCTCCCGAGAATCCCGTTTCAGGCGAGTGTATCCGAAGTCATTCCTCACTCGGGTAGGACAAACTTTCTCACTTTCCCACCGACCGCGTCCGACAGTTTTACAGACAGATGCACGACACCGAAGGCGAAACGCGACCAAATGCCTTTTTCTGCCATTACTTCCCCCATCAAAGCGGCACTCACATCTGCGAGGTGGGAAATTGTCCCGTCCGACACAGACGAGATGGTTGACAGCAGTAAAAGTAAACAGACGGAGTAATCCATGGTTTGGTTCTAAGTTCCCCCGCAACCAGAAAAAAAAATGGAAGAAGATTCACATATAAAAAACAAAAATTAAAAAAAGGTTCTACAAATCCACAGCGCCGTGCGTGCGTGCTTCTCTCAGCCAAACGCCTCACACCGCCATCGGTGCGCGTTTGGAAACAAATCTCATCTGGTGTCTCATCATGTCCCTCCCCCCCTCCTCTCCACCTCTCACCCCCCCCCGTGGCGCTGAGGAGGGAGCTTTTTTTTGGTTCTGCCGTGTGCGCGCGCGTGCGCGTGCGTGCGTGTGACTATGATATGAGCGTCTCAATCTGCGATTGGCCATTACAGCAGATCTACGGCGTGCGTCAAAAACGAAAGAGAAGTGGTAGAAGAAGAAGAGGGGGGACGGGGACGGGGGGCGCGTTTGGATCCTCCGGCCTCTCTGCACACTGCAAGAAATACCAGCGCGTCATCGCGCACGAAGTTTGCTACTTTTGTCACGGGGGGAGTTTGTTGGAGTTATGGAGACCTCGACACATCGCGTGCGTCCTTTTCACCATCAACTTTATTTAGACAGATATACGTATAAACACGTTTTTTAATCTTTAAAAATGTTGACTGAAGTGGGGTAAAAAGTGTTATGTTTATTCATTGATGGTATTTAATTACATAAGTTAAGATTTACACACAGTGTGGATTGGTGTTAGAGGCATTTTCTTCAGTGTATTCTGACGCCCATTTACGCACGTCTTTCACCCGTTTGTCAAGCAGACTCCCTTCCTGTCTAAACCCCGCAATTCCTCCAGAGAAATAGGCAGCTCTCCTCTTGTTATGAACCTCACAGGAAGCGTCTGATCAACAGAAGGCAAACAAGTAAGACGAAGAATGATCTATGGTTGTTTTGTTTCCTTAGAAATCATTTGTATTCACTGCAGCCTTCAAGCACAGCATCACAGAACGTGTTCTCCAAATTAGACCTGACGTTCACAGAGCTTTGTTATCTCTCCTCAGTATCCTTCATAAACAAGGACACACCAAAAAAAAGCGGTTGAGTTTTGAGAGCAGATAAGGACACTTTGCCTGTCTGAGTGCGTTATTTGCTGAAACCGTTTTAGGGCCTTGAACCTGACTGCTCTCCGTGTCACATTCTGCCAAACACTGCAAGGATCTAGGTTTCTTTGTTATCATTTTAAGCCATTATTCATTTGCAACAGTGCAATTCATCCCCAGAAAAGTAATAATAAATTCCCTTGCTTTAAGGGCTGTGGCAAATTTGATTTGACCCAACGTTCATTTTTTGCTGGGACACTAAAAGGTAAAAAACAAGAATATACTGGATTTTTTCATTCCAGAGCCCCGTGTTACGTACACAACTAATCTCCTCAGAGCAAAGTTATTATTCCTAAAAATATATTATTGTCATCTTGCTTGCGCATACCTGCACTGTATTTACCCTCAAAGCGTCACAGCAGACAAAACAAGTCAGAATGTTGCTCACCTGCAGCCGTCAAATGGATCCTAGGTTAGATTTACTTGGTAAAATCGCTCTTGGTTTCACTGTAACTCATAAAAACTGCTCCTCTGGGGGCTTTTGCAAGGCAGAGCTCAGAGGTACTCCACCTCTGATGAGTGTCTACAGATAAGCAGTGAAGAGGCAGGTTAAACGGAGCAAAGTCGGTCTGGGTGTATTATATATAGAGATACAAACACACTGCATGGTACACTTTGGTGATAGGAAGTACCAGTTATTATGACCAAATGACACAAACATATTAAATATTGATACATGGGATTCATGCATCTGTAAGGAAATCAAAGGGCACCATGAGTTGCCACATACGATAATCCAACACCGATCCCTCATGCTGCTTCTGTGGTTGAATCAGGCAACACTGCGTTAAATGGGATTATCACAAGGATCAGGTTTGTTTTACAAAAGCAAATTCAGAAGACTAAATACACCCGATTGCCTTAAAGGTTTGGATAACGGAAGTCTGTTGTGGTTGTGTGGATATTTCAAGCTGATATTATACATGTCTTTGTGTCAATTGATTCAATAACAAAACTCAGTTTGCTGGAACGACTTTTTCTTCTTTTGTTCATTGTGGTTTTAAAAGCCCCAAACTTACTTGTTTAGTTAACTACATGAACAAACTGTGGAACCTGCACACCACCAATAAGCCGTAGACAGACTAAGCTTATGTAGCCTGAAAGAGATCAGATATGTCAAATTAAAAGAAGAGTGAACATAGAGCTTTCATACACCAGGTGGTCAAAAACAAAGGGCCGTTTTCACTGGACATTTTCAATTAAACCTTTTGAAATGGTTGTATGGCTCACCGTTTTGCAGACCACTGCTCTTTCCTGAATCTGTGGACCACTAGCACATTTCTTCAGGTCCCTTTTCCACCAAAGAGCCTCAAAACAGGTCAACTCAATAGGGCAAGTGTGTGTAACAGCAAGAGACAGCGGGGTTTTGTGTAAAGGTTGTGCTTCTGAGTGAATCGGGAATGTTTGTCCGCCTGGCAGGCGGCAGGTGCGTCCTCTGTCACCAGCCCCCGACCCCGCCCACCTGTCCGGGGAATTGCCCGGCCGCTGTTGCATAGCAACCCCTTCTCCGTCTCCACGCCGACTCCTCAGCAGCGAGCCACAGAGGCTGTTGTTTTCCCGACCAGCGAGCACACATCAGTGAGCGTGTTCACTGTGGGAGCAGCACAGAGAGGGCAGCAGACAGTACGACGGGAAGCAGAGAAAGGAGAAGTTCTTCAAAGAAAGCTGCTGGAACATAAGATTAAAAGTGGGCATTTTCATCCGAACACATATTCGTGTTTTGTATTAGCAGCACCAGAGGGTCTAGTATTGGCTTTCATCTAAAGAAACGTATGTTTTATTAAAGGATATTTTTCAATGGTTTCAACCCACTGGAGTAAACTCATTTTTAATATCAGAGCGGAGACGAGAAAGTGGCGCCATATGAGGTTTGATTTTTAAAATGTAGCTGCTCATTAAAACACATTCGCAGGGCAAAAGCCTTTTTTTTAAATTCAAATTACGTTTGAAATGCACCCAAGGCCCTTTTTTCCCACATCAAATTATACTTGGTGAAGAGTGTTTTTTGGCCAGCTTCCGCATTTCTGATTATTTTAGTATTCATGGTGACTTTTCTTAATGCTGATGTTTGGAAGAAGAAATGCCGGTTGTAGGCACACGACACGATGAAGCATCTGTCAAATAGGACTCCTGTGAGAAGTTTAAATGTCACCATCACATCCTCTCACATTTTTCTCCCCCTATCTTGCAAGACAAAACATGTATATACAACACAGTTAAGCTGTTGTTACTGGGAAAATTCAAGAAGCTACATTCATGCAAAGAAACCCTCCATTATGCCGTAACCCCGCCTCTCTTCTAACCCTACAGGCCGCTTTCATTTATTAAATCTGTGTTCCAAAGGCAGCAAATCTATTGAATTATTCTTCTAAAACATGGTGAAGCTGCATACTGCGTCTCTACACTCAATATTTTGTAGACTGTCATTGTTGCATATCTCCACGTTTGTGTTTGACTGACCGTCAGTAACAAAAGAGCTTTTGTAGGTCACCGTGCAAAGAAAGCATCTGTTTTTCGTGCAGCACAGGCTCCTCCTTTGTGACAGTCGGCGTGGTTGCGCCTTGTTGACTCAGGGAAAGAGAAGTGATGAGCGACTGTGTGCGATATGACGTCTCACTCGGGACAGGGGACGGACGCCTCAGTGTCCTCCGTGCACTGACTGATCACATTACTATTAGCGAGAGCCATCCTGTCAGGAGGAGAAGTTACGGCCCAGTGAAGGAGGCCTTCGGGGGGCTGGAACCGGGAATCCAGTGACGGGACTCCAAGATGAGTGGACAAGAAGGGTCTCAGCTTAAATTTTATTTTGCTTATAAAACAGCGTTTCCTTCATCCACTAAGATTTGCATCAGTACTTTTGTTTGCCTTTGATAAATAAACACATTTGACGGATTTAATGGCGCCATGTTGCAAGAAAAAGAAAAAAAAAAAAACTATCCACATGCAACAAGTGGATCTGAAGGATGTTTTATTAACAAATGTATCCAGTCTTTCATTTCATTTTTTTTTTTTACTTGTATACTGTATTTATGTCCCATGTATGTTTCCAGCCTATCACGTTATCGGATATGGAGCTGCTGAAATCACTCACTGGTTGTGACAGCACATCTGTCTGTGTCTCGTCGTCCATAACAAAACAGGAAACAATGCTCCGGTCATTAAATCACCGTCCAGATGGTTTTCATCCAACAGCTCTCTCTCCCTGTAATTGAGTTACGATTTCTCTGGGCAAACCGGAATGATCCAACCGCGCGGTGAAGTGATATTACTTCTTCATGAACAGTCGCCATGTCCCTGCAAACTCTCAATAGCCCAGCAAATAGATGTTTGGGTCTCTTTGTTCACGATTTCCTCTTCTCCGGGGATCGAACGGCGCTTGAACCCTGATTGACCTCGCTCGAGTCGACGCATCTGGCGACAGCGACCGACGCGGCCTCGCCAAGTCGCCGGCCGCCTTGATCGGCCTCGCGGCTCGGTGAGTCGCAGACGGCTTGGCCGTTTTCCGGGTCCCCGCCTGACGCAATTGGGGCCACATCTTTGAAGGCGAATAGGAGGAGGAACAAAGGCGTCTTTGGAAGTAAAAAAGGATCTGAGGGAGACGACCGGATGGGGGAGGCGTTGAGAGGGTGAACATGAAAGACAACACAGGGAACGTTAAACAACAGAGGGGGACAGAAACGGGCGTCGATGTGGACGGCGGAGCGAGATCTAACAGGAGGGAGGGCCTGGCACCCTTTGATCAAATATTACACGGTGTCAGCAAGAAACACAAGTTACGCCTTCCAGCACCGAGTGATGACGTGAAATTAAGGGAAACTAAAGAAAACACAACTACTCACCAAAAATGGTGGACAGACGGAGAGATGCACACTCACGGAGATAACTGCTAACCTAGGCGGTCCATTTAGACGTCGTTAAGAGACAAGGAAATAGCGCTACATCAGATCTATCCACTAAGCCAGCAGTTGCTTTTCTAAAACTATTCTTGAAGCCGTTCGTCAAACTTTCTAAATATTTGGAGTCCAGAGCTCAGCGCTCTGTATTTAAAAAGTTATCTTTATTTAGATTTACCGTTTGCATCAGGGCCGTTTATGGTGTCTGCAACAGGTGTTCATGCAAAGATTATATTTACACCAGATCAACCAGGCCCAACTTTAGTAATCACATGACCGGACAGTCCTGGATAGCATTTAAGAGCAGCGAATCACCCAAAATAACAACATGACTCCTATGGCCTGTTATTGAAACACACACACACACACACACACACACACACACACACTAAACACAAATAATGGAAGGCATAAGTAAAAATCCAGGAGAGATCATCTCATAAAGACATGGGGATGTGACTCTGCAGAGTGGATTTCTCACTCCCTCTGCTGGGGAAATAAATGGACAGCGCTCATATTTCTGTATATATTTCCTATGAAGAGTGTAATGTTATGCGTGAGCACAAGCTGTTTTTAAACTTTACAAGACAAGCGGGATGAAGTGAAAGGAAGTTTTTTAAAATTAAAAAAATAGAAAAGACAAGTAGTTCTGTCTTCTCCCAGTGGAACAGAATGTTTTGTCCCCCAAATTTAAAGCAGCAGATCCTTACCAGCCACAAAAATTCAATCCAAACATACTTTCACATTACAAATTCAGGGAGTTAAACAGGCACATTCCTGAAGTCTTCCTCATTTGGCACAAACTGACTCCTCAGTGAAGTGTGTATCATTATCTGCGGTACCATATTACAGTTAATGCGAGGAATTTACCAAATTAGGACTGTTGACATCTTTGAAATAAGCGTTCTCACCAATTCCCAGTGCACAACCCACCACTGCCGTGTTAGGGCCGCCGGCGAGGTGAACGCCAACGACCATCATAAATTGTGAGGACACTGGAAAAGGACACACAAGCAGGCGGATATTCGCCGTGGCGGATTGTTTGACTTAATTTGCACCGAGTGAGCGAAAGATATATACAAGCTCGTCCTTTTCAAACCAAACATCGGGCACTGTTGACCCAATACGAGAAAAGAAGAGGACACGAGAGGCCGGACCACCCATGATTTCCGCATCAGAAAACAAAACCTAGAATAGGTTGACAGAACATCTGGAGGGTTATTTTATTTTTGTGCGCGAGTGAGAACAGAATGTGCTTTGCAAATGTATCGAGTCTAATTAACAAACTCTGCCCTTCACGGTGCAGCAGAAGACGGATGCGTCAAAAAGAGCCACACGTCACGGTAGAATTAACACATCAAGCACAGGAAATAACAGAGAGAAGCAGTAAACTTAACCACAGTCCAGCACACGTAGACCATTCATTAGCTTTTGGTCTGCCTTCGTGCATCTCTCTCACCTTGACGCTGTACGGCGACTCGTCACGGGAGAGTGGAGCTGTCAATCAAACGCAACGCAACGCTCTCTCACGTCCCAATCAGCCAGTAAGTGAGAACACCTGTAAACACAGCAGCGCGAGGCACCTGAGAACGTGACCGTGGACTCAAAATGAGAGCATGGCCCCATCTAGCGGGCGCTGTCTGCTACTTCACACGCCACATGATCTGATAACTCGTCATGAAATCTGAGTGTGAGGGTGAAAACCCCTGTTTTTTTTTATATCAGATCAGTAATGCACTTCACAAAAGCATGTAATTTGTACTGATATTTAATATTTAGACATGGGGCAACAGCCATTTTTACAGCACAATTTGCATAATTTATCAATACCTCCTGTATACAATCACAAAACCATGACAGTAGTTTTTTTTTTTCTGTTTACTTACAAGTGAAAAACCAGACGGGTTTTACAAGCAGAATCTTTGAACAGTCAGCAAACATCTTCAATAATTTGAATAGGTTTTCTTCATAATTTAACCTTCTAACAGCATTTTTGTTCTATATCTTTCTGTACCTCTTTCTTTTTTTTTTTTTTTCTTTAATAATATCTGGACACAAAAATAGTATGAACCACCAACGAAACATGCAACATCCAGTGTGAGCACATTTAAATTATCCTGCAACTGCTTGTGTTGTTGAGATATAGTTCTGTGTAGTTACTCTGGTAAACCTTCATTGTTTGGTGTAAAGTGTCGGGTAAATCTGGGTCTCTGTGGACGGACGTGTGGTTGTTTCACAGTCTATCCACCGTATATTGATTGAAAGAAAACTTCCTTTTACTTCTATGATCACACGCCCCTTTTGTCTGCTAAAAGACCTATTGCTCCCCAAACCCCAGTATAAAAAGCTATGTATTTACAAGGTTGGAAATAGAGAGATAGCATCTGTGTGTGTGTGTGTGTGTGTGTGTGTGTGTGTGTGCGCGCGTGTGAAAGAGTGTGTAATTCTTTGTCACGAGCTATTTTAAAGTCAATAGATTTAGACGGACAACACTTAAAAGAAGAGGTATGCATTACAGCGAATGTCATGCATGGACTCGGTATGAAGATGCAACACACAAGCACATGAATATGAAAAAAAAACACACACTGAACACTACTATCATAGCAGGTATAACGTTCACTGATTACAATTGGTCTTTTTTTGTAATATCACGTACAAAAAGGAAAAACAATTCAAATGGGGAGTGCACATAAATTGGAATATTTGGAATAAGGATGGTGAGTTTTTCTTAGCTTAATTCCTATGTGGAATTTTGGGTTTGTGCATGTAAATTGCCATATGTGAGTGTGTGTCGGTGCCAAGGAGTTTCAGGCCTTCTAAACCTTGTAAACAAGTACTACATTGCGTATAAAACAAAATTTCACATTGTTTTTTATATGTACACCTGATATGTCCTGTAAACAAATAATACAACATATAAAATAGTCTCACAGAGAATAAATTAAGATTCATATTAACAATACAAAATGAGATGAATAACTAAATGTAGAAAACAAATCACATTAAAGCAATAAACATAGAGAACATGAAAACACTGCGTTGCAAAAGAAAAATCTGTATAAATGCTTTCACTCATCTCACGTTTCTGGCAAGTCAAGATGCAGCGGCGACCTGCACATGGTTGATGTTGCATAGAAATCACTCAGATGTTAATTTTCACTAAGTCAGACTGAAAATAATGAATGAACCAGCTGTCCCCCGCCTGCATCTCGACCCCCATTCAAGCGCACACAACGATTGTTTTCAAGACACAACGGACAAAGTGGACGTGTAGTCACAACATTGGTGATCTCAACTCTAAGTGGTAATTACAAGACAACACATTTATGACGATAAAGCCAACATGCTGCTGTAATAGCATTGTCGTGTCTTTAGAATGGTAATGGAGCATTTTTCTATCCTCTTTTAATGGCGTCGCTATATTTTAATTCTCTACTTCCTCCCACAGGAAAGAAAAAGAAAAGTCTGGCTATCTCATGTCTAGCAGGAGGATTTACATTCTAGGCAGAAAAAGTGCAAAATACCACACAAGCGTACCACTCCCATAAATGGAAGCAGGACTGATATGATAATAATAATGTGTCTGGATGTAACAAGTAAAAAATAAAAATGTTACACATTCTAAAGGGCATCATGGGTAAATAAAACCTCTATGTCACAATCATCAAGACTTGATTGTCTGTGATAAAGATCTATATATCTATCTATATATGTTTATTTCCGGCTATGATACTATACTATATACAAAGTGAACCTTAGATGTGAACATTTGTTTGTGCAGAAAATGTGGCCCAGCATACCATTTAGATAGACTCATGCGCAAAATATGTAGTGTCTACTTTGATATACACACATATATATATCAATATCTTTCATTATCAAACAACAGTTTCTTTGATAGAACTGAGTTTACACTTACAAGGAGAAAAAGAAAAAGTGAACAAGGAGATGTTCGTTTTAAATAAATGTATGTTTGCTGAGATTTCCTTTCTTCCTCTGGAGCTGGAACGCTAAGTAGTTTGTTATAAAATAGACTATGTGTCCTTTACAGGATCGATTTTTTAGGTACTTAAACAATTGAGGAGAAGTCAAATGATAGAACTCTACGTTAATATCATAATACAAAAATAAAGAGAGTTCTCCGTAGCGGAGTCTTCCATATTTCATTTCCAAAATGCTTTGTAAATCAATAAAACTCTGCACTCATAGTAAAGCAATGGAGAAAATCTGTCATGGATAAAACATCTAAATAAATAAATTAGAATCCACAAGTGTGTCCATTCCCTGTAGAATTAAAATGTCTCTTCTGCGCAAATGAGTGTGCAAAGTTGTCTTAAATAATTGTGTGCATGTGTTTGTGTGTGTGTGTGTTTTGTATTAAAATGTTTAATACCTGGTTGATTACGTGCTTGACCTATGAACTCAGCCCCCGGGCCACACTGCTGTACACCGTACGTCCTGTAAACGTGTGTTCATTTCCTGTAAACGCATTCACTCCTCCCCTCAAAACTCCCCCGCGTGACAGAAATCATCATCACAATTCGCCCCGACGAAGAAAAACAAAGACACTCCGAGCCCTGAAAACAAAGATCAAAGAAAGAGATCATTCGAGCCCCCTTTATCCTCCACCCGACCAGAGCGGATCGGTGTCACAGATGTGGGACCTAAGCGTCCCCCAGGCGAAGGGGGGGGGGGGGGCTCCTGGATTGCCCTGTGGAGTTCAGTTGTTCTGTGGATTGAGCCCCCCCCTATGAGTGGATCTGGGCCGTGCTGGCGAGCAGCTTGTGCCAGCCCACCACCCGCTTGCGCAGGTCGACCTTGTCCAACCACACGTAGGCCTCCCCGATGAGAGTCTTCTTTACGAACTTGCCCCCGTTGGACACCAGGAAGAGCTTGGGGGCAAAGGGCATGAATCAGCGTTTCATGTAGATTGGACATTTTCAAAGGAATATTTGGACTTTTCAAGAGAGCCGTTTCCCCCTTTTCACAAGATAATTGTCCCCTGGTTCTTCTAGCTTAAAAAACGCAGAAACTTTCTCATCTAATCTAATCTAATGACATCCGAAGCTCTCGTCCCGAGGGATGGATTAGGATTACCTGTAGCGAGTGTCCGGCCGGGTTCATACAGAAGCGGAAGGTTTCGTTGAAAGACGGCTCCCGGTCGTGACGGCACACTCTGGTCTTCTTCTTGATAATTCTCTTCTGGGTGGCGATGTTCACCACGTAAAGCTTCACGTAAAGATCTGTGGACACACGCATACAATAAACATTATTTTTGGCTCTCGTATCTCTTATTTGGCGCTCCATGAGGAGAAAATAGATGCACTTCGCCAACAATAGTCTTGGTGATGAGAGTCATTGCTGCAGATTCTGTACATTCTGCGATGGAAATAGCCCTCTGCATGCAGATCCAATCTGGAAGCAGATCAAGCAGGCGGCGAGTAGCTCGGGTGGTCACGTTAAGAATATAAGAGCAGGCGAGGTGGGCGGCAGTCCGCGTTCTAACGTGGGAAGAGAAGCCTGTAGCCCAGAGACTCGGCCGTCCAGCGTTCGTAATCGCATTCTAAATCCTCAACGCTGTTGTCTACATATTGCAGCTGGTTTTCTAAACTCTGATAGTACAAGTGAATTGTACTTTTGATACTACTGTTATTCTACTGTATTCAAAGTGCGCACACAGGTACACCCCCCCCTCCCATCTCCAGGCTGCCCCTTTAGTTACCCGTCTTTGAGCACGCCATTATTGGCCACTAGGTGAAAATGTTTAATGATAATATCTAAGGCAATGTCGAAGGAAAAGACACGACCACCTCGACACCTGAGCGTCTGCACTCAGAAAAACTGGCGAGGATTCGCGTGTGAGCTGCCAGTCCGTCCTGACAGCTCGGGCTGTGTGGGCCTCCCAGCTGTCACGTATTAAAGAGACGTCAAAGACTTTTGACAGAAATAGTGGATTATTCAACCAGATGGTAATAAATGAAGTTCCCACCGTTGATGATAATGTTATATATACTTAAAATATAAGTGTGTGTGCGGTACACTACCAGGCAGGTGGTCCGGAGTCTTGAACTTGTAAGTGATGTTGCGGCATTGGAGAATCTCAAGGACTAGTTGCTCTCCCTCCGTCTTGATCTCCTTCTTCAGGGCAATCTTTATCTCCCCCATTACCTGGGACTTACCTGAATACACACACACACACACACACACACACACACACACACACACACACACACACACACACACAAACGGAATCAGGTCGGCACGGTGACAGAAACAAACATACATACTTCTCTGCTCTCTCACTCCCTCTTTAAAATCCGCCGTCTACTGGCGTGTGACTGCCCTCCGCTGGGTAAAAGGTGCACTATTGCGACGGGTAATATCAAACACAGCCCAGCATGTTCCTTCGTTTAACACGGAGGGGTAGAAGCTTCTGGTTGCCGTGGAAGCCTCTGCGTGTGTGTGTGTGTCAACGTGACATAAAAAGACAACCGGCAGCAGACGAAGAAGAAGAAGAATCTGTGCCGATGAGAATACCCACGTTAATTCGTTCTCCCAAAAGTGGGTGACGCTTCGGTCTCACACTCAGCTGTAAATGTGAAAGTGAGATCATAAAACCTCTTTCTACCTTTTTGAGGCTATTTTCACACCATCGCTTTAGCGATAATAATTTGACTCAAAAGGTCACAGGAAGGGAGGTGAAATAAGGAAAATAACCAAGATAGCTGAATAAAACTAACGTGTGTATGAATCAAATAACAGGCCTCCACGTAATGAGGATGAAGCATGAATGCGTTTTAATAGAAATATATATTTATTTAATCACTTAATTAATAATTCAATTTAGCTTAATTTGCTGCTTGAAGCAGGATATCTGAATGAATACAAACGGGTAGTAGTAAAAATGCATTGATCAGTGTAAGGTTTTTAATAAAAATAGGCTTGAAACACACACACACACACACGCTTACGCACACATGTACTGTTTGTCTAACCTTCAATCTCACCGGGTACCAATGATGATTTCATCTCATCCGTGCCGTTTGGGATCTTTCCACTAAAGAGAGGAGACATAAAATCCAGGAAAATGACCAAACTAGACAACAGTTTGTGTGTTTTGCTCTCTTTTATCTACTGCGCAGGCGACTGAAGCTTCGCCTGCATCCAAAGGGTGAAACTGAGGCTCTTTAAGGTGAAAGAATCAAATAGCGGTATTGACTCACAGTCGCGGCACCTGGAAGATGGCACTGTCCACCTCGTTCATCTCTCCCTCCTCGTCCAACAGGCTGTAGGCGCTGCCGCTCAGGCCGCTGTCCAATGAGGCGGCTGTGACCGGAGCATCACCAGACCTGTAGCTCGACCGAGCTGCGCGGAGATACGAACAGACCCATTACGACGAGGAGACAGGATGAAAAATTGAAACCTCGGCCCGGATCCAAGATTGTAAAAACTGGGGCCAAGCGGCATTAGGTACTGTTTGCAACTAAAATCACATCATTGAAACCCGATGCTTAAAATAATTTACGGCGCAGTCAAGAGGAGAGCTTTTTTTTTTTTTTTTTTGCAAAGCACAAAAAGATTGTAATGATTAGCACACAAACGCTGTGGACTAGCAGGAAGCATATGAACAAATACTGTAATACATGTAAAGCTTTCACACAAACAGACAAATTAATCCAGGGAAACATCACATACATGTGTTTATGCAGAAGTGGAGCAGACAAGAGGCACGTCGACCCTACGGACACGGTTAGTCATCTCCATGAACTATTTAGAATAATCTTCTATCTTAATCTTAGCTTTAGTTTAGTTTTAAAAATGATTAAAAAAAACATATTTTCATACCTGAGGATCTTTAAGAGCTTTTTAACGCACCCTGTTCATATGCAAGCTATTTTTTTTTTTTAGATCTTGTTATTTAAGAAATAAATGTTTAAATCCTCAACCAGCTGATCAGGCAGTGCGATGGAGTATGAGTGAAGTGAGAGATGCTTATGTGGTGCAGAACAGAGTCCATGCCGACACGTTTCTTTCTCCCGGCCCAATCAACGTGAGGAGCTCCACTAATACCAGTTCGACAAAAAGCAATAAAACGGAGGAGCGGCGACGCGGCGGTCGTGGCGGTGGCACAGTTTTGGGGGGGGGGGGGGCATCGCCTGGTATTAGTGAAGGGAGTGTGTCTCGCTGCATGGATCTGCGGTGATGTGGCTGAGTGCGACTTCCTCTCTGGCTTCCTGCGGGTGTGCGTTAGTAGCATCGCATCCTCTCTTTCTTTCACTCTCTCTTTCTCTCCTTCGCTCCATCTGTGCCTTCAGTCACACGACAGAGGGGAGACTCTTGGGGGTGGAGGGGGTGAGGGGAGGGGTGGGGGGGGGGGTCAAACGACGCTCACCTCCGGTGCTCTGCGGCCTCTCCTCTGACACGGCTTTCCTGAGGGTCAGGTGTCTGCCGTCCGCTCTGCTCCCTTTGGCCGATGGCGGGTCAGGCGGCCAATCGGACTGGGCTCTCTGAACGGTGAGCACGCCCACTACGCTGTGTCTCTGCTGCCTCAGTGAGAGGCGGCCCCTTTGGCCTGGATGTGATCGTTTTCACGGGTCAGGTGTCGAGGGGTGTCAAAAGGGACCCCGAGGGAAACAAAGGTCATGGGGTCGGGGGAGAGGGGGGGGGGGTTTAAGATGGGAGGAGGGAGGAGCGAGATGGAGATTCAGAGAGCGGTTTATCTTCGCCATGGCAACCAGCTCGACTGTCAGCACATGCAGCCACAGTGTGCACGTTTGCCCCTCCTGCATGTCACTAAGAGGCGGGTTGTGCCGCGTCGACTGAGGTGCATCGTGAGTCCGATAGTTGTTTAAACACAACAAAGGGAAGGGGTGGCGCGGGAGGGGTGTGTGGGGGGTGTTAGTGGACTGCATGCACAGCCAGCTCAGTCGGTGAGCTTCGGGAAACTGTCCGTGGTTTGTTAACGAAAAGAATTTTTTAAAAATAACAACAACAAAAAACACCAAAAGAGGTCCATGGTATTTTGAGGAGGGGGATGAGAGGGGGTTGAAAATTGCTTTAGTTTCCCTGAGGGATCAATGAATTAAAAATTCAACTGTTAGCTGGTGATAAAAACCTGTCCTGGAATCCCGAACGTCTTCCTGGTGCACTGTGCTCCATTGACTGAACTAAAAATAGTCTTTGAGAGCCGGAGGTGTCACCGCGCTCCGGCAGCTATTGACTGTTTTTGCTGATTTGTTCCTTCAGGATTCATCTTGCAGCTCTGTTGTTTCTTCTGCTGATATGACTTTTCTTTCCCGTACTGTCGAACTAAATACTAAAGTTAAGGTTTCAAAAAAATACTCAAAACAGCAAAACAAAACGTAAGTATTTCTGTTTAGCTTCATATTAGATGTTCTACGATTGTTGTATTTTATGAAAAGGTTAAAACTGGCCTTCAACCAGCAGCCGTTACGCCTCTTTGGGTTCAAAAGGGTCAAACTTAGGAAGGTCAAAGACAGCGTGCTGCAGGTGAGGTGCTGGCTCTGCACATTTTTGTGAATAGGCAAGAGAAGCGGCGTGAGGTGGACACACTGAATACAAGGAGGAGGAGAGGACCGGAGGGTGTGCAGGGAAACGAAGTATAGAAAACGTAACCAAATGAACAGGAAATAAAAATAAATAAATAACAGAAGGTAGAACAGATGAGTACGAGAAGGCCATGCTGCGTAGGCTTTATTTGCGTCTTGGTTTACTTGGTTGAAGGCGTTGCGGCAGCTGCTGCTGCTGCTGCTGCGGCTGCTGCTGCGGGGCATCGCCCGTTGCTACGCCGCTGTCCTGATGCCGTTGCCGTGCGGCACTTTTGCTGGAGCGTGAAGCGCCGTGCGAGCGAGCGTGTTGGCTGTGTCCGTGGCTTTGGCCCTGGCCCTCGGACGGGGAAGGCTTCGATGTGCCGGGGCTACTGTGAGATTTCTCGATAGTGGGCACCTGCGTGTCTAAAACAACCAGATTCACCAAATTACCAAATACGCTGTTTTCTAGTTTAGCGAACTTTAGACTCTGTTACCGTTTATGTTTAAGTCTGCGACCTTTAAGCGTCCTCAATAAATTTGATGGTTATTATTTTTAAATCGGGTGAGCATTCAAAGCCTTCCACGGCCATGTTGCCCTTTGCGTTAGAAGACAGACACAGGGGGAGCTAAGGCCTCTGAGCTAGGAGACATTATGACAAACCGAGAAAGCAAAAAGCACAAAGCTGAAGCTACGAAAATGGACATCGGAAGGAAAACAGAACGAGAGAGAGAAACAGGTCGACGGTGTCGCACACGGAAATAGCGGGGAGAGAAGCAGTGACAGGAAGAGAGCAGAAAGTGCGAAGAAGAAAGAAATGGGAGAGTTGAAGAAAGGAGCGGAAACAGAAGAAGCGGTTGTCAGGAGGGGATGGTGATGAAGACAAGCGGACGAGGGAATAACCCCCCCGTGTCCTACCCTTGGCCGGATCTGGAAAAATCCCGTGGCTCCGGCTCTTGATGACGGAGGATTTCGGCGAGTCCTGATTGTCGTGTGCGGCCCCGGTGGTTTTAGGGGACGAGTGCTGTGAGGAGGGTTTAGAGGAGCCGTGTCGGCTCTGGCCCGAGTGGGAGCGCCGGTGGTGGTCCCCCTCGCTCTGCTCCTTGAGGAGGAGCCACCGCGGGACGTTGTCCAGCTGGGCTGTGTTGGACAGGTCAATAAGGACCTGGACACAAACGCGGCAGGTTAGGGGGGGTTTAGGGGGTTTGTTTGGTAATGTTTAGGTACTAAAACTGAACTAATAGGTATAGTGGATGAGCTTTACCTCTCCTAAGAAATCATTAGAGGAGCACTTGTCGTAGTCCCACACGCTCACCTCCAGGGTCTTCTTCCTCAGCTGATACACACGCACAGATAGGAAGTTAATGCATATTCATACTGAAATGCTTTGCTTCGTTATGCATGTGAAGAATTATCTAACGCTACCTCATGGTGAGTTTAGGAGAAATGAACATACGCAGACCTAAATGTGCACTTTGGATGTTATCAGTGTAACATGTTACATGCGATGAAAGGAAAATACCTGCAAATCAATAGTTTGACCAGTGCATGAAAATATTTTTTGGGCCGATTGCCTTAAGGAAAATAAAAACATATGATCTGGGCTTAATGTGTAGACAGATATTCAAGCGCTTAAAAAGGACAGACAACAGAAGTCCATCCATTTCTCCCGGAGTTGATTTGGTTCCAATGAATCTAAATTGGGATCTAAACAGATATAATTAAACCCAAATGGCATATCCATCTGCTCTATTGAAACCAATGGCCACAATGCCAGTCAGCATGCCAGCAGAGAAAAGGCAGAATCGTCCGTTTAAAGTGGAGGTTTGCACATCGCGAGTGCTTCACATACACTGAATACTGTAGGGTTATAGAAAGAATACTACACTGTAGTACTTTACCCAATATTTGCATGCATGCAGCTACGCCTGTGGAAAACGTTTGCGCGACCACGTACTTGCTCCAGGTGGATGTTTTTATAGATGACAGTCTGGTTCCACTCGGGGTTGAGACTTTTGCCCGCGGGTTTGGACCTCCTCTTGTTTTCAGCGCTGGGGGAACACATCACAACAAAATACACCCGGTCACAGAAAAGCCCCCGGAGGATAGCGGACCACTACAATGCAATGAGCATTATATATTGTGCACGATGTAGAAAGTCGAAGGGAGAGAATGAATGTGATGCACATTGTTTGGACGGTAACAATGTATGAGCCTACGTGCATGGACGGCTGGATACGATGTTATGGCAGCTGCAAAAAAGTCCATTTTGATGTCCATCATGTCATTTAGTCTCTTCAAATTTTGATGGTTTGAAGCAAATGAGAAGGTTTGCCAGTTTAGAAAAATAGTCTAATTTATTTCTGATAAAATTCTTATTAGCATTGGTAAGTGTCAATAACTATAATATGTCAATCTGCTTAATAATAGCATGATCTGACATTACTGAGCAATTATTGAACTTGTTTTATAAAAAAAAAAAGTTCATATCCCAGTCTCTGGAATAGTATGAATGACTTGAAAAGATGGATGTTTTTTGCAGAGTTTAGGGTTTCATTTAAGATTGTAGGATGTGAGTAAGTCAGTAAGCGTTAGTTTAGTAAAGACAAGGACAATCTATTGTATCTTTGAAAAAAAATGCAATGAATAAGGACTGTGGAGCAAAATAATGGGAGTATGTATTGAATGTGGCGGGGCATCAAGGGTACAGCACGATGTCAGGGAACGGGACATTACTGAGGGATCAGGAACACACAACAGTTGACCGGAAAAACGTTAATTGTCGGCACAGTGGAATATCAGTTTATTAATGTTATGTTAAAGACAAGGGGGAGATCCTAATATTCCGGGATTCAAGTCCTCGAAAATGCATGAGTTTATGGGGGCCGGGGAAAATGCACAATTTAAGCGAGTTAGTAAAACTAAAAACACACTGATTTGTAAATAATCAAGCTACCCATCAGTTGGAAAAACAATTTGGACGTTTTGTCACCTTCACCAAACTGACAACCAAATTTCAACCAAAACAGAACCAAAGTACCAAAGTGGTCAAATCACATACCTGGCGTTCTGGACAACCATGACCTGACTGAGAGGGTCCAGCATGCATTAAATATAGAGAACAACATACAGAAACAATAGTCAGAGGGAGGGTGGGGGTTCAAAAAGTGTCTGTGGACTGTGAGTGTGGAAGTGGGAACGGGAGATTACTGTAGATTTAGTTTTAGTGTGGAATTTGTGTGTTTAGGAAAGAGGCAAGAACGGGGTGCTGCAGGGGTGGATGTGTGCTCAGAGGGCTTTCAGGTGATGAAACGCGTCCGTCGGCAACCAAAGTGGAGATCTGCTGTTTATGGAACAGCTTGTTAGCTAGAAAAATTGTTACTTTACAGAGCATTACCGTGAAAAGTCGAAGGTGTTAATAATTCTTGACCGACATTCAAAAGAAACATAGTGGTGACGGACAACAACACTGATTTGGACAAAAGGGTACAGAAATTTCTAAAACTTCACAGCCTCAGTGGAAATTGTGCTTCTGTGGATATTTGCTTAAAAGTCTTTGCAAAACCCCACAGATACAGTAAGCGTGACTGTAGGTTACAGAGACTTTCCTACCAAAGGGGATACACAGTGTTAACCGGCCACAAAAGCTTTTTCCCTGACAGACGCTGAGACGCACAGGGGTTTGTTTGCACTGTCCAGGATGAAAATAAAAAGCCTTTTATGATCCATTAAAAGTGATCACTGGTACTGTTATGAACGAAATACACATGCAAACATGTCTGAAAGAGTGCCATGATCTGCTTACGCGCTGCCCGGAGAACCTCAATTCCAGCTTCAAACACAATGGCCCTTTAAATGTCCAATCGCAATCTATTTTCTTCCCTCTTTCCCGGTTGCTATGTGTCACGCTTTTATTTATAACCACCCATTTCACTGCAACAGCTCCATGTGGTTGCCAGGAAATTTGAGATGCAACTGAAAGGCCTCCGTATGGATTGCAGTCGGTGCTCTGATGAGCGTGTCCATGTACGCACACATATGAAGGACACACACACGCGCACACACACACACGAGTATTTGCACACATGAGCTCAAGTGTGCGTGTTTCCATTACAGCTTCCAGTAGGGGCGGCTGCCACTCTACCAGTTCATTAAACACAACTCTTGTCTAAAACTGAAACAATCCCAGGAAGAAAACACTCTCTCTCTCGAGGGACCTCCAACAGCAGAGACGTGGGGAGATACATCTACATCACAGCGCCATCACAGGGCGAAAGGAAGCCCCGCACTTACATGTGTATCGGATCGCAAGTGAATATGAAGGTTATTGATTTCGACTGCACTCGTCCCCCATCAACGGGGGGCAAAGATCAACACAAGAACACAAACAACTGTGTATCATTTACACAATATGTCTGACAATCAGTAGCCTTAAGGGGCCGATGAGTACCGCACGTGACGCCACACTACGTACATTGTGAAACACATCGTTTGATGGAGCCGATGTGCAGTGTGTGGGTGCTGTGGAATTGAATTGGAAGAAAGGTCATGTGCTGCACGTTGACAGATGTCATGGTAAGTCAAAATCAATTGTAAATCGATTTAAAAATGAATGGGAATTAGGTTTGAGCTTCACAAAGTGGCTGCCTTTGTGGCCTGGATGTTGATGGGTATATCACTCAAAACCCTTCTCTCAGAGTGACCAGGAGAACCGTCCCATCTTACAATATCTAAAATAGTTTTCTCATTTTTTTAAATATTTGATCCTGAACTCTCCGTCCGTGCTGTTCTGAAAAACTTCTGCTTGCGTGCTCCAAGTCTTTGACTCACCCTCTCCCTGGAAGGAGATACACTTTAACAAAGGGGTCAGAGTAGCCATTGTTGTCCCGCGGCGCGAGGTTTCTGGCCTGCAGGACATGAACAATCAAGTTGCCAAGCTGCTTGTCGTAGTTGATTTGAAGCTGCAAAAAGAAGCACATTAAATTAAAATGAAGTCCCATGCGTGGGAGAAACTATGAAAACGCAGGATTGACTTCTTCTGTTATGCTTTTTATTTTTTAAATGCTGAAAGACAGTGAAACAAACAGTGGGCACATTTTGTACGCTTACATTTAAACTTCGATATTACAGAGCTCCTCCTGTTGTGTCACGTACCTGTATCTCTCCAGAGATGGGATGGGTCAGGGTCTTCATTCCCTCTGCAGTCTGCAAGAAAGTCGAGCGACGCACTTAGCGATAAAGCGGTAAAGACTAAATGTTAACTAACGCTTTGTGCAGCATTTTAGACTAAATAAGTTTGACCTTGATTCTGTACTTGCATTGTTAAATGCTTAAAGTCACATTAAAAGAAGAGTTACCTAATATGAAATCGTTCTAATAACTTAATAACAAAAGATGTAATTTCTAACATTGATTTTCACTACCAAATCTCTAGTAAGTTAACAACGTTGTTCTTTACAAACAATTAATAATGATGAACAGACACCCTGCCTCACCTTGCTGCTGTGGCGTTTCTTCCCGACGGAGGGGGATCCCGGCTGACCGGGGCTGGAGGTTGCTGAGGTGGTGGGAGGAAGCCCGGAGGAAGAGGTGGAGGAGGGAGCCTGCTGCTGGGACACCTTTTGCAGCTCCGCTGCCAGCTGCTTGGGGTCAACACCTGGGGACCTGGGAGGCCTGTCACCTAAATGGAGTCACACCCGCTTCATTATGCAAATGCTCCCAAAGGGCGACAGAAATCATGGATGCACGACGTCAAGTTGGATTGGCTGAACTTTGGCTGAAGGTGTGTAAACTTGACTGGAAACTGCTTGGAAGACAGTTACAGTTTTGGGGGAGAGAAGCAGCATTGGGGGTGGAGTTCTAGAAGAAATACTGTGGCTCACCTTTGCTGTGCTCCTGGAAATCCAGGTGGTCTGAACCGTCAGACTCAGCCAGCATGTTGAGATCACTGACAGAAGGGGAAAGTAATTTGAAATAAAACTTAAAAGATTAAAACTCAAGTAGAAAAGAGAAAAATTGAAAATACCCCATGGGGCAACGGATGAACTAGCTAATCATAACTTACTTTTAAATACTTCAAATGGAAAATCAGTAAATATTTGAAAAGCAAATGTTTTGTAGAATTAAATGTGTCATGTGGAGGTGAATTTAACAGCATGCGTGTGGATTGATAGAATACAGGTGAGAAAGGTATAAACTCACAGTCTGACACACACGTCTGCCTCGTTGCACGGCTGCCCGACCAGCCCTTGTACCTCTTCATAGGTTTTACCCGTCAAAGGAACTCCGCTCCACTCTAGCACTTGCATTCCTATACAAAATTATAAGATTCATACAAGAAAACAATGAAAATACAGCATATTTAAAGAATGTCTGGAGACACAAACGCTTTACCCCAGACCAAATCAAAGGTTAAATTAAGTGATTGCTTCTTCTAACTACTAAATGGTCAATGAAATCAAATGTCCCGTGGACCCAAATGAGGGACCAGATTAGGGTCTTGCGTTTGCAGGCAAAAAATACTCTGATTTTTGTTCTCAAACGTCATGCATCAGACTTCAAGTCAAAAGTGCAGCGACATGCTGGTGACAGCAGCTATGTGACGGGCTGCTCGCGGAGCACTCTGGCACAGAACTGGTTTAAAAAGAACCTGGAAATAGCTTCATTTCATGTCAGCTATGAAATCATAATCTGTGGGACAATAGGGAACGTGATGCGTTGTTGCCGGGAAAGAAGGCAAATCACAATCAGATACTAGTTTCAGTCATCAAGTCCAGCAAAGACGAACGTCTCACAGAAGAGACTGACTGGCTATTCATGTTAAATGCAGCTCATATGAATCCACACAGCACAGCAAAAAACCCACTGCAAACTCTAGCAAACACTAGTCAGGACTTACAAGGTTTTAAACAGCTCATCAGGAGGGTCTGTTTCCGACGATACTGTCGAGCTGCATGTGTGAGTGACAGGGAAGCTACTGTAGTTTCACTGTCATATTAATATTCAAATGTTTTACACTATTGGACTCAACAACCATCAACGGCTTCAGCGCGAACCATCGTTTCCTCCGAGTGACAAGAGATATCTCTCTACTGACCCATTGACCCATTGATGTGTGCCTTTAACATGTGAAACTTCACTATTTATTGTAATTATTGTAATTGTTCTGGATGTGCGTGCGGTAGTTTGTGTCTCTGTAGCTGCTCTGTGTCTCTTCCAGTGAGATTGTGTAGGCGAAGGCCACGGAGGCCTTGGCACATGTTTAGAATGCCGTGCTAAAAAAGTGGGAAGGGAAACGGCAATTTTAAAATGATTTTTTTTAATGGAAGGAGGAAGTATGAAAAGAATTGCCCACGCTCAAGCGCACGCATATCCTCAAGGCGCTGACAGATGGATAGCGAACCCTACGCAGGTCCAAACCGGGCCGTATTATTCATCTCAACGTCCATAGATCACCAGTGTGGCAGCTTTCAAAAAGGGTACCAGGGTACCTGGCTTGGTCGGTTATCCGTCTCCACAGAGCTTAAAGGGAACTGTGAGGAGACAGGTGGACTGGGAGGGTGAGACGGGTGAAACTGTTCCCGGACCGCACCGTGTGAAATCAATTACACCTCATGAAATGTTTTATACCACACAGCAAAATCCTGAGCTGGAGAGGTAGTGGGATTTGTGTGGGTGAAATGTCGTAGGCTTAGTGCGGATTAGTATGAAACAACATGTCCAAGAAATAGTCGGGCCCACAAAACAGATTTGTTTTAAAAGGGGACACTGTCCGCCAAGCCCCCCAAAGCTCACTGATTATGAGTCAGTGATTTTTAGTCATTTTAGCTATGGACAGATCCAGGATAAAGTCCCTCTGTTTACAGCGTGTTATTATCTCACTGAAAGCAAATCAATTTCAAAACCAATTTTCAGTATATCCTTTCTGATTTAGATTTTTTTATTTTCTTCAAGTGAAGTAGATGTTTTGTACAAGGGGGGGTTGAGGTTTACCTTCTAGAATCTTTCCTGTCTGTTCTGCAGCTCCCCCGGGCAGGACTTTGGCAACGTAGGCTCCAATGTCTCCATTACTGCCAGGGACCTCTTTCCCTCCAACCACACGGATTCCCAGGCCGTTTCCTGTTTAAGACCAAAGGCAAAGATTGGTAAGTGGCATTGTCAATGGCTATAGCAGTTGATCTCATCTCATCGGCATTTAACACAAGAAGAAAAAAAGTATGGACACAAATACCGCCGCACAAAGCATACCAAATAACCTACATTCATCCTATCCTTTAAAACTATAAAATAGTAAACAAAATTGTTTCTAAAACAGGAGTACAAATACTGCCCCACAGTTGTATGCCTCTGCCAACCATGTTAAATTGAGGTTTCCCGTTTTATTTGGAAATTGGCAAATTAATTCTTGACTTGAGAAACCGTGTTTTTTGACATCACTAAACCTAATCAGTTCATCGCGTCCAGATGGATTTCCAAATTTAGATAGATACCCCTAAAGCTTTCATGAGAGAAGAGTCCAAAACAGTGATATGGACTGACAGATTGACAGCACAAAATCATCCTAAAAATGCGTTCAAATGGAATACATTTTGTTTGGGCATTTTCTAGTGGCCATTGCTCTATTGCCTTTGAAGACAGAAGATGGGTGGGCATGTATGCTGTTATCTACTCTACTTCAAAGGAAATGGAGCAATGCCCACTGGAAAATGCCCAAACAAAATGTATACCCTTTAAATCTACTGATTATTCAAGTATCCCATATAATCAAACAGAACCTCCTTTTATATTGCACCATTCAACACAGTAATGTAAGCTAGATCTAAATTACTCACCGGCTCCTATTACACAGAATGCTTCCTTTGTGGGCTGTTTGTTACTTGCGTAAGATAATCCTCAGTGTGAGGGATACGCCATTTTGAGAACGGCAATGACTGATGAGCCTGGAAAAAGGCCAAATCCAAAAGGATGCCAGGAAATGAAATGTCTGCCTGATTTGAGCCTGGAGGAATGGTGTGATGGAACGCGATGACAGGGGAAGTGACTCGCCAGTTTGTCGAGGTCTGGCATGAATATCAAATAAACACGACGCATCAAGCACAATCGTCATACTCTTACGATATGATCGGTATCACACTCTTTTTCCTTTTTGAGTAATGTTTGAATCGTACAGCCGTTCGAATTCAATTAACGCGTGTCGTAAACGGCGCATAGTTCTGATGGTCAGTAAGCAACGGCGTCAATCAAATCTATCGCATGCATCACAGTCGATAAGACATTTGTTTGTAATAAATGCTCTTTGCATGCTGACATGTAGTAAACTGTGGTACTTTACCTGAGACACTACGGTCTTTGGGATCCCTCTGCAGTTTGACCCTGAGGTGAGGGAAGGGGTAATACAGGCCTTTTCCCTGTGGTCCATACAAAATGTGAGATGTCACGTATGTACAAGGTATATGCATCATGGACATGCCATTTACATACAAAGATATTCAGGTGATTGAGTGTGAGTGCATGCAAATCATTAATAATCGGACTTGGTATTCAGCACTTGCAAAAAGCTTTCAATCGCTTGTATAGTATTTTTGTTTCACCTGTCTCTTCTCTTGTCCATTCTCTGATCGCCCGTCCCTAGGTTTGTCAAACCAATCCGTCTCCTCTCGTCTAAGGTGGTAAGCTTCAGGGATAAAAACAAGCACTACTTAAGAATCAGTCACTGTATAGTGAGTGGCCGGATTCAGTCTAAATACGGTAAGTATGATTTGATGCCATTCATGAAAGGTCTATAGTATTTGAAGAATTTAACTTCTGCCACAGAAAGAGTTGATCACTCTCTTGTGAGAAAGAGCTGATTCCATGCGACTGTACAAGTTATTTGAAAATATGCTAAAAAAATTCAGTTTAACGTAGAATAAGAACATGTTGTTAGTCTATATATCGTGGCATAATCTAAACCTATAATGCATGTTTTTCTATGAATGTAAATGTTACTCCAATTGTTGGGAAAATGCATGTATTTCTTCTGAAACATTGAGTATTAGTGATACCATTTCACATTCTCACAATGTAAATGTGTTTGTATATTGCAAATTAGTTGTAGCAGAATTTATTGGCTATTTTGAGTGTCTTCAACCTTCCCAACAATTGGTCATCATTTTATGGTGATGTGTTTTTGACTTGAGGTGCAGGTTAATGTGTTTACTGATGAATGACTAGAGAACTGAACTAATACTCTACCATTGGTTGCATCGTCTCTGTTCAAAGCCATCTGGGAATCACTTAGTGCTGGAATCAAGGCAAATGGATTTACATTGAAAATCTATCGGATCCATGTGAATTTATTTGTAGTTAGACTGCATTCAAGACAACTAAGACACGGGATCTTTAGATATTTAAGCCGGAGATAAAAAACAACTAGAAAAAAAACCCATACAGTTAGCTTAAACAGTATCTTACTTTAATATAACTTTCAAATGTTGCTTCTCTTTTTGTACTAAAACTGTCATCAGCTTGGAAAATGACCTTTGCTGATTCAGAACTTAATTGAAGGTTGAAAAAATGTTTCTTGACTTAAGGATGTCAACAACATACTGCTTCAGAATGCAATGCAAAGTATTGAATTTACTCAGCAAAACAGCAGCAAAATAAAATTCACCCAAACATTGTGTTCTTTCTTGAAATAAAGCAGAAACATTGTTTGCGTTGGAACAATACTGTGCTGTGTTTTTTGCAGACTTTTTTAGTTAGGCAAGGCAAGTTTATTTGTATAGCGCTTTTCATACACAAGGCAGACTCAAAGTTAGTTAGTTAGTCAAGTTAGTGATGACAGCTCATAATACTGTATTCATTAAATACAAAGGAAAAATAGCTAAGGAAGCAATAGGAAAGGTTTTCTCAGTAAAGGATGAATTAAAAAAGAAATTGAATATAATAATTTAGTTTTATCAGATTTTTTGTTTGAAATATAAACAAAAATCAGAAAAAAAGGAATAAAACCCAGAACGTGCAATATAAATAACTTACTAATGTCACAATAAATGCAAGTATTCACAACAAGGCATGCAAGTTAAAGTTTTGTATTTATTACATACAAGTGTCACCTCGAAATATCATGCGTTTAAAAAACATATGACAGTTTTCTGCTCTAAGCTATTATTTAAGTCATTAGTTTGGTAACGTTCTGATCTTGCCTACAGTTTGGTATCATAATAATTGAACGTATGAATTTAAACACATACATGATGAAATATAATAACTAACTATATAACTATTTAATATCGACATTGATCATCAGCTACTGTAAAATCCCCATTATCCTTTATTACCCTATTTTATTTTATTAAAATACAATGTTATTTATTTATTAAAATAACCTGTTTATTTGACGGAATTCTGTACTAATTATGTAAAATGTATTATGTAACAATGGGAGGCACTTTTCGGTGTATAATTTGTGGGGAAAAAGTTATGAAGGGATCATTTTTTTGCTATTGTGGTCTTGTATCTTCCACACAATATTTGAAAGACAATTAAAACAAAAAACGTTAGAAAATGGTAATAGCTACAAATGTTATAATTCGCTAAATATAATGCAGACTGCCACTAGTGAGAAACTCCCACGCCATGTAGCTGAAACAGGGAGACCATTTGGTGTCACACAGTAAACTGCTGTGAGAAAACATTACACAATATCTGGCATGCAGACAGAAATACAGTGCATGCATAAAGATACATTCAAGCACACTGATAAAGACATAGAGAAAAATGTACAAAGGCATGCATGTACACCGGATCTTAAACGATTGCACAAAATCACTGACACCCGAAAACAAAAATAAAATTCATTAAAGTTAAGGTAAGACACATGCAGATTTTCAAAAAATAAACCAAAACTAAACATCACACACAATAGTATTAAATTCAAGAAAGACAAACCATAGCCAGCCAATCTAAAGGACGAAACATTCAACAGGAAAAGATTGACAATATGACAAGTCTGTTTTTTACCTTCACTATCTGACATGGTACCCTGAAGGTCATCCAGAAGTACGTAACCCCTACCCCTGGTTGGCTCTTCCCTGATATGTTGCTGTTGTTGGGAGTCCTGTAAGGAAAGGCAGGAACCAAACTGGTCCCTTGAATCAGCTGAGATCGGCGGTAGAGGTCCCGCTGATGCACGGGCCATGCCCATAGGTTGCCCAACTGGGCTCAATGGGCTCTCTTCCTCAGAGTTTTGGGCAACTATTGGTAGTCTGCCACGACCACTTTGCACAATGGGAAGGCTTGTAGGTTTGGTGCGACCAGAGGGAGTTTGATAGCTTGGTACATCTCCAGATGTTTCGCCGTCCCCTTTAAGCCTCAGCGAAGAGCTGGAAGGGTCTCTTTTAATGGACAAGTCCAGGCCATAGCAAGATGTGGGCCTCGATGAGGGTCTTGAGCGACTACCACTAGGATAAGCGGAATCCAAGCCTAGGCTCTGGCCCAGATTTAGAGACCCTGCCAAATTGGCACCCAAGGTGGACCCCAGGTATTTTTGTTGCTCTGCAATATTCTTACGAAGGCCAAAGGTAATTTCATCTTGTGAGAGCCGGCTGGTTCTTACAGATGCACTGGTTGACCCAAGATAGCTGGTGTAGTCTGTCTCCAAACCCCTGTTATCTGTAACAGAGGAATACTTGGAAGAGATCTTAGGATCAATCAACGGTGCCTTGTGTTTTTGGTACAACATTGATGCTGGGAGTTGTTTAGCTGCCTGCTTCTCGAGAGTAAGTCGACTGATACTGTACTTATCTGACTTTGGATATTGTCTTTGGGAGTAACTAGACACGCTAGAGCTTGGGGTGTAGTAGTGCTGGGAGAGGCCTGTCAATTGTTCTAGGTTTTCTGTCCCAGCACTTCTCCTGAACTCTTGCTTTAGCTGCTGCTTCAAGAGTTTCAGTTCGTAGGGTTCCTCCATTGTATCCTCTTCATCGGGGGTCTTTCCAAAAGTATGGAGTCTAGACGTGGATCCCAGATACTCAGCAGAACACAGATCTGCAGCACTCCTACGCAGCAGCTTTTCTGCTTTGGCCAACTCCCTCTCAGCCAGACTGTAAGATGAGGATAGACCTGTGGAGCTCTTAGCCAGTTCTGCAGCATCCTCCAATAACATGTAACTACGAGGTGTATGGGGATCTACATCTGTATAATAGGAATCAGAGACAGCCGTGATAGGGCTACGTGGCATACTTCCAACCTCCAAGGCTCTGAGGTCAAGGTGGTTGCCATATTTGTCATACTTGACTCCCAGGTAAGCCGACGATGTGGGATCAGGCTGGCGGCTAATGACATCATATTTAGTTGCATCCAACTCTGAGAGGAGGGCTGCTTGTCTGGCAGCTTTCTGCTGCAACAGGAGCATCTGGTGGTAATTCTGCTGCTGGGAGCTAGTGAGCGAGGGGACAGAGGAGTAGAGAGAATGGGATTGGTAGGACTGGGGAGTCTGGTAGAGAGACTGCTGGTATTGGGTTTGATAGTATTGGTGCTGGCTGTATTTCCCATACTCATACTTCGTTTGAGGAGGGACAAAGTCATCCAGTTCTGACTGTGGAGCTGTTCTGGGACGTTCAAGGCTGTGACCTTCAATCTCCTCATCTTCACCACTTCCAAGCCCACCCCTTGTCTCTCGGATGTTACTAACCTCACTGTCTGACATGTAGTCTCTGTCCTCTGCAACACTCTGTAAATATGCCCTTTCTCTCTTCTCTCTCTCCATCAGTAGCACATCCTTTCTACGATTAATTCCCATCTCCAAGTACCTAAGCTTAGCGTCAATCTCCTTCTCCTCCTCATCAAGCTCTGCTTGTTTTTTGCGGAGCTTGGAAGACTCACGCTCAACAAGATCTAACTCACGATCAATATCCTGCAGGATCTTAGCACGTGCCATGTTAGAATTGCGGCACATTCTCCGGCGGGCCGAACCAGTGTTGTGTGCTGTCTGACCACTCGTTGTTGACTCATCCTCTGAGGGTGGATTGGGGAGGGTCCTCTTCACCTTCTTTTGAGTGCCTGTTGGTGTGCCACCTGAGCCTTTCCCCTGTGGGAAAAGTAAACAAGAACATGATTAAGACTGCCGGAATTGATACGGTTATATAGTCTTTGTAATTCTAACAATGACCGTATTAAAGGAATAGTTTCACAGTTGAAAAAGTAGAAAAGCACATCAATTCTAGTCTTGCTACAAAGTTAATACAAAGTCATGATTTATAGATAAGGACATGAACATAGTGGATGGTGCCGGATGTTAGAACACCTTTCGAGCATACCTGTAAGGTATTTCAATCCACAAATGTTACCTACTTCTCACTAAATTGCCTAAATTCAGTTTCAAAACAAGTGATCAGCTCATTTCATTTAAGGTGTATGAGATTCTACCAATAAATTGCCCAGGCTGAAATCTGACCTCCATACCTCATGAGGGTCAGGAGCTGCATTTGATGGCGACATCTGCATTGCTTAACCTATTCAGTTATTTTTTTACTTCCCATTCTGTATATGTTATGGAAACTAGTACCTAAGGTGGCATTTGTAACTTAAAAAGTCGTCATTTGGCATGGTATGGTATCTCTCTTGGGTTAAGGTCACACCAATGTTAAGGAAGAAAACCGCTGTACAATTATTGGAGTACATCAGCATTATATCCACTTAGGTATAACCACATTATCTAGTGTGCCACGCTCAGACTACTTTGCTTGAATTCCCATTCCATCTACCAAATTGTCCATTTTTTTAATCTATACTGTGAGTGGATCTGGCATAATTAATGACAAGCTTCATAAAATGAGTGAGATGTAATGGCAATTAAAGCGATAGGTATACTACTCACTGTATCACCATACTGGGTGCCACATGTTGCCCTTTCTTCTCCTGTTGGACTCATGGGCTTAGGGTCAGACATCGATCTCTGTATGGCTTTTGGTGCCCTGGGACTTACTGGAGAGGCTTTCGATGGATCGGTACTTCCTCTTAGCTTTTGTGGGCTTGTATCACCCAATGATTTCTCATAGGACACAAACTCAAGGGATTTGCTTGGTGATATACAGGGGGATATGGGGGAATAAAGCACATTGAGAGATTTAGGAGGGGCCTGAAGCGTAGAAGAATCAACTTTAGGAGATTGACCTATTTCTAAGGGAGTGGGTCTTTTCTTTGGCGAGGTCCTTTCAGAGTCAGACAGCTCCATCCTGGAGTCCACTCGAATGTTGCCTTCTGTATCGGTTTGTATGGAAATCTCAGTGTGGGCTTTAAGAGACATCTCTGAATGTCCACCCCTGTCACCCCGAGCAGTGCGTGGCCGACTTTGTCGGTTTCTGGTCTGGGCCTCCCATTCATCTTGATCTTCATCATCAGTCTGGACACAACTGTCAACACTCTTTTTGGCACTTTTCTTTTTCCTCCCTGCTGTATAAGCTTTGCTCACTGCCTCATCCTCCTCATCTGTCTGGCACCCACTATCCGTGATCTTCCGGGAGAGTACTGTGCCATCAGGTCCTAAGACAACTGCCTCCTGCACGCCATGCCCTGGTAGGTCCCCACCTGGGTACATCTGACGAAGTTTTTGCTCTTCCAGTTGCATGCGCAGCTGCTCTTGGAGTCGCTGAATCTGATCAAGCTGCTGCTGTTGTTGGGCATATGTTTCTTTCTGCATCATAAGGTGAGCCTGTCTTTCCTCTTCTTGTTGGTTCAGGATGTGTTGCTTCATCGCCTGCAGCTCTTCCAGTTCCTTCTGGACCAAGAGTTGTTCATGCTCTCGGAACCGTTGAATCTCTTGGCGCTCCCACTCTAATTCCTCAGCCAAGCGCTGTTGCTTCAGTTTCTCCATCTCTAGTCTCTCACGCTCTGCCTGATACTGGCCATCCCCAGGAACCATGGGTGAAGACAGGGCTTCCAGTGAAGCAGCTATGGCCTCCAGGGATGCATCAGTGTAGTCAAGAGACAAAGAAGCTGTGACAACAGTGCTACCCCTTCTAGAGATCTCCAGATTGAGTGGGGTATCTTCTTGTTCCACGGTAGCAGTAGAGTTGATGGTGGAGAGGAAACTATGGGATCTTGTAAGTGGTAAATTCTGGATGTCAGAAAGGGAAGGCATTGTATCGCTGGTATGCATACCTGAAAGTGTGTTGTATGTCGTACTAAAGATGGACCCAGGTTGGGTGGTAATGGCATACGTAGATGGGATTGGTGCTGCAACAGAGGAATAAACCACCCCATTTGATGACCTCAAGACACTGCTTGTACCAAAGAGTGTTCCAACAGCGCTTGTGACTCTGGCTTGGGAATAGGGTGGGATTGTCATTCCTGCATAAGTTCCTTTCTTGGAGTAGTCAACAGCTTCACCTGTCAAAAGTCAAAAATATCAGTTGAGTCCAAACAATGCAGACTTATTCAATGTTGAACCAAGCCATGCCTTATCCAAATAATATTTAAAAAGGGGGAAACAATCCAATAACGAGAAGCACAAGAAGTGTAAACAGCAACAGCATGCAAGCAACATGCAAAAAATATTATGGTGAAAGGGCAAAAAAAAAAAAAAATGTTTCATGCAAATCAAAACGAACAGCAAAAAAAAGACAAAAAGTTGTCAGGTCAGCCATGAATGAGTCGAGGCAGTTCAAAGTGACATTTAAGTGACAAGTCGGCAATGTCACTGCACTGACCTGCATCAGAAATCTTTGCTGAGGTAAGATCTACTGCACCCTCTGTGGTACCACTGAAATCATAGCTGTTCTTACTCTTGTAAAAGAACAGGCCGGCCTCTGCTAGGTTAGTGTCTGACATCGACGGTTTAATTCCACCAAACCCTCTCATGCCGTAAGGGGATCGGTCATACTGGTAATGGTCATCCCGATATCCAAATCGATCTTCAGGCAGGGGTGTAGTAGCTTGCTGAGCAGTGCAGCTTCCTGCAAATGGGAGATTGTACACAACATCACAGCAAACAGCTCTTTTTCCTGCAGTCAGATCCACTGGTTTGCCATCGTCATCTGTGAGTACAGCTGTGACCGCCTCTGCAGAAGCAGCATCCACTGACACCAGAGTGTTGAATGGTTTTGTTGTGCTAAGGTCGACGGCTCCAGCCACTGTGGTTGAGCCCGTAGTTAATCCATTGGCAACATAACCTGCAATACAAGCGGGTGCAATAGTGACAGGATTGGTCTGGAAAGAACCTCCGCCGGTGCTGGATCCGACTGAGAGGTTAATAGGGGTTTCCATACCAGACGGTGTAGATGGCTGAGAATCAATTGGCCGATATATGATTTGAGAAACAGGTTCAAAAGCTTTATTTTTTGTTAACTGAAGGGGAACTGAAGATACTCGGGAAATGTCTACATTGTCACATTGTTCAATTGTGGCAGCACAGGTCACAATGGTGATACTATCAGTCACTATAGAAACAGTGGATGATTCAGCACTAAGATTGACCACAGGTGAGTGCACTGCACTGTTCTGACGACTGATATCCGCTGCAAAGGACTGACGTCTTGCGTCTGGGCCAGCAGACAGATCCACACCATTCATGTCTGATTGTTGGTCCACCTTCATAGTCCTAAGATCTACCACCTCAGAAGGTTGGATGGCCTGTCCATTTTGCGCTGGCAATTGGGGCTTAGGTTTCTCCATTGAGATTGGGACACCATTTGCCCTTGGAGCTGGCACTGGGGGTGATGTCCTTTCATGAACAACAGAGACAGTGGTCCTTTGGACTTCTGTTGTGACCACTTGAGAGATCAGATTAGGCATAACCACAGGTGGCTGTGCAGAGGCAGATATAGCCTCAATTATATGACAAGAACTAGATACATGCTTCTCCGGGCCACAAAACTCTTGACTTTCAATAGATTCTGTGACTCGTGTGTATGCCAGAGGCACTCTGGTTGTTTGAGGGGGGCTTGGTTGTGGATGATGCTGTGGATAAGATTGAAGTTGATGTTGTTGTTGGTGGTAGCTTTGGGGCTGAGCCGGGCATGAAGAAGATGCTGGGCCGGGGCTAGAGGGAGCTTGAGTTAAGAGACTGTCTACTGGAGAGCTGGGCTGAGATGGCAATGTGATGACTACATATGTGTCACGAATATTCCTGGTGTATCTTGGAGATGAGGGAGACTTGGGGGAGGGTTGAAACAGCTTGCTCTCAGAGGAAGGACTCAGATTCAAAGCTATGTCATTAGGACCAGTGGGAAGAACAGTGGGTCTTGGTGAATGTGGGACATGAGCAGGCGAAGAAGGCTGTGAACCAGGCTTTGGTGCAATTGGTGGTTTGACGCAATGTCCTGGTCGGTAGCTATCCCCGATCCCTGCATGAATGGTTGGCTTTGGGGCAACAGGAGGGGGAACTTGAGGCTTGTATATTGGTGTAACTAGTTGTCTTGTGGGTGATCCTTGGCTTGCAGTCATAGCCACCATCTCTGGCCTGATCTGTGTTGCTGAAGCCTGAGGTGGAAGTGGGACAGGAGCTTTCCTGGGGAAAACCGTAGGTTTTGGAGGGGTTGGAGGAGGCAGTGGCGGTGCAACAGGTACTTCTGCTTTTTCCTGAGAATTAGCCCTAAGCAGTACACTAGGCTTAGGAGGTAAAGGTGGAGAAGTTGACACTACGCTAGAGACACCGGGTGTGTACTGGGGGACTGTGGGCAAGGGTGAAACACTAACAATTGCCGGGACTGATGTTCTCGGGAGTGCACTCGATAAGTCAACAATATCGAGCTCTGATTCTGTGATTGTGGTGTGAGTTTGTTGATATGATGTGGATGATGGCGGAGACTCGGTAGACACTGTGACCGGCTCAGTTTCCATAGCCTCTGGCGTGTCTGACACTATAGTTATAATCTCCTCTTTTTTAATACTTTCGTCATCAGAGGACAACTCTCCTGAAGAACACTGTGTCACCTTTAAGTCTGGAATGGGATTGAGTGCCCTTTTAGATGCAGTGGCTTCCACTTCTGGTTCCTGCAGAGTTGGACTTGTTCCAGGAGTCAGAGTTCTTTTAATTAGCTCTTCATAGGCAGTTTCGGCATCCAACAATGGCTTCCCATCCTTGCCTAATGTTACTGTGGTGCTTTTGGGGAAAGTGTCCTCAGCAGGTTGCAACACAATTTCTGGGGTTGTGCTTTCCACTTTTGGCTGCATCTTTTGATATTCCTTCTCAAGCTGGATGAATTCCTTCCTCTTCTTTATCATGTCTTCATAAACTTCATCTGGTGATCTCAGTGTTTTTGGCTGCGCGGGAACATTAATCTTCTCCGGTCCACCCGTATCAGCTGTTGAATTGTCAATAAGAGATGCATAGGCATAGTCTTCAATAAGCATTCCCCCGTAAAGGGACTCTTTTCCTGGTTGAATATTTCCTTTGTCAAGGGTTGGAGACTTGGCCCTTAGCATTATTTCCTCATAGGCTTCATCAGCCGTTTTGAGGGTTTTTTTCTGTGGTTGATCAAGATTTTGAGCATCTGTTGGAGAGTGAAGAGATACCGATATAGGAAGTTGATAGGTTTTCTGAACTGCCGCAATCTTTGCAGGATGGATTTCAAATCCTTCAGAATCTGATTCAACACTGGGGGAGAAATCAGAGCAGGACGATCGCCTGATCTCCTCCATCTCAGCTTCTTGCCTGAGTTCCTCGGTTGGTGAGGCATCTTCGATGGGCGAAAGGTTGCTCGGTGGTGTCTTTGGACGCTCTCGTCTCCTCTGGGCTCGGATCTCTTCTTTGTCCTTCTTGGACTTTTTCCCCGATCCCTTCTGTTTTTCTTGCTCCCTCAGCAGCTCTTCTTCTTCCCGTAACTCTTCCTCTTCAGAAGAGTCTTCAATAGTTGGCAGCATTTGACCAGGTTGTCTGTGTTTGGCTTTCCTGTGTTGTTTACCCTCACCAGAACGGATATGGCTGGGACTACCGCTGTCACTGTCTTCATCCAGTGATGAGAGTGATGTCGGGGATGTCCCGGGGGTGAAGCTGGATGCATGTAGACTGGATGACCCCTCACCTCTAGACCGATCATCTGGAGAGTCTGTAAGGCTTTCCATCTCAGGTTCTCTATCATCATTAGGTATATGGATAGGGCCGCTGGTTGAATTCAGCTCCATTATTCGGAATTTGCGGACTCCAGTACCACTCCCTTCCTTGGAGTCTTGTCCCTCCTCTCGGTTTATATCAGGTTTTTCCGATGAGTCACGTAGTTGTTTAACCTCTTCGTCATCTGGACTAATTGTGCATTTTTTGGTAAGTCGTCTGGCTTTTCCTGATGCACTCCTCTCTACACCCTCAGTTGTCTTCTGTTCCATTTGCTTCTTCTCATTCTCCCTTATCTTACGCCTGATGAGGTTTTCCTCATCAGACGGGGAGGCATCCTCATTTTCACTCATTTCCATAATCTGTTTTCGGATAAATTCCTCATCATCACCAGATATCGGGCTTTCTTTTCCAAAGCTTTCACTGCTGTCATCCAGGGAATCTGCCCTGACATCCATGGGCACGAGTAGCTTTTTCTTTGTGGTACCTTTGTCATTCTTCTCACAAAGTCCCCGGTCATCTTCTGAGCTGGGTGAGTCAGGTGAGAGAGGAAGCACTTGTAATTTACGTCTGGTCTTTAGGGTGTCTGTTAGTGTCTCCTCATCTTCCTTTGGTTGTGTCTTGGCCTCAAGAATGGGTAAGACTGTGCTTTCCAGCTTGGCTAGGTCAGATGGGCTGGTGGGACTGCAGTCCTTGGCAGATATTTCTTTCTCTTCAGGCTCTTTCATGGTCTCCTCCATTTTCACCTGTTGGATGGAAACACAACAATTATTGGTAAATTCAAAAACAGAAACTGCAATCTTTTTAACATGTTACATGTGATTAATGTGTATATGTGAGTACAGTCCTGAGAAATAACAAATGGAAATGAAATATAGCTGTACACAATTCTATACATTTTTATAGAATAGTGAATTTGTATTTCCACTCTGCAGGTTTTTGATGCACAGTCTGAAATCCAAACATTTCACTGTATTTTGCAGTGTTAAGGTATTGATGTATTATATGGTACACGTTTTAGTTAGCCATTTCCACTTCTTGTCCTAAATACTAAGGTCACCTCAGCAACTGCATCTTCTTCACAAGGCTTTCCCAGAGGCTGAGCTACTACCTCCGTTTTCTCCTCCACGTTAGCGTTCTCCTCCTTCAGGCCTTTGACATGCTCACTAACCACAAGCAATGGGAATTCAGGTTCTACTTGAAGGACTGGACCTACTGATGCGGACAAATCTCCATTTTCTAAAGCTGTATCTGATCCTTCATCCTTCCTTGAAATTGTGGTCTTTCCTACATCAAACTGTGTCTTGTCGTTTTTGTCAGAGAATATGCTGGTCTCTGATACTGAAGTAACTTCCTGGATGTTGGCAGCAGCAGGTTGTGTATCAAGTTCTTCTTTCTGTTTGAATGACACCTTTTGCTCAGCAACTTCCTCCAGTGGTTTTTCATCACCGGCCGACGTTTGTCTCTCTCCTTCAGGTTGATTTACAGCAATACAACAGTTATTATTTTCTGAAGAAACCTCAGGTTCTTCTCGAACTAGTTTCTTCTCGCGTGCTCTATCTCTGACTTGCATCTCACTCAAGACAACTGAGTCTGAAACCATCTCTACACTTTGCTTGGATTCCTTAACGTTGACCTTTTCTTGATCTTGAGATTCCGGAGGCGGGGTGACCAGAGGAACCACTGCGTTCGCAGATTCATCATCTCCTTCTAACATTGTGTCTATCGGCGTCCGCTCTTCCTCTCTCTGTGCCAAACTTTCTTCTCTGACCATCAGCTTTTTTTCCTCCTCTAACTTCTCTGACAATAAAACTGTCTCCACCATGGTATCCCCAGCAGGTGTGTCAGGTTCTATCTTCTCTATCACGGGACTAATCGTGTCTGCAGCAGTAGTGGAGAGGGCTGGACTTGACTCATCTTTATCCATCCTCTCCTTTTGAGGTTTTTGGTCTTTTTCCTTCTCAATTTGTTCCTGTTCAACCACCTCTTCTTCCAAAGATTTACCGTTGTCAGCTTTTAGCTCACTTGCCTTTTCTGCAGCTGCATTTTTCTGAACCCCTTCACCTTCAAAGGCTTTTCCATTAGGTGATTTATTGTCAATGCTAGAGTCGCCTCTCGCCTCAATGGTTTCTTTTTCAACAGTTTTATCCACAATTATTGTTTCTTCAGCAGTGTCCTTCACAATTGTCTGATCATGTATTTTCTCCTTTGATTTTTTCCTTTCAATAATTAATTTGTCAAAAACGTTATATTCACTGGGTTTCTCCTCTATTGATTCCTCTGGAGCTTTGGTCTCTAATAGAACGACATGAGGTGAATGTTCTGCCGGGTCAAGTGGAGTGGGTTCCTCCTCTTTATCTATGGCTTTGTTTTCCACTTTATCAACCTGGCTTTTCTCCTCTGCAGCTGAGACAGGATGTTTGTTGTCTGACACTACTGAAGAACTCTCAGATTCTTTGTATTTGTCTGTCTCTTGTTTTAATTCTCGCTGGGACTGATCAGGTTTAGGTACTTCAACATTGTCAACAGAGGCTTCATTTTCTGCGACGTCAACTGCGGGTGATCGAGCACCTTCAATGCAGACGGCATTCTCTGTCACACTTTCTGCTTCCACTTTTATTTCTTCATCAACTTCAATTCTGACTTCCTGTGCTACACTGCCAACCCCAAGTTCTTTATTGATTTCTGATTGCTCCACCTCAAAAGCTGTGTCCACACTATCTGACTGAGTTTGACATGCTGGAGGTGCGTCCTCCACCTGGGCGTTATCACTCGGCTGTGCCTGTTCCACCTCTGTTATAGTCTCATCTTTTAGATGTGTGGCTGAATAATCTGGCATTGGAACGAGCTGAGGAGGGTACTCCTGAGTGACGGTTGGGATTGAGGCCGGTTCTGGATGAACTGAATTAGTTGACGCATCGGGAAGTTTTTCTGGAATGGGATCCACCCTTTCATTTACTGTCACGGGAGCAGAAGCCTCACTCTCAGCAGTCTTGGGATTTAGCTCCGTTTCTACCTCAGCAGGGGCCGCTGTCTCGTCTAAACCTCTTCTAGTCAGTACATTTTGTCTCTCACTTTCCACAAGGGTTGAAAAGTCCTCCGCGGCATTCTCAGAGGTGCTTTGTTCTGGCTCAACTGCTGGTATTCCACTGACAGGTGCACCCCGGGCTTGTTGCTCAACATTAGATATGTCTGTCTCAGAGCGAGGATGGTCCTCTGATGCTTTTCCTGAGCTACTCTCTTGTTGCTCAACTGCTGGTATTTCACTGACAGGTGCACTTTGTTGCTCAGTAGCAGCGGATTCCGTCTCTGCTATTTCCTCAGAGCTTTTCTGTTGCTGCCCGTCGGCTGGGATTGGAGGGAGAACTTGAACGACACTGTCTGAAAGTGAAGCTCGTTGTTCTGGTTCGGCCGCTACCGGTTCTTTTTGCTCGTTTAACTGTGGTGTTTCCCGGTGCGTGCTACCAGGAGGACAGGCACTAACGGAAAGAGAGGAGTCCTGATGTGGGGACATTAATGCATCGGGTGTGGGAAGGGTTTCTGGTACTACCTTGGTATCAGGAGCTGGCGGGGTTAGGTCTGATGCTTCTACTACAGGCTTGCTATCTACAGCAGGAGGGGCAGGGGTGGAAGCGGGAGCAGGGGAAGGCGGTTGCTGCAGTGGGGAAGCCGTGGCTGGAGGTGGCACGTCTGCCAGCTGGCCCGTCATGGCTCGTTGGGTCTGGCAGTTGAGGCAAAGCCATTCTTTCTGTAAGACAAAGAAAAAGCATTTATTACTGGGACGAGGCACTGGTTTAATGTCTTTTACCTCAAGGGTTGCTTTTATATGTATGGGGATTTAAGAGAAGGCGTGTGCATAGGGCATGGCAATGGGACAGAAAGGAAGCAGACTTAACCAGTAAACTTCTTTACATTCAAGGCTGAAAATATGTTTCCCAAATTTTGTGTTCTGCGAACATCTAATTTAGTTACTCTATTAATATGCTAAGGCACATCACAGCTGTTTATTCTTTAAGTACCATAATCCTCCTTAAAAACCACTTGGGGTGTTTACCCAAATCTTAACAGCACTGCTGCTTCCAATGGAACAAGAAACAAATACCTTGTTGGCACAGCTGCTGTAATCTGTCATCGCAGAGCTTTGCTAGAAGCGCCCCGTCATGGCGAGGTTATTACCGCGTGTATTCCCAAGTACCGACTTAAACACCCGGGCTCTAGAGGAACCAAACTACACCAAAAGCCCTGCTGAGGGCTATAATTCAAGAGCTGCAGCTGTTATTGGACTTCAACATCCGGTACGGTTTTGGCCGTAAGGGGTTATAAAAGTGTGAAACAATCAAAGTGCTTTGGTTTTTATGAAAATGCAAGCACACACACACATAGACACACAAATACAGTCTATGCACATACATACAGTAAATCTAGAAGTTATAGTCTGCATGTTTTTCAACCTCCAACACCCTGACGTAAAACACCTCATTTCAGAATCTTCAAAGTGCTTTAACATTCCTCTCTAATAAATGTGTTTTTTCTTGGCTTAACAGCGGGGTTTATGCCAAATTTGAGTTTTAGAGAAGATTGCAGGCTGTACGTTAAGCCATGCAGCAGACAAGGCGCCCCGCGCCAATAAAAAACAAATAAAGGAGAGGAGAACAGAAGAAGATAACTGAGGAAATGCGGCAACAGCAAAGTCAGGGTAATTTAGGCATCAGATGCACTGTGTTAGTCAATGCTTGAACAACAGAAAATGAACAATCGAGGCAGATTGGCACACCTGGAAAGCCAACTCAATAGTATGTACCCAAACATAAAAAGATATTAAGAATGTTTAGACGTTGCAAATGCAAGAAGAAATGGCTCTGTCACATCCTTTTTTCTTCTTCCTTCCTGTAACCCTAGCTCTCTTTACAATTTTATTTGATAACCAGTGTAAAAATATATACTTTCAATAAAATATTTCAAACACAAAGATGTTTGTAACATATGGAAGAGGGACATACCAACAAAACAATACCAAAGAATCCGACAGCGATGCCTAAACTAAGATTTGCTGACGTCAGTGAGTTACATCCCCGACTCGACAGAAACCCAGTTAATCCTCAAACACGATGACGGACACGACACAGAAGCACGAGCGCGAGCGGGCGCCCCGCTATCAACATCCGACTCGAGATGGGAGTTTCTCCAGCTTGACGGCCTTATCAGTTAAACCAGAGACCGGGCGCTGAGAGCCACAGAGATGTCCGCCAGATACCCAAAGCTAATCACACACACACACACACACACCTTATCAACACATCACAACAGGCACACTCCACGTAAAGGCATAAATGTGACGCACTACTGTGTTTCATAGGGACACATCTTTCAGCAATCACCCTGAAAAGCCATTATGAAATTGCCTTCCTGCATTAGCATGTAAAGTGCGTCTGGGCGGATTGTCATTATTTCTACAGGTATTTGGCCATAAAACCGTCCGAACGAACGAACGAAAGCACTGGTTGGGTCTGAAAGCAATGTGACAAAAAAAAACAATGTCCACAGCAACGGGCAATAATTGTCAAAATATTTGGTTACATCACAAACAAGTTCTCTTGTGGGAACTGATTATTTGGGTTAATTGAATCGTACATTTCTCCATTAAATCTTGATTAAATATAACTTTGAATTTGAATCAAGCCACACTGCTAGCATGGCTAAAATGAAGTAACAGATTAAATGATAGTGACAAATCTCCTTGGTTACAGCCCTAATTAAAGCGGTCTTGATCAAAAAAGTCTAATTTTGTCTCTATCACCACACCGGTCATTACTTATTTATTACGAGGGGATCGACGGGGGTCTATATTATCAGGCATGGGACGCTTACCTTGCAGCCTTGCATTGAAATGAACACAAACAAGACATTTTGTATTGTCGTACAACAATCTTTTCTACTACAAGCCGTCGAATGAAATGTGCCGTTCCTGTGTGGTTCGCCATCTGACTGCCGCGCTGAGTTCAGCGAACGGCAGTGTGGATGATTCATAGAGGCACTCGCTCGCATCGCCATCTTCCAAGGACATTTTTCAGCATCAAACGTAAATGGATACCCAAAAAGTTGACACACAGCAACACCCACGGAGATGAGTTTGTGACGGTGTTGATATCATATATATACCCAGATGAAAGGCTTAAGTATCTCGTAAGGAAATGACGACCTCCTCCATCTCTCCCCACATGACGTTTCTCAAACAGTTCGCAAGCCTGTACAGGATTGAAGGGGGGGAAAGATTCAGCCGGAGTATTTCCGTCTCTCTTTCATCCACGACTTTGCATCCTCCTCAAACTTTCTCCAAGGACACGACTGCAGCTTTTTTTTAAACCCAGACTAACGGTTCCATTGATCAATAGTTTTCAATCAAAACGCATTAGCCATTTGATGCAGATTTTGCTTGCTGCATGCAGTGTGAAGGTTGGACCAATGAGCCGTGGCCTTTGGGGACTTGCAGTTCAAAGAGATATGGACAAATAGTTAGTGTCCATCCATTCTATAACAGTCTCATTGTGTTTAGTTGTGTTGTATTTGTTGTACATACATACCACACGGTAGATTTAGTTTATTTAGTATTTCATGTGTGTCATTTACTGCATATTTACACGGAATGTAATGTATGACACATGCGTGTACATATTCTACAAAAAAAATGGTAGAGGCCCTAAAATAATATGTCAAATCGCATGAAAGCGCATTTATTTTTTACAAAATATGCAATTGTTATCAAACATTTTTTTTTTTCTATTCATTTCAAGAGTCAGCCTTTTTATTTACTCTCACAAAGTAGCCAGAAATAATATCAGTTACTTGTATGTATGTTACAATTCTCGTTTCACCAGATGTTTTATTCTGACATTATTGCTGCCTGTAGGTGCTGTAAATGTGAGTCGCGAGTCACGCGTGTTAGGACAAAACAAGACAGTCAGGTTGTCATATCGGCTGCACCGCTTGCGGACACATTTTCCGGCACCCATATCCCTTGTGACACCTCCACCCTTTTCACTCCCTGTTGGGACTCCTCTTTGGGTCACACAGTATTATATCTCATCGGTTTTGGGCCTCCCCTTCCCCCACCATACATTCATGTGTAGTTTGTGAATTTGCATATGCTTCTCAGCTCAGACGCATTCATGCATTTGGCGATTTCACACCTCACTATTTATTTGTAGATGCATTAAAAAGGGTCAGATTTGGACTGGGATCTTGTGTATTTGTCTCAATCTGTCAATCCAGCAGATGCTTTCCAATCATTCTCTATCCGATGATCAAGAAACGCACATCTTTAAGCGTGGAAAAGCTCATTTTATTAGCTATTTTTCCTCTCAGGTTATTGAAGGCATGGGAATTCTTTTTGGAGGCATGGAAATGTGCTAACTGTGCTGTTGGCTGCACCTATTGAATATCAATTTTTAAGGAGACGGTCAGTCAAACACATCCAACGAGCCGACTTTCCTTTTTCAACTCGAATAAAAAGCTCTCTCGCCGCTCTGGTAAAGCCTGTTTTCAAGAGGGGGAGAGAAGCAACTGTCGGGATGTGAATACAACAGCCTGTGCTAACTAGATGAGGCCGCTGCCACAATCTGTGTGGTTTTTCAAGTGTCCGTGTGTCTCTGCCTCTCCGTCTCCACAGTGCTGGCACACGTGACTTCTTGCCCTTGCCCCCCCCCCCTCTTCTTGGCGCTGAAGGATCGGTGGCTAAAATGTCTTTGCTAAGCACGCGAGCGCCAGTAAATTAGAAAGGGGGATGATTGGAAATCATTCGGGAGTGGAGCTAGAGGGTTAGTGGTGTAAAGAGAAGGAGGAGAAAAGAAAGCGTCTCCAGGGAAGAAAAAAAAACGGTGTTTAACCATTTGTCCCTGTTTGAAATCCTGGACCTGGTAAAGAGAGGACACAAGACACATTTACCCTGTGTGTACAATCCCTCAGGCAAAACACGGATAAGTTCAGTATATTTCTCTGGTACCAGCATTCACACCAACCCAAATTAGCAAAATTACTTGAGACAGAACAAAGTATAAACAAAAAACTCAATACAGCATCCACTACAAGCCTTATAAAGGGGTTTTCTTGGGGACGTTGTGGTTTGCTTGGTGCAATAAAAAGGACTCTTTTAAAAGGAGGGAATATTAAAGAGGGACAACACAAAAGAGCCTGGAGAGAGAGCGACAGAGATGCCCTGCAGTAGCTCGCGTTCCGCAATCTGCGTCTTTTCCGGTCGCTGTGACTATTTCAGGTCACTTCAGCCTCCTGGTCATGTGACGGCAGAGCTTCGAGGCAACTGGACGGTTTGGACCAGATAGATACTGACGTGCATTTAAATGCATTTAGTAATCCCACTAGATCAATATCACCAAATGGATTGCACAGTATATGCAAGATGCTACAGATTATGTAATGAGGAGAGGTTTTCAGGGCCCTGACGGTATGACAGTAAGATGACACAAAAAACTGGTAGCGTATGTATATATATATATATATATATATATATATATATATATATATATATATATATATATATATGCATATTTATGACTGTAGAGCATGCCTTATCTGCCAGTGCAGGCTCAAGAGGGTTCAGACTGTGGCAGCGTTTTGTTATTCTGTGGGCACCGTCGGAGAATAGCAATGAGGGAGGAGGACACAGGAAACACCACATAGTGAGAGGGTGTCAGGACATCAAGCCACGCGGAGGTGAGGATGCGAAAGACACCAGCCAACCAACAACAAACACAGTAAATTCACTTACATTCATTCACAGGGGAGCAAACGTCACCTTAACCACAACCAACACTTTCACCTAATGTATGGTTTCAACATTACCCCCAAAACCACTTCTAAATTGAATGGTGAGCTTTTGGGTATCAGGATATGGGACAATACAGGTCAAGTAAGCTTGGCAAGGGAAAAAGTGGTTTAAAGTGTTTAAAAATAGACATTAATCCCACCTAAAGCTGCCTTATATATCAGTAGCTGACAGTGGCTTCCTATGTATTGTATGGAGACATGAAGGTGCTATCAATTTTCCCAATTAACTCCTGAGAAAGTCACAAATGTTAAATATGCCATTGAATAAAATTCCCTTTGGCACTTTCTTTACTTTGAATGGAGTCTGGTTGAAATGTTCTCTGTGTCCTGTCTTTGAGGTTAACAAGTTCTTGAGTCTTGAAATGCTTTTGCCCAGCCGTTCAGTGTTTAATAATTAAAGGGAGACCATTTGATATATTACAGCAATGCTCAATCTTTTGGTGAGTAAAATACAATGTAATTTCTATCTAAACGTAACAGTAAAGGTGAGTAAACTGTAAACTATGATACCAAGTATAAATTCTATATTTTTTAAATGCACATTTGTTATGGTTGCTATTTATGACAGACCAGATACTGGGCACGGGCACATTCAGCCTTAAATAGGTCACTCGGGGTGGAACAAAATATTGTCATTAAGCGTCAAAAAGCGGTCAATATTCCAGAGTTTGGTAGGAAACGGTGAGATTTTACCAGTTCTCCTCGGAGAGGATGATACATAGAGCTTTCATTTGAGCCTCTCCCATTTTACGTAAGGCCTCTGAGAAAAGCACATTCATTACTGTTGAGGGCAACATGACACAGAGCCTGATTTACAGTAACAATCACTGAGGAGCCATTAACACACTTCATCGCCACCATTTTTCCCCGACATCTAAAGGAGAGAGAGTGAGAAAGGCATTGGAACGGAGAGTCGGACACGGGGAGAAGCACAGTGCTTAGGAGGAGGATAAGCAACAAAAAAACACTGGTATTAAGTGTGTATCCTATAGGCCTTATGATGATTAAAGGATACTGAGAGTGAATACATGGAGGAGAAAGAGCCCCCTGGAGGTAGGGGCGTTTTCTTTTGGGGTGTCTATTTTCACGCCTCATATTGATGAGGAATACACTCCTTGAGTCAAGGATCAAGGAGCCTCGATAGAAATGACAGGCTTCCTGTTGCCCTTTAAATCCTTTCGGGAAACGGAAGATTACGCCCACACACGCTCGTGGTATCACATGCGGTGTACTCGCCTTACCTTTAATGTCTTAATTAGAAGACTTACAGAAGCTAAATAGATTCCAAAAAGAAGAAGAAGCTTGCAGCGATGAAGTCAATCAGACACACACCCAGTTTATGCAAGCTCTTGCAAATAAAACATACGGCTTGGTAACCCCCCCCACTCCCCTCTCCCCCGCCCGCTATGACCCACTCACGTGCGTCAGCAAGTGAGCCCCCACTGACAGCCAACGGGATGACAGCGAATGACACAGAAGCGAGGCACGGTGCGTGAGGGCTAGATGACTCAACCAAGGTGTTGTGTGTGTGTGTGTGTGCCCCCACAAGCAATTCCCCCAGAAGCTACGGCTTCCTTGTTCGACACGTTCTATTCTAGTCGGATGTCCGAAATGATTCATATTTTTGGTCGCAGAAAAAAGATCTGACGTTGCGACGTTAGAACATCCATATCCAATCAGTGGTTCAGATGCCCGTCTCCCCAGCATAATTAGGTTTTTACCCATTGCTTGGCCTCAATTACGTGATTGTGCGCTTCAGCTCCTCATTATCCCAGCAAGCATGTGCAATTAGGAGCTGAAGAAAGGAAAATAATGTGAAAATGTTGAAGTATTTGATTAATAGTGCTGTACAGACTGTAAATAAATGGCTGCCATCTGGTTTTGAAATGGTGCTGGAGCGGCGGTAAAGGTGGCAATTTATAAATATGTAGAGCATTCTGCATTGCTGAACTTCATAGGAATCATAAAAGAAATACTCTCTACAGTAGTATAATAAAAGTGGTTAGCCCATTAGGACGCAGCATGTCCTACATTGATCCGGTGGAGGGCCCTCCGGCCTTAGTTCAACTCGCTGTTACAGAAGACTCCAGAAATACCCAGCAGATTAGCAAAGGGACACTTCATCCTTCGGCTAACAAAGTGCTTGCCACGTGACCGGACAGGATAGAGCTGGTGGTGGACAAACACGTGATCGCATGATCATGTCATGAGGATTTCATCAAATATCGTACTGTAGGTGGTTTCAGTTCGTTTGACCATGGACGGCTTATAATTTACAAGCAGTGTTTCAAACTGTAAAGAAATTAAGAGTGCCACACAGACCAATACGTTACAAGTAATGTGAAGTTTTTTTGGGCTGCTTGCTGAGAAACCACTCTATACCCATAATAATCTGATCCTACAACACAGTATCTTCTACTCTGTGGACGAGCAAGAATACAAGGCCCTTACAAATCATTAAAGATTTTCTAACTAAAGACCATTCAATAGGATTACATTTGTGCCTTTATCCACAATAGACACACACACACACACAGATATAGACATGGTAACATATATATATATATATATGTATATATATATATGTATATATATATATATATATATATATATATATATATATATATATATATATATATATATATATATATATATATATATACTAGGGGTGTAACGATTCATCCACTGAATCGATTAATCGATTTATATTCCTGCGATCCAACTGAATCGATCTGTGCTCCGCAAATCGGCATTCCGAACGACATATATCGATTACAAATCGATTGGAATGGTACATAATCGATTGTATTGATACATGGAAACTGCATATTGGATTTAAGTACAAAAACTGTGTGGATGTGTGTTTGTTTGTTTTTTAGCACTTTAGACACGTTAAACGTTACTCGATTCAGTCTGCCTGTCTGTGACGTCACCAGTACGCAGCGGCAGCCGCGCGAAACTCGGAACAACAACAAAACACAGCGTGGAGGAGACGACTGCGAGCGAGACATTTACAAACCAACTTATCGATCCAGCGCGTGGAAACATTTGGGCTTTTGCAAACACGGAGGTGTTCTAAATAAGTCGGTCGCTGTTTGTAGAATATGTAGAAGCCAAATAAAAAAACACGGAAACACGACGAATCTTTCCGGCCATCTACTAAGGCGCCGTGGGATTAAACAACGCCGACAGTCAGGACCTCTAGCAGCGTCACCGCTGCAGCAGCAGCAGGTAACTGCAGCTCTGCAGACTCCTCAGGCCTCGCCAGCACCAAACTCAACATCACAGTAACAATTGCCAAGTTTATCTGTAAAGACACGCGACCCTACAATGTGGTTCAAAATCCGGGGTTCTGTGGATTGATCCAAACATTGTGTAATTATTATGTTTACATTGAAAATGTCACTTGATTCAAATAAAAGGTTAATACATTTGCCATTAATTGTTGTTTGCTTGTTTATAATATCCATAATTAATTTAAACCTGATTTCCTTACAAGAAACAACATAGATACATACATATATATATATATATATATATATATACACATACATACATATACACACACACACACACATACATATACATATATATATATATATATATATATATATATATATATATTACACACACTCATACATGCTGAGTACTCAGTTTCACAGTCAAGTGTCAAACAACCTAAACTATCTCTCTGGCCGACCAAATGAAACAAAGCTTGATGGTGATGAGAATGCCATTTCAAAACGCAGCAATCAGTGTGCAGATGATGTTTCTTTCTATTTGAGGTAAACTAATTAACTTAGAACAGCTGATAACATTCCATCCTTCTTCCAGAGTGCTTTGTGATATGCTAGTGGGGAAAAAACGCAGGGCAGAAAACTCCTGATGTTATCTTTACAGTGACCTATTTCAACGAAGGATGTGGGCATTCTGTTTATGCAAGATGGGTGGCATAAATAACTGATAGGATCAGTGTGTTGAAAGCACAGTAATCTGTGGGGGTTAATATAACTGTAGTTCTTACCTCTCCTAAATGCGGAGTAGGATTAAATCCACAAAGATTGCAAACTGTCTTCTTGCAGTTGGTGCACAAGCTGTAGTTGGGCGTGTCTACTGATCCCGCATTCAGCTCCACATTACACAGGGGACAGCTTTCTTTTGATGTTGGGGCAGGTGCAGGTGGAGGTGCAGCTTTGGCAACGGGCTCCTTCTCTTCCTGCTCCACGGAAAGGGTTCTCGGGGGTTTCTTGGACTTAGCAGGTGGGGTGTCAGGAGCAGAATCTGAATCAGGGGGAGACCCAGGAGGAGAGAATGGAGAGTCAGGTGGAGAGCCGGGGCCAGAGTCCGGAGGGGAACCTGCTTCAGAGCCCGGCGGCGACCCCGGTGGAGGGGCCGCTGCCTTCTCTTCCTCTCCAGAGACGAGATTGCTTGCTGAACTCAAGAGTGACGATCCAAAGCTGAACATCTGAGAAGCAGCAGCGGGGGTTTTGGTTGTTTCTTTCAACCCTCCAAAACCTCCAAACAACTTCCCGGCCACCGACTCTTCTTGCTTCGGCACAGCCTGCGCTTGAGGCTTCGACGATTCCATCAAGCCTCCAAACCCGCCCAAACAGTTTCCCTGTAACGGACTCGGAAGCTTGTGAGGTAGACGCGGGCGGTTTGGCGTCCGTTAAGCCTCCCAGACCGATGCTTCCCAAGCCCCCAAAAAAGCTGGACTCCTGTTTGGCTTTAGCTGGAGACTGCTGTGGACTGGACTTCGGCTGGATGGGTCTGCCTGTCTTGGGGTCAATCTTGGGGGATCCCCCCAATGAGGAACCGGGGGAAAGCGGTCCAGGAGACGTGGAACCCGGGGATTTCTGCCTCGGTGTGGTTGGTGGCGTTAACCCGTGGTCGGTAGTACTCTGCTGCTTTATCAGCAGCTTGCCAGGCTTGCCAGAGGCCTGTCTCTGGGGCGAGGGCGGGGCCGAGCCTTGTTTTGGTTTCGTCATGCCGGGGGGATCCATACCTCCCATCGCTCGCTGCATCTGGCAGTTAAGACATAACCACTCTTTGCCCTATTGGATAACACAAGAGATGGGTTAGATTTGACTGGAGCATAGTTCCACACTGTTCATCAATGGAACGTGTAATTACAGGATAAACACAGGCAACCATAACCAATTTAATCCCTATGATGCCATTTTGTTTAGCGTGAAATAATTCTGATTATTCATCAGGGGTATTGTAAATGATCGTTAACAGTTGCATTGCATTGTCTCTGTTGTGATCACACAGCACACGTTCTCTTTGTTACATGTACGGTGTATCTCAGTTTCCACTGTGTGCAAACCACAGTGTTTAAAAAGGGCCAATGTTGACAATGTGATCACTATCTAACTGCAAATAACATTGAATTTGTAGAGACATTATTCTAAGCCAAAGAATATCAGATTACCGGACTAATCGATCTGCTAACGAAAAGGACCCCCAACAATGAAAGGTATAATTATAACCAGTCACTGTGCTGTGCTTTAATCATGGCCCACCGGTGTTTATGTGTGACCGAGTGTCCTGGCAGGATGGCACGGTTTCTCCCTGTGGCCATGACATGAGTCACCTTTATCAGCATTCCCCGGGTCCATATGGTCCTTCTGTTCCTCAAGTGAAGCCACTCTAATGAGTTGCACTCCCTTTGCTTGGTTTAGAGATCAGCAATATGCTAGTTTAGGCTAGTGTGACTTGGAATCAACAATACAATAAAAATACTAGTTCTTCTTTTTTCATCCTTATGGTTTATTCATTTTAGTCCAAACTTGGGGATGTTGTAATAATATTTTTTCCAAAAGTATAGTTTAACCAATTCTGAGAATGCTCTCTTTTTATCACCAAGCTATTTTATGATGTTGATTAAAAACTACACCTTAGTCTGAATAAAGCTTTAATAACCTTTTAGGATTACGTTTATGCAGAGTATTGCGGATTGAGCAAACTGGCTTGATGTTTTACGGACATAAAACTAAATAATGTGTGACCTTTCATACCTATTACATCATACATCTCTCATACATCAATAGCGTGGTCTCTCTTATGTATTATCAGATAAATGCCAGTATACCCAGCAGCTTAATGAAGAAATTAAAAAGACTTTTCAAATTTTGAAAAGAATAGCAAAAGACATGCTTACCGCTGAGTCTGGGGGGCTGAAACCACAGAGGCTGCAGACCTGGTTCTTACACTCTGTGCAGTTACTGTAATTGGGTGTGTCCTTAGACCCGATGTTCAGCTGGGTGGTCTTACACAGTGGACAGAGTCCACCGCCGGGCTTTCCAGCCACCGGCTGACCAGGAGGACCTCCGCTCTTTGCTGATTCTCCAGGATGAGCCCCAGGGCCTGGTGGCCCTTGCTGTTTGGGCCCAGGTCCTTGTTGAGGAGATGCACCTTTTTGCTGGGGAGGGCCAACCGGTTTGGTGCCTTGACCTGGTGGACCTTGACCAGGTTTGGGGCCTTGTCCCCCCTGGGGTTCGTGGCCTGGGTGACCCTGACCTTGCCTGGGGGCCTGCCCAGGGGGTCCTTGTCCTGGAGGAACCTGGCTTGCGTTGGGACCCTGGCCTGGTGTCCCTTGACCTTGCCTGGGTCCTTGGCCATGAGGACCTTGACCTGCGTTGGGACCCTGACCTGGTTGTCCCTGACCTTGTCTGGGTCCTTGCCCAGGAGATGCTGGACCAGACGGACCCTGACCTGCATTGGGCCCCTGGCCTGGGGGTCCCTGACCTGGCCTGGGTCCTTGTCCCGGAGGACCCTGACCTGCCTTAGGCCCCGGGCCTGGTGGTCCCTGACCTTGTCTGGGCCCTTGGCCAGGAGAACCCGGACCTGCGTTGGGCCCCTTGCCTGGTGGTCCCTGACCTTGTCTTGGTCCTTGCCCAGGTTGTCCTTGACCTGGAGGACCCTGGCCTGGAGGTCCCTGACCTTGCCTTGGTCCCTGCCCAGGGGGTACTTGACCTGGCTTTTGCCCCTGTCCAGGAGGGCCCTGACCCTGTTTCGGAGGTCCTCCCTGTTGTGGTCCCTTAGGACCTGGCCCTTGCTGAGGGCCCTTGCCTGGTGGTTTTACTCCTTGCTTGGATTCAGATGAATCTCCCTCCTCCTCATCACCAAATAGTCCAAACTTGGGGATGTTGACATTATCGCCCATAGAGGATATGGAAGAGGAGACAGAGGAGGTCATAGATGACACAGCACTGAGAGGGTTGGCCCCGCTGAGGAAGCTGGATCCGAACATGCCTGATGACTTGGTCTCTGGGTCTTTAGGCTCCTGCCGGAATCTCGATTCAAAAAGGCTGAGGGACGAGGGGCTGCGGCCCGGTGAGGGCTTGCCAGGCGGACCCTGGTTGAAGGCGTCTACAGTTCGACTCTTACTGAGACCTGGAGGGCCCCTGGAGGCCCCTACCAGCTGAGTACGCTGATGGGTATCAGATACGGATGTTCTGAAAAACAGAAAAAGATAAGACAGTTGTTTGTTAGCAGTGCTTTTATTGCTATGATTGATTTATGTTTACGTTGGCAGCGTATGAAAAGGCCAAATCTATACCAACTCAGCATCATAAGCTGACCCAGGGTGAAAATGAAAACACACCAAACCCTGGATGAAACTTCAGCGATCCTCTCCCAAGATTTTCCCAATGCAATTAGTTTGGTGGTGATGAGCTGACATTAAACACATTAAAAAAAAAAAAAATCTTGCTGTCTATTAAAATATTTCTCAAGACAATTGGGTACTCAAACATCCCACGTGCTGTCTAAAATACATTAACAAAGTATCAGTAATATTTTTATGTATGTATGTGCTAGTTGTCCATTAAAAAAACATTGCTTGGGATGTTGACTAACTCCTCTGCTTCAATTGAAGCTTCATCGTGCTAAATTAAGACCATAGAACAAGCTCTTTGTTAATCGCTGGGCCTTTTCAGCACATCAGTGAACACAGAGTGTGTAGCTAGCAGCCCCGGGGTGAAGCTGAGAGGAAAGTGAATACCGCTGAATGACACAGAGTGTAGTAGATCATTGAGATAGAAAGGGAAAAGCTTGCCTCCATGAGGGTAAGCTGAGACCTCTTTGTTAGCTCAGACTGAGAGGCAACCTACACAGACTGCTCGGCACGAGCGTGAAAGTCAACGGCATCCTTTTTTGAGAAATGCACCAAGGGATAAATGAGCCGATGCTTTGTTATTGTATACGTTGTAAGCAGCGGTGTTCCCTTGAATTTGTCTGTCTATTGCAGTGGATTTCAGCACCACGGACAGCAACCAGACTCAGGGAACCCAAACTAGAACGAATAAAATCCGACAAAACAAAATCAGAAAGAAGCAGGAGGAAAGCCTAGACTGATGGCATTAACACTGCTGTTCTATTTATAGTCATATTAATATTTACACACCCCTCCCCCAATCTCTAGCTGAGATATAAATAACATGTTTTCCCCAATTGGGGCCAATTTGCATACCGCCCATTATGTTATCAGATAACGGAAGATATTTCACTATTATAAGGGTAACGTGCACATCTGGAGCAAAACGGAGCTGTTTTTTTATTTTATTGGAAGCTTTCTACCTCCCCCACTACAACACAGCACATTTCCCACGCAACCGATTTAAATCCACTATATGCGAATGTATGTGAAAACTGATTGGCAATATTAGTGCGCGATTACACAGCTGATAACTGAAGCGGATTATTTTAGCTGAGCGTCGTTTGGGGGGGGGGGTTGGGAGGGGGGGGGGGGGGGGGGGGGATTTTTACCCCCCAGGGGTTTCTAAAATTTTCCCACAATACCGGGAGGGTGTCTCTTACTCTCTGATCTCACAGAGGGACAAACCGTAGACACGGCATAAGCCCATTCACCATCTCAGACGGATTTCACACCTCGAGTCTTAGAAATGCATCTTAACGCGAGCAGCTACGAGGAGGTTCGCGCATCCGCGCAAAACAGGACACACAACGTCCAACAAAGCGGCAGGCATCCATTTACATTTTTGTTTCCTTCATTTTTTTTGCCATGCAGAGTATCAGACTGCTTATCACTGCTTATCCATTACAGTGATCACAAACAGGCGTAAACGAGCTCTCTCGGCTTCCTTTAGGGTATTTTCCATTTACAAATGATGCTTTAAAGTACCACAACACATCCACTCGTTCTCTTTCTTTCTCTCACATATGGATATGTGTAGATATTTCAGGTGCATCAAAAAAATATACATATATATATATATATATAAATGTGGTGGTAAATAGCCCTGCCTTCGTGCAGCTGCTGCGCCTCCGGGCTGCCTGCCTTGCGCCCTTGACATCGCCGCGGCGAGCTGCCTGCGCTGCTCCTCGCTGAGTTCACCCAGGTCCACCGGAGTCCCCTCGGGGACCCGGACGAAGCCGCCCTTGCCGTCGGGTGCCAGCCCCTCCGGTAGCCCGGACGGCGGCCCTTCGCCTCCTTCCAGGCTCGCTTCGTTCCCCATGATCGACCCCTCCCGTCCCCCTCCCCACCACCACCACCACCACTACCACCTCCCGTACGCGGATGGATGTAGGATCCGAGCCTTCCCCCGCGTTTTTATGTCCAAAGCGCGCAGCGAACACGGTGTCCCTCGGTGCCTCGAAGCATCTCAGATCGGGTTGTCCCCCGGCGGTTAGTGTCCTTCCATGTCCCTCATTTCTCCTTGTTTTTCCGTGTCGCGCATCTCTGCAGCTGTACGTACACCACAGTTACCACAGTTTTCCGTGAGGGGGGTCTCTGTCTTACTATTGCTCACAGTCAGAGAAGGGCACTTCCGGTAGGTTTTACAAAATAAAAATCATAATCAGACGGCAATAATGCGATTTATTTAGTTTGGACATTGGGAAATGAAATCATTATGGGGGCCTAATGCATGATCTGAAATTAAAAGACGCAATAAAAGCAGTGATACTTAAATAACATAAAACCTTACAGGTAGAACAGGTAGGCCGCTCTTGTGTACCCGATGAGGGGAATATAATTTAAAGCTTCACTTAAGTAATCTGTTCGTGCCAAACGATTCCAGAACGTCAGTCACTGAAACCTCTAACACAACATTTTAAGGCATTTATATTGAAACCCAACTGTTTACTACTTCCGTTTCGTTCCATGGAACAGATTGTCTAACATCCTCTGGACTCTCCTGCTCACCCACCGCGCCTGGTTCCGCCTGTGGCAGGTGATCAGAAGACATCCGTGGAGAAAAATGTGTTTTTAAAGGGGACATCCTCAGCTAAATGTGTCTGTTTTGATAGTTTAAACTGCGAGGCTGAGGGAAACATAAAGGACATCATTGGTGCTTTTTGTTTTCTTCATTCATTATTAAAGTCAAATTGAAGATACTTGCAGATGTTTATAGGTCAAGCATATGGAGAGGGGATGTGAAATGATAGTGGAAGCACATATGCACTATAAAATATCTATTGAAGAGAAATATAGGATGATGTACTTTATGTGCATTTTATCCATCCTGACCCGCACAAGCAGTTTGGTTCTGCAAGAGACCAAAAATTTGCAGCAATCTCATTCAAAAACGCCATACGTCTTATTTCAGTGGAAAGTTCTAACATAAAATATTCAAAAACACAGATAAAACATCAGCAAGGTTCTTCAGATGGCTCATAGCATGAATAATATCTCATTCGCTTTGTTCTTTTTCCCCACTTGGCAGCTAGATGTCTCTAAAAGGCTGTATAGTCTCAAATATGTTAATTTGCAACTGAATGCTGGCAGAAGCATGCGGACATCAAGCTGACTGTAAATTACAGTGAATTATTTATTCCCTGACTGCCGTTGTTTTCATGGTGGGACCACTGTGATCCAATGAGTGTAATTCATTGGCTGCAGTATGTTGTAGGTGAATACATAAACAAATGTACAGTACGAATGTATTATTATCAGCCCCAGATGTTGAAAAATGACACGGCGACAATATATTGAGCCCCCATCTACTGAGGATATGCACAAGCAGTCACCAGATTCCGTGGAGAAGGATATTAAAACGCGTCGCCTCTGCTGTACATCACGATGATGTGCTGCAATCTGACAGCGAGGGCTCATTTGCTCCCTTGTCTCTGGAGCTCTGGGGCAGACGTGTCCTCTATGTGTGCCTTGCTCAGGGCCCTTAGTACCTGGGCATGGAGGGAGGGAGGGAGGGAGGGAGGGGGGGGGCCGGATGACTAGTCTGCATCCTCAGCCAAAGCCCAACGTTTGTTTGTTTCCTTTCTGTTTTCCTGAACAGCTCCTTAACAAAAGCATCAAGGACTTTGTGACGCTGCACATCATCATTTAAACCAAATGTTAGCTGCTACGCCAGCTTCAGCAAGTACGAACATTTTTATTATGCCTCTGATTTTATGTGTTGTGAGTCTACCCATTTCCATTTTCAGCATATCAAATTCTTTGGAAATGCACTAGATTAGATTTCTACACTAACACTCTGTGAACAGTTGCTATGAAGCTACAACCAGGATGCTGAAGACAGGAAGCAGAGGAAGCCAGTTACCCAGGCTTTGTAAAAAAAAAAGGTAGCAAAGCCTATAACTTTCAGCACTATATGTATTTTTAATACAGACAAGTGAAATATATGTAATTTGTATTTTTACGGCGCGTGATGTGCTGGATTGTCCCTGTGTTGCCCCTTTAAAGAGAGACATCCTGACTCAGGGGTGTTATATTGCATTATTTACCTCTGTTTATGTGCAGAAAAAACCTGCTGTACAACCTCAGCATGTTGGATTGAACAACCGCAATATGAATAGTGTAAACAGTCTCACAGCCTTATAGGTGCCTAAAGTTTATTTAATTTGGACAGAGCCAGGTTAACTGCTGCAACATGGTTCGGTCTTTTCCTTCATGCTTTCTTTGTTCCTCCTATCATATCACTTTTCTTTAAATTCTACATTTAAAATCACATTTCCTTGCTCTCCACCTCCAGTACTTTGTCTTACTATATATAGATACGCCTCATGTTCTTCATCCTGGTCTCCCTCTCTCCTTTAGTCTTCTTCCTCCTCCTCCTCCTCCTCCTCTTAGTGTACGTCCATGCGTAGGCCGTGTAGCGATTGCTCGGCTCCTCCCCTCCTTCCCACTGATCGCTGAGGCACGGATCGTCTCTACGCTGTGAGGAGGAAGCAGCTTGTGCGTGCGTGCTCTCCCTCCGTATCTCACGCACGCATTCACACAAACACATCGACTGAAGCACCCGGACGTGCAAAGCAAACGCCTTCAACCAGGCAGACAGACGGACACACGCACACACACACACACACAGGTGTAAACACACAACATCAAACACAGGCTGGGGGACAAGTACTCTCTGAGGCATGTGCAAACCCTGCAGTTTGTATAGACACACATTCACACAGACATCTGCGTACAGTGTACACAGAGTAGACTCATTAGTACAATGTTATCAGGGGCTTTTAAGCAAAATAATTCATTTCTATCTGTTATTGAAATGCTTTCAGATCTCAGATGTGTTCTTTTAAAATTATACTTAATGTACAGAAGCATGCGCAAAACTATTACTCCTGTGACTGATTTATTACTGTATTGTATGTGCCGACTCAGCGGGGTCACAGGTCAAAAAGCTTGGAAAGCACTGTTGATATTTGTTGTTGTTGATTGGATTGTTGCAAAATACAATTTTTCCTAGTTTTAATATAAATATATTAAGTACAAGTATCTCAAAGCTGCACATTAGTATAGTTGCTTTCCGCCTCTGAATGTATATTTGCCATGTGCAGCTTGTGCGAGATGCATTTGTGCCACGCAGCCGATGTAACTGGAGGCTTGTAACAGGATCGCACGCTGCGCCGCGTTCATTAAATTTGAATACTCAATTGAGGTACGCGGCATAGACACTAACAAAGGCAATTTATTGTGCTGCTGCAGAGATCAGTGGCAGTCGAATAACGACACCTACCTTAAAGCTCCGATGATATCTTCCCTAAATACAATGACACACTTTAGCAAAAACACCTGAGTGATATGATATCTTTGAGATGTGTATTTACCACAACGGCTCTGTTTCCCTTGTGATTGTCTGAGACACTTATCTACTAAAACCTGTTAGCTCATAATCCCTTCTTCTAGCGAGAAGCAAGCGGTTACTTCTTTAAAAAACAAGGAAAAAAAAATGACATACCTTCACTTTAGCGTGTAACAGGTAGGAGTTTGTTTCCTCGAAGTCACCGTGTGAGGAGGTGAGGTAGCTCCTTTAATGAAGGCGTACTTGAGGTTTAATTCCTGGTATATTAGAGCTGATCCTTTGTCATCCCCATTACCGACCCGGCGAGCGCCTAACACCCCCCCTCAATCTCAATTTCTCCCATCCAGCCAGACGTTGTGGACTCAAAATACCTTTAAAGTCCCGGAGGCTCCCTTCATTACCTCACCCGATCTTACTATCCACACACACACACACGCACACACACACACACACACACAGACTCCTGCAAACACAAGCTGTGACACACTCATGCCCAGGCATAAGAGGTCCGTCTAATCCTCTTTTCTTCTGAGAGGCCAATCGCACGCTGCGCTGTCCAGTAAGCTGTTTTTTTTGGTCCTGCTGTAACTACCTGTCAGAGTTGAGGGACAAGATAAAAAAAGGACTCCACGATCAATTAGTCATCCTTTAACAAAACTAAGTTTAACCCCATACTTTCTCACAGCGACAAACACCCCTGAAGCTTCACTGAGAAGCCACAACACCACCATCTGTTGAGGCTGGGAAGCACAGACAGACGTATAGAGGACGACAGGACGGCAATATTACAGGAAGCATAAATTCTATGGCTGCGGTACAAGGGAAACGGGCCGTCTTTCTGGCTCACTGAATGCAGAGGCAGATTCTCTGTGAATCATTTTCCTCGGCCCCCCCCGAAGGCAAACAAAGGCGTCTGATTCTGGGACTCGACACGACGCAGGCGTCGGAGAAGTCGCTTTTGTTTCATGCAAATACACAGCAGCACAAATACACAAGGGACCAGCATGCAGAGGCAAGAAGAGATATGCTCTCAGGAAGCCCTAAAAAAAAAAAAATATATATATATATATATATATATATATATATTTCAAGGATGAATATTATTATTTTATGAATTTAAATGTTTAAGTTGTTGTCTTCAAGTGTACTTCTAAGGCGTTTGTTGTGCGTGGGTGAAGGCCGTGGGAGGGAGACTTCAGCAGGGAACTCTTAATAGGATTTACTGGTCACAGACTGGAAGCCAATCTCCAACAAGCCACAAGTCCAGTGGCGGCTGATTGCAGCTACAACAGCGTGCCAAAGAAAAGTGCAGCGGTAACAGTGGGGTGAGAGCGTGTTTAGACTGTTGGTGAGAAAAATACTCCCATGATTGTAGTTAATTAAGACGGTGTAGCTACGGTGCCATCCCTGATTTAACTGGAGCAACTCCCAGTTTGTTGCAGGCTCTCTTTTTCTCGCTGAGATCACTCAGGCAGTGTGACAGTTCTCTGATGTCTTGTTCCCTCGCAAGTTTTCATTCCTGTGAGCATACGAGACAACTTCTTTGTCTGCTCAATGGAGGCTTCTGCTGTTGCTGCTGCTAATTAACAAGGTTTTTCCACAGTGCGTCATGCACAAGCTGCTGCCAGAAACGGAAGAAAAAAAAAACACACACATCACAGATGAAAAACTCACCTAAAAACCGTGGTTCGTACCAGCCAAAAGGCCCTCACGGATGGACGCTTAAGACGCGTTCTGGCTCACATCGGACTCACATCGGACTCACGGCTCGACGCTTGGCTCACCAGTAAAAATGGATTTGTGTCGTCTCCTCATCTGCTCTCACGCCGCACTCATTTTTCTAAGTGAATTGACAGCAGCTGACATCTTTTACTAATGCTGCTCAGGGGGTCTAATGGGCCGATTCATCAAAAGGGGAAGCGGACTGAGATGAGCCCATCCGGGGAGATAAAACGCCATCATTTTAGGAAGAAAGGGTCGAGGGATAATGTCAGTAGTAAGGCGGTTTGAACAGCAATCAAGTCGCGAACAACCCCCCCCCCTCCACCCCGTGAATCATCAAACAACCCACACCTGTTGTCAAGGTGGCGCGTCACCGTCAGTGACGTCGTCACTTGGCAACAAGCGGGTGAGTCCCTTGAGTTAAGCTAGACTAGGCACGGATGAGTCACACTGACGGCCCAGTTTGAACACGAGGGGGTTGCATGAAATACTTGAAGGCAAACTGTCTCTATGAGGCTCGCCGGTTTCCAAACGCCGCCTCGGCCTTCCATATCTATTTTTTTTAGCTAAAAAAGGGGACGTTTCGACCGGAGAGAGCTCCGGCGGGTTCCATCGTGATTTACCAAGTCGCTGGTTACCCTGCAGACCAGAGTGAATCAGTATTCTCTCCAGAGGACGGCCAGGAATAGGTCATTGATCACCTCATCAATCCTGAGTCGCCGCTGAGCAGAGAGGTCAAACTGGTGTCAGTCCCTTTATAGGGTGCCCGCCTGTACGACTCCCAGCCTTGTAGCTTCGTGCGTTGAGGAGGCGGGATCACCGCAGTACATCACGGCTTGACAGGGTTAGGGTTTAAAAAGTGAAATGACAGGTAGCCTGGCTGAGTAGCTTTCGTTTGAGTCAAAACACAGCAGATATATTCTGTGGGTCTGCTGATTACGTCCATTACTAATTTGATAATTAATCATTTGGGCTTTAAAATCGAAGAAAATATACAGTAAGTTCCACAGACGCTCCAATCCGACGAATCAGGGGAAGGCAAGGAGAGCTGCACCTGGTGATCACAGCCATGACTCGCTGGGGTTCAGTCTTACAAAATGTCATTGAGCACCAAGGGGGGGCGGCCCTGTAAAAGATCCCTCCCCAGTTGCCATGGTTTCTGCGGCAGCTGCCACTCACCTACAATGTTCCTAATCGTGGGATCACTTGATGTTCTTTGAAAGATAGTGCACATAGTTTAGGATTACAGCAGCTCAAAGGGAGTGAGAGACGGGAGGGAGTTTACCCCGGAAATCAGGAAGTGAGGAAAGATGGATGTGTTAGATGCACACTCACACATATTGCACACGCACACCATCACGTAATATACGTTCAGAGGTCGGCAACGAGAGGTGGTGATATCAATGTCCCTCTTTGATCCACACTTGAATCTCCAACACACACACACACACAGACACACACAGACAGAGAACAGTGAGATATAAATGTACAAATGTCCTCCAATCAGCAATTCATAAACCTGTATGATTCCTGCTGTTAGTATTGCTGACATGTAAATGCAATGTACCAGGTAGCCTTTTCATTCCATTTTAAATTTAGGTAAAACATTATCCATTACACTGGAAATGAAAAGTCCTTCTTCCGTGGAGTAATTAGGTTTTAAAAAAAAGGAAAAAGGAAAATTAGATTTTGTGGCCGTGAACCTTTTTCTCTTCTTTTCTCATAAAATGATGATAATCTCTGAAAAAGGTCCATTTAAAGAAGGGCTCAAATGCGACAAACGTACATTTCGGATTGGGATTATATAGTCATTTCACTTCTAAATAAATAAACACTTGCTTGCGAACAAATTTTCCTATCAATCTTTTACCATTTGCTATAATAATAATAATAATAATAATGCCTTTTCAAATGCTGAAAGTGTGTTCATTCTGCTGCAGCTTAGTTGTTGTTGAGACTCAAAAAGAAGTGCAGCTGTGAGAAGCAGAAGACAGTGAAGAAGCTCCCTGAAGCAAAGGACACAGTAATAAAACCCTCAAACATAATGAACCAGACAACTCATTTCAACGGCTGAAAAATGTGTATTTTTAAACTGAGGCCGACACACACACACACACACACGCACGCACAAAGGCACACAGGACATTCAAGGGCGGTCGCCATGGTAACAGGACCAGCAAATTCACAACAGGTGTGTGAATCTTGAGGGCAGTGGACGTGATTGCTGCACGCTAATCACTTGAGCGCACGCGCACAGTTTACGAGAAGCGGGTACTTGTGTCCGACTAGCGAAGGAAAACATTTCTGTCGAGATATTACATTTCATGACGTTTCAGCTTCCACATCCTTACCACAAGTGGCTGACGGGCTTTGAAAAGTCAGGCTGCACGGGCAGCAAGACCACAGCAACCTCTGCTGGTGCAAGAAGAGAATCAGCGTTGTCTTTGCAGGGAGAAGACATTTGGACGCGTCCCATTAGGGGGGGAAAAGCTCTGGTTTGAATAATTGTACTTATTCACTATTTCATTATGCTGATTGACTTTCAAGGATATTGTGCTGGCTTAAATGTTCATGTTCATTTTAACTACAGACAACAACCACCAATCTCACTCACCTCTAGCCGTCTTATAACATATCCATCCGTGAGATTCTTTGCCTCAAGTAAATCCCGTTTTGCAGCACTGTACAGATTACGTTTTAACAACGTAAGCCCCCCGAGACCCCTTTTCACAGCAGCCAAGGGGAAATACATTTTGTTAATGATGTGTCAGTTCCATTTAGTGTCCCAGTGAGCATGCACAATACCAGCGTCCTGAAAAAGGCCCTAAAACATGGGGTGCAGTGGTTTTGAAAATATGCAAAAATAAAACGTGCCTAAAAACCTGCTGTGACAACAAAAAGCTCGCTGTAATAAATGTATTTCATTCAATAAATTAATTATTTCATTCCTTTTGAACATCGGCCTGTTAGCCGTCGCTGTGCGCGCGCTGAGAACGGCATTTAGCCGAATCCGGCCTCGCACAGCCGTCAGGTTGCAGGTGATTCTTTATTTGTTTTTTAATGTAATTTGGGTGAAAGGAAGCGTTCCAGACTCCATGATCCTCTGTGCGCGCGGCTGTGTTTTGTCCCCGGACAAGCATACGTGCATTGTTACCTTGTATGAAAATCAATTGCGGCTGAGGACGCCGTGTGCAGAAGGCCTTTGATTGAAATGACTGAAATGAGAACAAATGGACTGTTTTTTTGTAACGGAGATGTTTATTTAGACAACTGAATGCATGCCAGAAAGAACTGTGCTACAGCAGCGGTAACTTTCAGCTCTCTCGCTTTAATAGCTCTGAGGGAGAGACCCGAATCGATGACACACCAAACTTTGGAGTACTGGTAGAAAAACACTATCGAGTTCTAAATTATTGCATTGACACATTACTCTTGTCGTGTAATAAGGGATCAGGGGAAATGGGTAACATTGTTGTATCGAGGTTTAAGGAGCTTGGATCTTAAACAGCTTTGGCCAGAGTATCATGGGTTGTTAATATCACTGTTTTGGCAAAAGGACAAAAACAAAAACCTCACACTTTGCGTTAAAGGAACTTTACCTCTCACACAAAACACGTAAAGAGACGATAAAAAAGATGCACTTACTGTAGCATTCACATGCAGTATAACGTGTCTTCTCCTTCAGACTAATTTTAACTTTTTTCTCCACTATTTCTTACAGAGTTTCACAGCTAATGTTTTTCAGTTTTGGGGAATTATCTTACACATAATGGACACTGGATGAACAAAGACATGTTGGATGATCTTGGGAGAAAATAAAACGTTATGAAATCTGTTATGACATTCAAAAAAAAGAGACAAAATTGTGCTTTTCGTTGGTCAGAAATGTGGCAATGACACACATCCCTGTACTCATGCTCATGAGTCATTTTCACCCTTTTGTCCCTAAAAAGGGATTCCTTGACATTCTTTTAACCAGTTGGTCCATCAAAGTTTTCTCAGTTGCTGTTACCATTATGTCTCCAATATATTGATGAGCCAAAAACACCATAATATCAAAAATAAATGCAACCCTTTCACAAAACAATGAGCAATAAATAATAATCAAGTGGTGTTCTTGTACTGTATATGTACTGTATATACACAGAGAGTTAAGTTTGTTGTATATATGTACACAAAACAACTGGCAGTCTATATCAGACTGGGTTTTTAAGCATAGCCTACAGCTGGAATTCGTGCCCAGATTCTATAAATCCCAGAAAAAGCAACACCATAATAACTTACACAGAATCCTCAAGAGCAGAAGGGATAATGAACAATGAGACTACTATGTTGCGTACAAGCCCCCCAAAATAGAAGCACTGGTCTGGAAAGGTAAGGAAATATAAAATAAAAAAGTAACATTTCTTTAGGTAGGGTGTGTAAAAAAAAAAAAAAAAAAGCTTTTAGAATTCCATAAAATAACTAGCTTATTAAAACATTGATTGACAACAACATGCACAATGCTTCTCCAGCCTTAGGCGGAGATGGTTCTGGTGAAGCACTTTGTCTAAACCGTAGTGCGACTTTGCAGTTTCTGCACGTAATAATGCTTCTATTTGTTTTACGAGCGACAGTGGTGAAAGCCACCCCCCCCCCTTCCCTTTTCACGGTGCTGTCGTCAGTCTTCACATCAAACACTAGACGGATGGTTCTTTTCTCCTCAAACAGTTCTTCAAAATAAGAGTTCTTTTTACTTTTTTTCATCCATTCCGTAGCCACAGTCTTGCCGTTCACATGCTCAGGTCAAAGAGGACAGCCGGTTGCAAGGGATGGATAGTGTCTGTGTATCTGTTAATGTCTCCAGGACTGTCCGTTCAGCATACTAAGCCCATATGCGTACCAGCAAACACCTCGCCAAGCATGTTTTTGTCCCAGTCTTATTTTAGTAGCTTATGTACAGGAAGTTGAAGTGTCTGCCAGGCGGTATCCTAGGAAACCGGCCACATCCTCACAGCCTTACAGTTTGCGTTCCAGTTCGACAGTCCTCTGTTGATCACTACGCTCTCTCACAAGTTATGTGACTTTGTGTACGGCTCTATGTGGATATATCTAAAAATGTGCAGCTGTTTGTTTTGTTTTTTTTCTCACGGGTGTTTGTTCTGCTGTTGTCACGGCGAGGTCAATGAATCTTACGTTGGACACACAGTCTACAGAAGGTGTTTGCGTGTCTACGTGTGGATGCGTGTGGCTTTGTGCTTGTTCGCGTGGGTCCGGTCGCAGGTGTGTGCGTCCGCGCCTTTTCTCTCAAACGCTTCGCGGGGGTCTCTGAAGCTCGTGGGTCCTCCTGTTGCGTCCTTTCTTATTCTCCTGCATCCGTCGCCACTTGGCTGCGTGCTGGCTGCTCGCCCTGGACCCGCCCGCAGCCTGAGAACCAGCCTGGCCGCCCTGCCCCTTCTGGCCGCTTTGCGTCTTCTTACTGTTCTTGGGTGCCTCGCCCTCAACGCTCAACATCCCCAGATTCGGTTGCGCCTTCTGGGTAGTCTGGCTCCGTGCCGACCCTTCCGCTGTCGGCCCTTCGGCCTGGGGGGGACCCGGCCTGCTCTGAGGTGGGCTGGCTTGCTGCTTCTGGGCGTTGGGAGCCAAAGCCTTAGGCCGCAGGGCGGCGCCGTCGGCTTTGCCCTGGCCGTTCCCGTTGGGCGCCTTCCCCCTCTTCTGCTTGCGGTCTTTCTTCCAAACTCGGTCGCAAAACTCTTCCACGCTGTGGAGGTCCGGGTGGTCCAAGAGGGAGAGGAAATCGCGATACCACAGCCTGTGCTTGGGAGAGTGACCGACCCCGCCTCCCGCACTGGGGAGTCCCGGTAGGATGTCCCCCAGTTTCTGGGCGGGGATGACCTGGAGGTTGAGGCTCAGCAGGGGCTGGATGAAGCCGTGCTCCACCGCCTGGCAGTGGTAGATACCGGTGTCGGACTGGATGAGGCTGCGTATGAGCAGGCCCTGGTCTGTGCGCAGCACCCTGTCATCTAGCTTGATCTACGGAAACAAACAGAGAGAAAAAGCAAACAATGATGAAGGGACAGACAATGGGGAAAAGGGGAAGTAGAAAAACAAACAGATGAGTTCCCGTCCGGACAAGATTTTTTACATCTGATTCTGTAATTGATTCCGTGTTGGCCCACAAACAGCTACCAAATGTTAAACTAAAGACGAAGGTGAGCACAGATAAACTTCCTCCCTTCAGCGGAACCGCGGAAACAGGCTGGAGCGTCGAACCCAACACACATACAAACATTGCTTTTCATGTCAAGGAGGCTGAAGGCCACAGAGGCAGTTGCCCATTCTTCCACTCCCTGCTGCTTGAGAGGCCAACCCGCGGCAACGTGCGCGCCGTACGCACCTCGTGTTTGCGGTCGTCGTTGGGCTTCTGCTGCTGCCAGTATATGAGCGCTCTCTGAGACTTTGGGCTGCACTCGAGGAACATGCTGCTGTTCTCCACGCCGTACACTCCCCGGTCCTCCACGCTGCCTCCTAAGCCGTCCGTATCGTCTACTCAAACCAAAAAGACACACGCAGGTGAGGAGGGGGGGTGAGAAGGGTGTGGCGAGAAAGGGGAGATAGTGTAGGTGTTTTGTGTGTGTGGTGGTCATTAAGGTACCATGATGCTGAAGATCTGAGCACTGGGAGAGGGGGTCTCCGTTTCGGATGTCCTGGCGCCTGGTTCGCCTGGGAAGAAACCACAGTGAAAGTTAATGGCGGGAGTGGGTGTACTGGTGATGGAAGCAGCACAGGTCGTACAGAGTAGACCTTTTTACGCCTTCTGTTCGCTGTACTGTTTATGTTCCACCACTAGGGGGCAATGTTACACAATACTATTCCACGTTCAGCTTCAGCTCCACAGAGAGGCTATTTATTGGACCTTCGCTCCACTATCACATGGGTGAAACAAAACTGAATGCTGGCAGAATTGTAGGACACATAAGCCTGCAGAACCATGAAAAAATGTGCTTCACTGGCTTCTGATGAACAGCCATTACGAAACACATTTAGCACCGTTTCGCCCTTGAAATGCCTCCTAAAAGCAGCCATGCGCTTCGTCATCTCAATATGAAGGCCCACTTTGTCCTTTTTTTTACTGTGACGGAAAGGCGTTTTCATCGCCCGGCTTTAGCGACTAACTGCGAATGTGTTTCCCCTCGTTCCTGGTTGTTATGGTCGTGTGTAAAATCTGTGATGAGGGCTGCAAAAATCAAAGCAGGGGGAGATGAGGAGGGGGGAGATGGGGTAAGCCAAAGGTGAGAAGAGAGTTGAAAAAACACAGAAATAAAGAAGATAGACGGGAAAAAAGGTAGAACTGTTGTAACAAACGTAGAAACAGATGGAATGAAATTTTGTGTGAGAATTCCGCACACGAAACATGGCCACTGACATCCCTCCTACTTTTCTTCTGCGAGCCACATACATCCGGACACTTGTCTCTCTGTCTCTTTCTCACACTTGTCCCTCCTCTGTGTAATTCGTAGGCTGACATTCCTGTCTTTTTTGGCCGCGTGAGCACGTGCGGGGCCGGGTGTCTGGTTCCCATTCTAGGGAGGGAAAATATTTGCAGCCGCGGAGGAGAGCAGAGAGGAGCTGCTCCTGGCCTTAACCGCGGGGTGTGCCACCTCCCCTGGAACCCCGCCAAGCCGGAGCATACCCACCGGCCTACTTCTGCCGGTGTGAGAAGCTCTGGATGAATAAGACGCAGGGGTGTAGTGCTACGTGTGTGTGTGTGTGTGTGTGTGTGTGTGGGCTTGGTGGTGGTCAGCCTAATCCAGCAGGATACAGCAAAGGGTAATTTGAGGGTGTGTATGTTCATACCTCCTGGCTGCCGAGGGAAGCGGTCAGACAGCTCCTGGCTGGCTATGATTTAGTGTGCGTTTATTTGTGTAGTTGTACAGTTGTTCTCTTCTGACTCGGTGTGTACATCTTGGCTGGTTGTGGAGCCACGGCACCGCAACTTAGACCAACCGTTGCTGGCAGAAGCTATGACCCAGGTTGCCGGATTGCACCTCTGGGAATGCATACTTGGCCTGCTCGTATCTAATGACTGTACTTTGTGCCCGTGTAATATTCTAAACTCCTGATTACTTCCATGTCTCGATGTTTTGGCCTGTACCGTGTAACCTTTGTACTTTTTTTTTACACTTCAGCTTGCCGCTCTCACGCTAAAAGGCCGCTTCAAGTCTGAGGTAACACAAAAAAGCCATTTCTTACTCGGATGCCCCCGAGCTGAGCGTTTTGCAGCCAACTGCAACCATCAGACTGCAGGTGCGCTGATAACTGCCAGGCGTGACTGCGTGTGAAGCGAAAGAGAAGCATGCAGGTTCAGCCAGCCCCCTCCGTGGGTAAACGAAGGGCCATGGGTTTGTTCGGGTGGCGCGCAGGCTCCTACCTCTTGGCGGTGGGGAAGTATCTCGAGCACTCGCTGCCGTCCCAGGCGCAGTAAGGGTCCCGGGCCAGGCAGCACTCGGCGCAAGCTTTCCCGTACACCTCGCAGCGATGCAGAGACATCTGCGACACGCCCAGGCCAGAGCCGAGGTACAGCTGTTGCTGCGGGGGCACAGAGACAGAGCGGGGATGTAGAGCTTGAGCGTTCCCGTGGGGCTCTTGTAAAATGAAGGTGGTTTGTGGGGTTTGAGTCCCCGACGGGAGCGTTGCACATCGCTGTGTTTGGATATCGGCATTGGTTCAACGGCCCAGGCGTCCTCACTCTAGTCCCGTCAACAACCCCCTGGATAAATTATTATGCGCGAAGGCAAGTCCTTACCTGCTTGGTGGACAGCTCCATGGCGGTAATCGGAGTGGGTTCCTGCGCAAAACAAATGTGCACATTTGTAAACATCGTGTCTTTTTCTACAGGCGCTGCCTCGTGAACTGCTGTTGGCTCGTCGTTTTCAATGTCTCACCCTGAAGACAGTCATCTCTTCGAGCACCACTTCCTCCAGGTCATGCCAGCTTTCTCTGGGAATTGTCACCACCTTCAGTACTGTGCCCACATCTGAAAGTGAAGATACAGTATATATGTATTGTATATAATACATCATCTTTGTTTGCTTCCACTGTTAAAAGTCCTAATCTGTGGCAGCTGGAATGTAAACATAATGTATATGACATTTATTTCTCCAAACGTTATTCTCTTAGATTGTTAGAGTAAATAAGTTATTATTTTCATGTTTTATCTGGTATGTCTATGCACAGAAAATATTGAAATAAGAGAATAGTTGTATGCATACATGTGCAGTTTAAACAATTTAAAATAAAAAATTAGTCATTTATTCGTAAAAGTGCAAGACTCAACATTAAATACCAAGTAACTGTGATCGATTTCACTACGGCAACAACAAACTGTGTTTACCCGTCCCGATGAACATGACGTCGTACTGTCCGTCCTCCGCCTCCACTCTGTCCACCACCAGCTGGGAGAACTGGTAGTCCACGTCCGTTCGCACCATGATGGGACGCCCGCCTATCGGGTGCACCGGGTTGTACATGGCGGGGTGACCCCTGGCAAAGGTGATGACATCGTCGGGAAGGTCCTTGGTGGAGTCGAATCCTCCGAATGTCTTACTGGGGCACTGTGAAACAGAGCCAAGTGGAACGCAGGTGAGTTTCAGACTAAAAAAAATGTCTTAAAAAAACTAGATTTGTTGCCGATTGTTTAGGGACTCACAGTGCCGGGGCGGGGGTAGGGCACCCTCCCCTGGAAGGGCACCCACTGGTAGTTGGGTCCGTCTCTGTGGGCGTAGGGACCCAGGAAAACCCTCCTGATGTCTGCCATGTTGTACATGCACACTGCCGAGCCTTTGAAGATGTTACTGTGGAGAAAAAGGAAGGTTAAAGGGCGGTGACACAAAGGAAGATGACACACAAAAGGCATTCATAAACAATTGGTCACCAGACGGGGATCAAGAGCTTGCGAAAACGCTGAAGAAAGACAACAAAATGACCCTTCATCGCACAAAGACGGCGAGGAGCGCGGCTGTCATTACCTAAGTGCGGGAATGACAGATTGGAACTTTGCTCTCTGATTGCTTCCAGCGTCTTAAGAACAGACAGGAATTTGGGCACAGCACCAACTCAACAGAAGACCTGGTCGAGAGCATATTTGAGGATCCCCTTCACCGTTTTGTAAGCACATGCTTCAGCCAGATGGGCGGATTTTGCTTTAACTCGCCAGGCGAGGCCTTAAGCCAGCAAGGTCAACCAATCGTGCCAAGAAAAAGAGGACAATTTGTGGATTTTTTTGTTTTTCTCCAATTCATACCGTGCCCGGGTCATCCAAAAGACACGTAGTTTGAGCTGTGACACATTAAAGTGGAAAAGATGAGTTTTCTCAGGAATATTCAAAAATATACATATATATATATATTCTAAGAGTCATTTGAATATTGCTGTCGACATCGTGACATGAAGCCCATTAACCTCTGACCCCATATATAATGAATTTGCGTCGCCATTGTATAGACTTTTTTTAATTTGTTCGTAGGTCGATGTTCAAAAAATGAAGTTAATTTATCACTAATTTGTCACTTTTTGCAGATGGCAGATTCTAATTTAGACAGCCAGTCTGTCGCATAGGCAGGAACCGAATGTTTCAAAAAGAGTCGGCGCGTCCTTTGTCATGCTGACTGCGATGTGGAGTTGTTTCCGACTAATTAGGGACGTGGCTGTTATAAACACAGCCGACGGTATCCATCAAAGCATGGGAAGATGAATGGATTAGCATTTGAAAATGTTAATTGCAGAGAAATTCAATTAACTCCGGGAGCAAAAAGAAGAAAAAAGAAACTTCAATAGCTATCATTAAGAAGAAGGACGGAACATGTGTTGGAGCAGATGCACACAATTTGAGAGAAAGGCACACATATTCAGCCAACCCAACAAAAATGCGCGCACACACACAAACAGCACAATCATTGATCTGTCAGAGGCAGCTTTTTTGTGCGTCATTAAGCAGTGATATTAAAAGCTGGTCCCTGTGAGTCTCTCCTCTATTTATCTCTGAAAAGCGGCCACTTAGAAAACCAATTAAACCACTCTAATTCCTCAATGCCCCATAATTGAATTTTAAAGTGTGCATGTACTAGATGTCTGTGTGCGTGTGTGTGTGTGTGTATACGGAGGTGTGCACCCACCACCGCGCACCGACCTTTGGCTTTTAATACATCTCCAGAAATGAAAGAAAAGCCGCCCGGGCCCGCCGATGCGGGGGCGCCCGTCGGTATGCGGGAAGCTCGCGCCGCCGTGCTATTCAGCCGGTCTTATCATTAGCCATGATTGATGGTGAAGTGTTTGTCCCCGACCCCCCCCCCCCCTTTTCAAAGCGCTTCGGAGGCACCGATGGACACAAAAAATGGCCCCGCCTCCTTTCCGAAATGCAAATTCATCATCATCACGGTAAGTGCCGCCATCTGTGCCTATTTCAACTCACTTATCTGCCCTGGCCCCATATGCCTCCACCCACTTTCCGCACGCTTCAACAGAGCTCCACCCGGCCATCTAAAAAAAAAAATCCATTCCGCCAGCCCCCCCATTCAGGTCTGGGGCGGCGTCCAGGGGAGAGACGCGCGTTCCTGCTGAGTGAATATCCCGTTTCTCTCTCCCCTTACTTCTCCATAATCTCATTTCCTTACAAGCCTCTGCCGGGGGTTTCAGTGTAGGGGGGAGGGGGGGGGGGGAGAGAAGCGGGACAGGTAGCGAGAAAGCGGCTAAAAGCAATATCCATCCTGAGATGTGGAGCGCGGAACCGTATGAGGGGAAGGCAACCGTAAGACACCTGTAAGTGGATTACGGGACAGGGAGTGCCGTCTGGGAATTTGACGAAGAGGGGGGGGGGGGGGGACGCTCGGTCGCTCGCATCCTGCCCTGTCATTAAGAACGGGTAGGGGATTAAAGATGAAAGGCCTGGGACAAACGTTGTGAAATGGAGGAGCTCGTGAAGAGAAATCTGAAGCGTGTGTGTTTTTTTGTTTTTTTTTCAATTCAACCTGGGATTCAGTTCCTTGTGATCGCCTAGCAACCAATCAACAAAACAAATATGATACCACCAAGCGCCTGTCAAGCTGTTGTCAACGTGAGCCTACGCACGCCCATTTTGGAGGTCATACGATGAGGGAGCGTCTGTACCTGGATGTGGTGAACACAGCGTATATAACTGGATTCTTTGGGTCCTTGGAGCTCATGAGAAACACGTCCTCTGAAAAAAAAAAACAACGAAAAAAACCAAGGTCAGTTTTCTTTTTTTCTCAGCCTTTGCAAAGAGAGACTTTCCATGGAACAAAAATAACGAACACACACTTACGCAGCTCATCGAAGTGTGTATCAATGCCGTTGACCCCGGGCACTGAACACATGAGCCGGGCCTTGAGGAAAGTGGTCCACTTGTTCACCAGACTCCTGTGACCGCCCATGTCGTTCTGCATCACAAGCCCAATGCGTTTGAGTTAACATGCAGTTGTTTCTGTAGGACCATGCAGATTTGAAACAACCGATCCTTCCATGGCTTTTGAGCAAACTGTGTTTTCTTTTTTTCTTTTGGGGGGGGGCATGTGTGTGTTGTTACCTTACACAGTTGTCCTATCCTGGCGATGGTGGCCTTGCCAGTGTGCTCGCCGTCCATGGCGTTCTCCTTGAAAAAGAGGAAGATCTTATCGTCTTCGGGGTTGTCACTCTCTGGGATCAAGTGAACGCCTATGAACCTGGGGTCTGACAGAACGACACGCTGAATGAATACAAAAATACTAGTGTGCAGACGTTTTTGTGCTTGAATCCGACACAAACCCGACATAAACGGGATTTAACAATTCGAACCCCGCCCCAAAGGCAATCCTTTCCCCCACAATTTTACACCTCCAAAACCTAATCCCCCCCCCACCCATGATATTCTCCAGTCACGGCTCAGTAATGACAGCCATTCCCTTTACACACTGGTGTTACAGTATCTGACTATTAAACCTAGTGAGCGCTCCAAGTCCAAATCCCACATAACTCCTTCCCCTACGCCACGTCCCCGCCGACACATGGCTCTGATCGCCCCCCGGTAACGCTTGAATAAATGCATCCTGACTTTAAGCGCGGGAGGAAATCAAAGCTAAACGCCGCGGCCGAGGCCTCGGTGGGCCGAGATATCGGTGAGGGCCCGGGGGGGCGAGAAAAAAAGGTGGCCTGCCGTCAGTGCGGCGGCGCGGCGCGTAAATCGAGCCGCTGTCTGGGGAGCTCGGGTGGGGGGGGAGGGAGGTCAGCTGGAGAGAAACAAGCCGTGCCATGTTACACCTCCGTGGTCGTTTAGGATATAGAGTAGCTGTGAAAAAGACGAGTGTGGCCAAAGTGGGAATCGGATTTATAAGCGCTGTGCGGGTGCGAGACCTCTGGTATGAATCATGTGCCCCGGCGCGCGCCTCATGGCGCTATTGTGAATACGTGCCGTTAAACTCACACGTTCATAAATTCAACCTTGCGTGCCCTCGCATGCAAAAACAGGCCTCTGCCTGGTGTCGCCAACCTATTGAGGTCATGCAATTTATGACTTTTTATTCCCAACAAAAGGCCACTGTATGCAGTTGAGGTACCAAAATGTTGAGTGCGAGGGCATTAAAGGGGGAAGGGATGTGTAAAAGCATCGCATGGAATAAAGACCAGAAAAGAGAAGACTATATCATTTAACCCTGAATCCTTTTTAGAATCAACTGCTATTAAGAAGGAATTCCCAAGTGTCTCCGCAGTTGCATTCGAGCACCATGTAACCTGGTTGATAAAGGCTCAATAGAATATTCTCATCCCAGTAATCCATGCAATTACAAACCCCTTTTGTGAACAAGGAGTTGGATTTTGCCGGGTCCGAGTGACTACAATCCCCCCCGTGTTTGTTTGAACAGGGTGAAAGATCGATGAGGATTAACGTGGTTGCCATGGCTTCTCCTTTTTCTACATCAGTCTGTATTAATATGTCCCAGCAATCGGCACCGCAGAAAAGAGTGTTTGTGATTTCTGATGGCGCGGCGGAAGGAGGGGAGAAAAGAGGGGGGGGGGCGAGAGGAATTTGACTCCACCACAGGAAAACAGCTGAGAGCGGATTAGTTCTGTGGGAACGAGGGGGGAAAAGGGAGGGATGGCACAGCTCGAGGGAAAAGGTTCAAACTGACCTTTTTTGAGGCTCCCTAAGTCCTCAGCGGTGCCGACAGATAGCCAGACAGAGTGAACAGTCAATAACCCTCACCGCCCCGCTAATCCGACTAGCGCAGGGAAATCCAGTAACTTTGTGAATGGGCTCCGATATCTGATGTCTGCACATGAATGGGAATGATTGGAGTCTTGAGGCTTGTGAGGGAATTTAATGCTCCGAAGTACATTGAAAAGCTCGATGTTATTCTTTCTCCCAAACGGGCCCATGGCAAGGTTTTACTTCCACCTCGGGCCGAACGGTGGACGTTATTGTCGGTCGCGAGTGCCCAATTTCACTTTAATAGAAACGTTTAAAATGTACGTTATCTAGTTGTTGCAGTCTGAACATTATTAACTCTACATGGAAAGTTCACAATTGAAATGGCCTGGAAAGGAATTTTTTTCATATGAACTAGTACAAAATACAATACAAAATAGTAGTATATTCAACTTTTTTTTTTTGGAAACTAGACTATTCCATCAGAAGTACACATAACTTATGTAAGCCATTGATACTTTTCTTCATATACTATTCACTTTCTCTTTTTACCATTCAGCCATCTTGAATCATGCTGCTCTGTTCTGATTGGGTGATGGTCTCCCAGGGTCCGGAAAATGGCAAAGTCCCTTCCCATGAAATCAGCAGATGTGCCGGAGTACAGCTCTCCATCTGTTAGAGAGAAGAAAGTGCAGTTAGGAACAAATGACAGTTCAGAAGTGAACGGGTACTTCCTGGAACTAATCAAGGCAGAGATCAAACCCACCGATCAGCAGCGAGGCTGAGAGCATTTTGGGGTCGTAGGGGCTTTTCCCGCGGCCGTTCTCGAAATGCGAGGCCAGTCGAAAGATGTTTTCCTGTGGCGGAAAAGGGTCAAAGTTCAGAATGAGGCCAGTGGAGGCCACATGAAGCCTGGCTAAAGCTACATTTATAGCCCGTGTTTCAAATTACACCAAATTCCAGTTATGAGGCAGGAGGCGTTTGAGCTGTGAAGCACCACGGCCTCTAGACACATCTGATTACAGATCAACCATCACTTCTGCAAAACAAAAAGGGAATATTGGGGAGTGAGGATCATGCAGCTAAAGCGCAGCTCAGCTTTAGAAGAAGTGAGTATAAACAAACACCCAACTAACTTCGTTTTCTTTCAATCAATGACTGACAACACTACTTTGGACTAAAGTGAACCCATGCAGGGACTTCAACACTCGAAACCGGCATGGTGCAAACGGTCCTTCCCTGCCCCATTGTCGGACTGCAGAACACATGCTGGTACATTGATTAACCTGCAGACCTTCAGCAAGATGACTGGTTCAACCTTCATCTGGGGAAAGGCTGCTTAATTTCTGAAGGCTGAAATCCCACCATGTGGTGTTATTTTCCACTTCTTCTTCACACAAAGGAAAACATTGACGAGGAGATAATCAATGGAGGGAATGGTTACTGCCGTGCTGGACGGAAACGCTTGCATGTGTTTGTGTGCGAGCTGCAAACACTTGCTTTGCACGTATTATGTCAAAGGGAAGCAATGACTTAGTATGTCACTAGTTTACTAAAGCAGCGGCGTCACACTTGTCTTGTTAATGGATGTTTAATTGAGATCTAAATGACCTTTTGCAAACATATATATTACTGATTAAACATGTTTCGGTGAACCAGTAATAACATGCCCAATTTATTACCTCTGCCCTCTTCCCCATTTCCAGAAAGGAGCAGATGGGGTGGAAGGCTCCTGTGCCACAGATGTACAGGTGGGTCTGGTTGAAGGGTTGGAGGACCCGGATGAAGTTAGAACACTCCTTCTGGAAAAGAAATGAGATATCAGACATAAAATACCCACAACCAATGTATGATTCCATACAAATGGCAAAGAATTTGGTCTATGCAATACCTGCGTTTGTCTATATAGTAATTCTGCCAGTATAGTGTATTATATAGCGTTGCAAAGCATGTGAAACTTTGTATGATATGACTGCAGATTAGCATCGATTTCCAAAAAGCCTCCTCCATTACATCGCGTTTGAATTACGTTTGATCCCTTATGAAAAGTGCTGCGGTGATTCAATCGAAAATAGAGGCTAATAGGAAGCAGAGAATGATGGGGAATAAGGAAAAGCTCTGTTGAAAGACCCTTTTAAAGCGGGGACTTTCCAGTTGGACTGGAAGAGACTTATGAAACTGAGTCTCTTTCAAGGAAATCCCACCTGTGCTGTAAATACAATCAGGCAGTGAGATTTTTAATGATCCATGTGTTTGAATTTACCAAGGGTGTTTGGGTTGGCTCCCCAGCACATGTTGATAGTCCCAGTGGTGTGACACTGTTTATCAGAGTGCTAATCAACAGGATTGGTTAATGTAGGAGGGCTATTAGCAGCTGCGAGGAGTTGATTTGGGCCCATGTGGTTAAGAGATTAGGCGGGTTTTGCCTTATTATAAATACATGCTGAATGTCCACGTAGCAAATACGTGGTCATTTGCTCGGTGGTTCGAAAAAATGCAGCGCTCGCACCACGTCCCATGCACACAGGCTAATTAGCACTTTAACACGTGCATCTCTTCAGGCTTCTAGACCTCACAGACATCACAGTGGGATGATTTGATGATGTCCCTCATATGAGACGTAAACCGATACGAAGATTCACTGCACCCGGCTCGGAGTGATGACCTTTTCCAGCGCAGAACCAAATGAACTCTGCGATCACACGCTGCTAAGATTACCCATTAAAAAAATGGAATTTCCTGGAATCACTCGGAAAGGAAGAAACTTGTGTTTAGCCTCTTTTGTGACGTTTGTTTGATATTTTCAAAATGTTTGCCTGGTTGCTGCATCATCTAACAGCCTGTTAGATTAAGAATGAAAGCACCATTTTTGTTTTTGGGGGTTTTGTAGAATCAAACAAACCAGATATGGATAGATGGAGTGTGTGGACAGCTGTTCTCTTGTTTCCAGCCTTAATGCTATGCTAAGCTAACTGACTTGAGAGCTGCGGCATGTCACAAAACTATTTATTTAATGTGAAAATGTATAGTAATTGAATGTCCAAATATTAACTTGTTACATTCATAACAGCAGCATGCCAGTAGTTTCTAACCAACCACAGGTCCATTCAAGCAAGCAACACCAATAAACTGTGCGTGTTATTATTAACCAGACTAAACGTCCACGATTTCTTTGTGCTGACCTCAAGCCTGCAAGTCTGTGTGACTTAAAGACTTTACCTTCTGCCTTTTTCTACTGTTGAACAGCGGGAGCACACATCCCTCCCACATCATTCTCACAACCTTATTATACGCATTTCACCAACTCCTATAATCCCCCCCCCCCCCCCCATGTCAGGATTTGACTCGGCCCTCAGTGAGTTACACTCATTAGCTATGCGGTAGGTATGTAGGCGGCACAATAAACACTGACGGACGTTTGTTATGCGAGTCGTTCAAACGCGGGGCTCCGTCTTGCCCCGAGGTAAAAAAATGTTTTCCCTGATCACAAACTACGTCATTATGTGAAAACCACACAGGATAAATGAGTGATTGTAGGATCACACTAATGACTCTCTTTGGAATGGGTATTGATGATGCTTTTCCGAAATGGGACAGCTTTGCATGTGGTTTCGCGTATGTATATGGATGAGTTGAGTGAATTTTGACAATATAGTAAGGTCTCTAAGTGGATATGGTGGATTAATGGATTAATGACACAAGGCAGTTCTACGGAAGTCTCCGGACCTTTTGTTTGGCTTAATCAAATGCAACAACCTGGGCCATGCTACACATGCTCCTGCCAAGGAGAATGATGCAGCCGGCAGCTGTTTGTTCTGCGGCTGTAAGTTGTGGTTTGGAGAAATGCATCACTTTGGGCGCTGCGAATGCTTCGGTAACGTCCTAATCAAGCTCCCACACCCTGCCGCCCTTCGTCTCTGCTGCTCTCAGCGCCTCATTTTCAAGGGTAAACATTTGCACAGCACGCAAAATACCTCGCTGTTGTGTTTTGTGGGATTTCGTGCCGCCAGAAGTATTTCCTTTGCCTCCGTGCAAACGGACTACTTCTGGATAATCCCAAAACCCTTCGGCCGCTGAACTCCGGATCCACCCGGCCATGAAATTGAGATCAGATATGACATAGAAATGGCCTATCCAAACACCGACAGCAAACAGAGCTGGCGGCATTTAGCATGTGCTCAAAACCGCCGTGCACATGTGAGCTAACACGCGGCGTCAGATAAGTGAGGGGGGGGGGGGACTCAAACAACACACTCCCACATAAATATGTGCACATGCGCTCACTCGGAAGCACAAACACACTCCCGGCATTAAGCTGCACTCACAGCGGCGAACGACCTCCGAAGGCAACGCGCCGCTGTGCCGCGCCGTTGGGGACGCTGTGCGCACCTCGCTGTGACCGAACATCTGTCGCGCGGTGTGTTTAGTTGTGCGTGTCAGTGGGGGAATGGCCCATAGAGAGTACATCGAGCTAGAGGTGAGATGGCTACCGTGCTATCCCTAATTTATCACACAGGGCGCCGCATCCAGGCGGCCTCTCTAATGCAGTACTGCGGCGTTCCAGGTGCATTTGAAGAATTGCATGAATGCACGGCCGACGTGTCTTTTGTGTGACATCACAAGCAGTAATTGCAGGGAGCAGCTCGAGCGACGACGCCGTCGTGAACGCGGACTCACCCCGAGGTCTTTCCCGGCCCACTTGCATTCGTCCCTCTTGGACGGGGTGGCAGGCCACGCAATCTGTGCGAATGAAAGAAAGTCAAAGTCAAACTATGCTGGAGGGAAAGTGCGGATGCTTAAACGTTGAGTCAACTGGTGAGTCAATAACTCAGAGGAAATCAAGATCCATGTAATCCCCGGAAAAGGACCTTGGCTTTGTTTAAAAAAAGGTTTCTCACTTCAGTAGTTTAATGGGAGGGGCCTTTTTTAACAGTACAGTGATAGACTGCATGAACATGTCATTTAAAATAAGGAGGAATTAACTGAGGGAAAAATGTGCTGTTTTAGTTTGAAATTGGATAACATACACATGTAGACAGGCATGGGAAAAGTACCCTCTATATGGCATTTGCTATGTCAATATATACATTAGATATTGTATAAATATGAGTTCTGGTTCAAATCATGTCAAACTCTCAACTTTCAACAGCTTAAATCCTGAGCATGTGGTTGTACTTTTCGCTTTGGATATGTGGAGAAAGCCGGCTTTTGCTACTTTGCTTTTTAAAAAGACACACTGTGAACTAAATAATGGCTTTGTACTGTCCTGAGGGCAAATATATCTGGTGTCACACAAAGTATAAACACATGGGGCACACAAAGGTACATGTGCAAGGAAAGGTCTATATATTCAAAATGTGGGTGCGAATGAGCTCACGGGTTTTTTTCTGGTGGCCAAGCAGATGTGGAAAGAAAAAGGAAATACATGCACTTGCATGTGCATCCGTAAATCTATTTGTAGCTTATCTCTTCTCTATATCAGTTGTGATTTCCTCTCTTGGGAATTTGCACTGCACATTTTATGGTAATTGCATCAAATTTGCTTAATCACTACTTTTTGCCCTTTATCTGATAATGACGCAAAGATCAGAACAAAACGCCGTGCAAAGGGAGACAAAATACACATCTGAGCCGAGGGGCAAAAAGAAAACGGAGACACACTCTCTCTCTCTCTCTCGGCATTGACTATGCATTTTTCAGCACTTTCATTATCCTGCCTGGCTCTCTGCAGCCTGCAGGCAAGTCTGTGGCAGTCTTGTGAGTCTAAGATTGCAGCCTGAATCTGATAAAAAAGTCTGTTAACCTAGTCCAGGTGGAGTAATGGAATTACGGACAGCCCCGTCTGGACAAAGACAGACAGTGGGAAGGAGGGAGGGAGGGAGGGAGGGAGGGAGGGAGGGGGAGAGCGAGGTGGTGCGATGGACTCCAGAGGAAGCGTAGGAAAGTGAAAAGACGTGAAGACGAGAGAAGAGAAAACAATGGATTGAAACAACTCTGAATTTGACCTGTTTGTGTTCTCTGTTGATGTTGACGAGGTCGAATGAGAAGATGTGGTCCTCGGCTCCGACCAGCAGTCTCCCTCGCTCCTCGTCCAATAGGAAAGCGTCGTAGCTCGAGCTGTTGGCCAAGCCGTTGAAAGTGACGAGGTTGCTGGACTCCAACATCTCTGGAAGAGAAAGAGGACAAGGAGTTAGTGATGATTGTGTATCGGGAACGGCTAGAAATAAAGGACATAGACGTCAGATGAAGTGGACCCCAGCAGTCAGAAAGAGGGGGGTTAGTAAGCTAAAACAGTGAACTACATGGTGTAACATTTGCGGCAATAACAGAAATATTGTATGAATTGTTCATTTAAATTGGTCAGTCGAGCACCGAATTGTTTGATTACAACATTTTTTTATTTTTTCTCTAAGGAAAGGCGTTGCTTCCACAATGGAGATGCCAGTACACCGTCAGCGGCTTTACATGTTTCCTTAATTGCTTTTTCCCTGCGCACATTTCCCAACGCGAACAGACATACAGACACACGTCACTCAGGTATAGCGTGAGACATTTCAAGTGAGCACAGCGTGCCCCAATCAGGGACCCGCTTCAGACTGTTCAGCCGTGTGATTGGTTGAATAATTCATACGGAGTCAAAGCCAGGGGAGACGCTGTGTGTAGGTGAGCATGTGTGTATGTGTGTGCGTGTGTGTGTGTGTGTGACATGTAGCTGTAAATGGGTTATTATGTAAATCCGCACTGACGAGTGTGTGACTGCACATGGATTTCTGCAGAGTGTTGCATCCAGCAGTGTTTAAGGTTATCCTAACTACATGCAGCCAGACCTCAGACGGTCGGTGCCATCACCTCTGGTATCACTTTAACAAAGAACCACACTCGAGTTAACCCGATGATTGACGCGGGCAATTACAGGGAAACCAGTAAATCAAGGGGATCCATGAAAGATCCGGAATACCTGTCATCAGTGTGCACTCGTAATAAAATGAAAGTGATCTAATGGTCTAGTGCTGATTGTAGTGACCAATTACTTTATTAATGAATTGCTTTAGGCAATTATCAAGCATAAGCTTTTACAATTAGAGGATTTGCGTTTTTTATCCATATTAAAGAACTGTAAATCTAATGTAGTTTCTGATGCAAGTAATTACATTTGTATAATTTGCATTTCATTTGACCCTAAACTTGTAACATACCCTTTTCAGAATGTAATAATTGTTTAATTGTATTATTTGAGAAATCAACTAAACAATAATCACAATGATAGAGACCAAATTAAATGATGTACACTGTATGTGAATACACTCAATTTGTTTCTCTTCTTTTCTTAAAATGTCAACATATTTCTGTGGAGAGACAAAGTTAACCAAATGCCCCGAAAAAAACTAAAAATGTGTCTTTTGGAGTATAACAATGGAATGACTTTGAAAAGCAGCCCACATTATTAATGTGCAATTGAACAATCAAGAGTAGCCCATTTTAACTTATACAAAATGGGTCTCTCTTTAATATCATGATAGGTAACATTTGGCTTAAAGTGATAGTGATAGAAATGGAATCAACCCCTTAACCATCTGCCTGTGGTTCCTGCACTGGATAACATAACATGTGCTTTCTATTTTCGCCGCAGGCACAGTCTCCTGGAACATCAGACTCACTATCGCCCTGCATCATTCATCATCATCAGCGTCAACGTGCACCATGGACACACTCGGGCGCACAATGTAGAAACGAGCGCACAAACACATTTATATATATGTATATACATAAATACAAACACACACACATGCAGCCCTGTGGATTGTCATCTCCCTGCTCTCCCCACAAGGCTCTGATTGACGGGCTGCTATAGGAGCCATCTGCGCCCACTCCCACTGTGTAAGATCTTGGACATCTGTGTCTACAAAAAAAAAAGAAGAAGAAGAAGACGAAGGGATTGATGGAAAGGGAGATGGAGGAAGTGGTGAGCCGAGCAGCAGCGAGGTGGACGAGGACCGTGAGAGGGAGGGGGCCGTCACCTAATAAAGTCGGCTGCAGCTCATCTGCGTCAGTTGGAGTCTGGTTTGAGGCCGGGCAAACGTGGGTGTGGGTGGGCGGGTGGGCGGGTGGAGGCCTGAATGGAAATCCATGGACGTGTGTGTCTGCGTGAGAATTCTGTAGTGCACCACAGATGGGTCCAGCGTACGTGCGCATATATATATATATATATATATATATATATATATTTGCCTCTGGCCCTTTCATGCACACCAACATCCTGGCGTTAACGTTTGTGCACACTTGTGTGTGTGCTACCACAGACGACAATAACTGGGAGCCAATCAGATCGGAGTTATTAACGGATCACACACACAAAATAGAAGGATCCATAAATTAGTAAGAGGAAGGCAGAGTGGCAATCCAGCAGACAGAACGCCTCTTGCTCAGCTGTGATGTGGTAAGGAATAGATGTAGCAGAGAGCCACGGTAAGCATTCGATTAAAGAATAAAGAAATACAAAGTTGGAAAGATTAGAAAGGAAGAAAGAACAGAGTTTGAAAGTGTCAAAAGCAGATAGCCAGAGGACAAGTGGAAAGACTTTTTTTTTTCACTTCACTGCCTGTATTTGTGATTCATTCGAGAGAAAGTGAGAAGCCGGAGCTGAACCCAGGAGTGCAACCAAAACAGGTCCGTCACGAAAGGCTTCCCCCAGATGGGCCAAAGCAGAAATAACACACATATCTCAACCCTTCGCCGTGTCTCACAAAGACACGGTGGCCTGCACACAGAGGGGCTTTATCTGAGCTGGGATCTTCTGTGGTTTCGGAGCATTGGAGGAACCGGGCCCGAGCACCTAAGGGCCTCTAACCCAAACACAGACTCGCTGGTTTGGAAACGGCGGCATGGGCAGATACACGGCGCGCACCAGCGCTCATACAAAATACAGTAACCGAGCAGAAGACAAGCACAGAATAGCTGTGCGCACACACACACACACACACACACACGGAGAACAAAACAAAGTGACATGAATATATTAGTATTGACCTAAATGTTTAAACCGCATCAATTCTTCCTGAGCACACACGCACGCAGACGTAGTTCACCGGAGTTAAGTTGTAATCCAATCAGTATTTGTGCTTACGCAGCATGAACGAGTCGAACAGTGAGCGCACTCAGCAGCCTGCACCTCTAACACACTGCCTGGCCCCGGACCCCCAATACACACACACACACACACACACACACACACACACACACATTGAAACCCGCCTTGTCTCACCACATACAATGTGCTTAGTGTGCCTCGGATATGCAGTGACATTGAAACATATATACTGCCGCGTGCATATGCTTTCCACTCACATCACAAACACACACACACACACACGTGGCGACACACACTGGCGGTCAGTCCCCTTCCATTGCGCTTTCTCTTGTTACACACATCCTCTGTCTGCACTTTTTCACTCGCACATGCTGTCTGTTACACATTCAAGTAGAGCACACATGCAAAGGCAAAGCGGCCAATGCAAACAGCCTCACACACCCACACACCCACACACACACACACACACACACACACACACACCTGAATGGAACCAGGGAGATGGTAACAGTAGCTCAATATGTAGTTTTTAACATATGACTGAAATATGGATTTTTATCATTTGTTAAATTCTAAACTACAAGCTCTTACTTCGCTTTACTCGTTTTCACATAACGCACACGTTGGAACGTTGATGCCCCCCTTGGAATTCATTCAAATACATTATCATCCGTCCCTTTGTCATTCGGCATTATGGAAAATAACCTGGCCCTTGTCTTAAAAAGCTCCGGGGAGGGGCGGACGGCGAGGAGGGGGAGGGAGGGGGGGGTGGCACGCTACATTCAAAATTCAAGTGCAATTGTCTGTGTGGAGCACTCTTCACTCCCCCATTCTCCGAACGGGCGGGCGCTTCAGACGCCTACATGCAACAGCGGAATAATGAAACGGCATGAAAGAAAGGCGACAGGGCATTAAATGATGTTTATCTGAGTGCGTTTGCTCGCCGCTCTGTGTGTGTGTGTGTGTGTGTGTGTGTTTGAGTGACTTTAACCATAAAGTCCTGACGGCGGAAAACAGTTGACTGAGCAGCCTGATCTCCAAAACCTGTTCATAAATATGCATACGAAAATCTTGGACATACAAATTCGTAGTGATACGAAATAAATACGGACTGCAACTGATGACGTCACCCTATTCAAAGTGAACGGGGACCTGCACCCCGTAAACACACTTTGTGAAGTCTAACGATGTAAAATAAACATGTTATGATTGCATTTTTAACGAGAAATCAATGTTAACTTGTAAGAATAGAATACTAACCCTAACCCCCTCAAAAAATCCAACATGGCGGAGAGACGTTCACTCAAGAATCCGACACGGTCCGCCATGTTGTTCACTCAAGGGGCGTGGTTAACCACCGCCAGTTCGTATGTATTGTTACGAATTTGTATGTTCAAGATTTTCGTTTACATTTTTACGAACAGGTTGGACTGAGATTCAACAGATGGGTAATATTCCATTAAACTAACCCTACACTGTCCAAGTGTCCCTCACAAACGTCCACACCAAAGGCTGAACGAGGGAAGACGGGGAATTTCAGCAGTAAATCCCATTTCACTCCCTCATTTCCCGTCGGTTGACGCAGCTTTCTTTCTCTTGGCAGAAAGGGGCACAGCTCGGACCCGATGGGTGTGTTTCTGCGGTTTGTCAGAGCGCGCACATCTGCGTATTGTTGAAAAGCTCCTCCGTTGACAGGCGGCAGTTTGAAAAGAAAATGGCAGCTCAAAAAGGAAACCGCCGCCTAGGATTACATGTGTTTGTCTTTCCAACGCAAGGCCAGAGCTCCACAAAAGGCAGAGACGCCGGGCACTGTAACATCTGCCGCGGTCTGGCGTGTCTTTTTGTCCTCTCCGTGTGTGGTGCGGTGCACGTTCCACCCCCAGCTCTCACGACGGCCACGGCCGCAAAACACAGGTGTCAGGGGAAAAAGACGAGACGGCCGCCCGGTGGAAATTGGCTGAGGGCTTTGCTTGACAAAGCGTTTAAATATTATCCTTAGCTCAAGGATATCCACGCATGCCATGTAAAAGTTCGCCACTCACGCACTGGCGTCCTCTCGCTTCTTTCTCTCGCTTTCTAAGCACGGGGAGCGAGTGGAGGTTGGTTCCCATGGCGACCGCCGCCGTAACACAACCTGCGCTGCGCGCGCGTTTCTCATCCCAGGTGCAGTTGAGTGACACCTCTGACGGGAAATGTGCCGCCTTCAAACAGCAGCACCGTGACCTTTGCGACTAACGAGAGCTCTGCGCGCGAGAGGAAAGTGTTTGATTATTCAAGGCGGCCGCACTAAATCGGCGAGGTTTTTGCTGTAAGCCGTGCAGATCTTACTCTTCAAAAAAGGATTTTTGGGGAATTCAGATCCTTTTGGAACCGAAACATTTTTTTTTTTTTATTCTTCAAGAAAAGCGACTCGCAGCCATAATTCATAGTCAAGTACTGCATCTTATGGGACATTTTAATACCATAGTCCGTCCCCTCGATGTGACTCAGAGTGTCTAGAATATGTATCACGGGCATTAACAGGGAAAACGTGACCACATCCCAAACCGCAGGAATCTATATGAGTAGTCCGAGCATGTGTTCGACTTCACCATGCGGCACCATCCATCTCTCTCGACCCAAATGCTGGACTCGCTCGCCCCGGCACCACACACACACACACACACACACACACACACACACACACACACACACACACACACACACACACACAGAGGGAGGATAACAGAGTGCACGCGAGGGCAGCGTGTACTCGGAGAGCGGGCCGGAGAGGGAACGCAGAGAACAACATAATAAATGACACAGTAGAGACGAGGACAATAAAAGCAAACTGCCGGATAAAAAGGCCGAAGCGGTTGAACGTGGAACCGTTTCGTTTGCGTGCGTCTCCGCCAGCGGCGTGCCCACAGACGGCCGCTGAAATGCCCACTGCGCAACCGGGCGGCCTCGGCCTCTTGGGCCTGTGTTACCTTTAAGGGACGCACTTGCGAGTGAGTGCACGGACGTCACTTTTGCAGGCGAATACGGTGCCCGGATCCAACTGGAGGGGGGGGGCGTTGTGAGGCAGTTTGATGGATGGACTTTGGAGAGGGGACCAGGCTGTGGTTAGCGTGGTCATGTCTGGAGCCGCTGCCTGTTAGTGCAGCCTGTCAGCTGCACCGTGTATGGCTGAATGTCAGCTCCGCCGTTTTATTAGAAATTAATGAGGCAAGGCCACGGATCCGAATGCGTCTCTGGGAAAGAAAAAACGGTGACAGCTAAACCCCACGGCAGCGACAGAGGCACGCCGAGACGAATAAGCGGGCACACAGACGCACATTTCAGCTCTGCACACACCATTACTGAGGCTGAGTGTCGAGTCGGCGATGAATGCCGTGTCTGCATTTCTCCAAATGGCGTTTGCACTGGAAAATGATAATCGACCAAATTGTATAAAGTCGAGATTTATGTTTTTTTTTAATTTTTCCAATGCGGTAGCAATGGTCTCATACCACAAAGAGAAAAGTGAAAATGGAAAGAAGAAAAATGGGACTAAAATTGAAAAAGGACTGGTATTTCCAGTCTAATCTTCTTTAACAAATGAGTGGTGTGGTTGGCTGACAGTTGGTATTATATTAAAAATAAGGGCACATCAGCATCACTGATGTACAGAAAATCATTACGCACTCCACTTTCTCTTCTCATTCCTGCCCACTCCCATCCCTCCGTCTGCGCGTCCGCCTGCTGTCCACCAGTCCGTCTTTCCGCGGAGATGTTCCCCTCATTTGTAACACGACTCCGTTGGGATTGAAGGGTTCATTCACCCGCTCCCAGTCTGACTGACGAGACTTAGCAGGTGGCAGCGCCCATTCATCCCCGCGGCTCAGCGATCTGCGCCGCGCCGTAACCCAAGCCCACGTCCCAGACACAGATGCAAAGGCGCGGGACACTTTCCCTGCGTGCGTGTGCACACACGGAGGAAAATGTACACTGAACACACACACACACACACACACACACACACACACACACACACACACACACATTTGCTTTGCTCGTTAATCTTTCAGCAAACACGCGTTGCGCTACCTCCATCTGTGGCCGGTGTGAGCACACGTCCAGATTCTTCCTGCTCATCGTTCCGTTTAAATAAAAATGCTTCAGGAAAATAAGAGCTGTAATTACGGAACATTTTACGAACGCTGGGGAAATGCGTGACATTCCAGCGCGCACACGTGCACGCACGAAGCCAACGCAACTAACGACACGTGCAATCGGAAGGGTCGTAAAACACACAGATGCTACCCGCCTACATCGGACAAGAGGTACTGATAATGATGTTACTTTGAATTAGGAAATAATGAGATGACTTAAATGCAGCAATATAAAATAACAGTTTCCCGCTCTCCCTTCACGCACGCGTGAAAGCTGGAGGACTTGTCTGTGACTTGGCTGAATGGCTTTTTGTTTTGCCAGCGCGGTGTGTCATTCCACAATTATCTGCGGGGCCACGTTTCAACGCATGTTCACACTCAATTGCGCCATCGTTCAACTTGCGCACTCGTGGTTCAGGTGTGTGAGTCGGGTGCAGAAAAACGTCATGTATCCGGATGCAGCATAGGGGCACAACTGAGAAGCAAGCCACTGCAAAACATTGGTTTCTACGATAGGAATGTGGGAGCAAAAGATGAGGGTAGTTCCGTCCGTGTGTATGTGTGTGCGTGCGTGTGAGGGTTGAAAAGAAGGATAGCCAAAAGATATGTATCAAAGAGATGGGCAGAGCAGCAAAAGAGAAATGCATAGACACACAAAGGAGACACAAAGCCTCGATGAAGATTGTACTTAAGAGTCTGTGGTGTTGTGGTTCCTCGAAGCGGCCGAGCGGCAGGAGGAGGAGGAGGAGGAGGAGGAAGGGGGCAGGGAGAGAAAGAACGCTGAGAAAGACGGAGAGAGAAAAGGAGAGGGATCTGCAGGCAGACATCTCTGAAGTTGGCGCGTTGGGAGAACACCTTATAATTATCTACATCCGCTCTTGTCATCCCCGGCCTGCAGAATGGACTGGTACACAGAGAGGGAGAGAGAGACTCTCGTTCACGTGCAAAAGAATGAAAAGATGAACATCCACTGATAAACCGACGCGCATGCAAACACCCACAAACAGTCTGTATTTTTGCACTCACTCACTCACTCACTCACACAGACGGGCTTCATTATGGGGGCCGGGATCCAGCCTGCGTGGAGTGCGGTTCAACACCAAGTGTCTATTTTGAAGGTTTCGGAAGCCAATTCTCCTTCCCGGTCCCGCTCCATCTCCACCCGTACGGCCAACGAGGGCGGTATTGGGCGGTCGTGCACAGGGTTCCGTAATCACTCACAAGTGACCCTATTGTGAAGTCACAATAGGGTCAGGTTTAGCATTTCTATGTGTGCTGCGTGCGCCTCGATTGACCCTTAGGGGTCAGTGTTCCTCCTGGGGGGATCCTTACAGGGCGGGAGGTGCTGTACTGTAAATGCATTGTTTTCAGAAATGTGGTTGTGTGTAGGTACGGGAGTGAGTAATTGTCTTATCGTTGCAATTCGTAGGGTTGATGTGTTGCAGATGTGTAGCAGCAGTACATACAGTACGTAAGTGCCAGTATTTTAGATGATTTCAACATGTATTTTGTTTGGCCGTTCAAAGTTATTTGGAGTCACTCTTAATAGACTGCGGCTAATATTACAACACATAATTGTTAGTTAGCTCTGGTTGGTTGGTTGATTTATGTCCGTTCTTTGCCCATCGCACTTTCAGCTTGCCTTGCAGTTTGACCTCATATCTTCCCTTCTTCCTAGGCAAGTTGGCGAGACCTTTTCCAGTCTCGAGGAGGAGGGAAAATCATTAACCCGTGTGATCATACTCCTGTCCCCATGAAGCTAGATCCTTTTAGCTGACAGACGTCTAACTGACCCCTCTGGGAAATCATTCACTCTGCACCGGGCGTCCCGTGAGAGGTAATTGCATCTACCTGCCTCCGTTTCTCAGTCGTTGTACCTCTCAAACCTGCTGCCTCTGCATAGCTTCGCCTGTCCTTTCCGCCCGTCGGCCATGAGTCCCCGGAGGCGTGTCATCAGCGCTCATTTGAGAATGACCCCGCTCGCACGCTCATGTTTATCCAAAACGCAAGGCCCTCTCTCATCCGCTGATCGCGTGATCGTCCCGCTCAAGGGCCCGACGGACTCTTTTGCTCGCCGCTTGTTTGACCGTCCATCCCAGGAGGGTTCGTCTTTGTCGTTTATTTGGCTTAATTGCTATGCAAGCTTTCTGGAGGGAGACGGGATGAGTGACACTTCACTTAACGACCTGCCTCCCTTCCTTCTGCCTCGTCTACTGTGCGTCTGCCAGCTTTTCTCCTCCCCTCCACCGTCACCCACACCGGGCACCCACCCCCCCTTCTCGCCCTCGAGGGGACATCGAGGGGGGCATCAAACACCTGTTGGGTGCAGATTCAAGCGCCTACATTTCGGTAAAGGTGGTTCTTGAGTTGACTTGGGACCAGTTTCTATTGGTTTTCATAATAGCTTCTGTCCTTTTTTGGTACCATCACGGTCGGGGGTTGCGAGCGCATTAAGCCGATGCTAGGAGGGGAAGTTAAAGCGCTCGGATCGGTCGGACGGGGATCTCCATTGGCGCACCTCCACCTGCGCAAACCCGCCCTTTTCAAACAAGCGCAATAGCAGCTGCAGTTTGCAGCTTGCGGCAGATGAAAGGGGAAAAAAAAGAGAAACCTGTGGTGTAAAGCAGTGATAAAACTAAACAATAGAACATACCGATTTGTGAGCTCATTTGGCCACCGGCCCGCGCACAAAAACCAGGTGTCTAATTATATGGGCGCGAGCCAGAACTGACACATTTGTGCCTGGCTGAAACACAGGAGAGGGTGTCGAGTCCTCACACCGAGATGTGGCAAGAACATTCACACAAACACACAGATATAAACAGCCAGGCTTTGGTGGCCTTTTTAGCAAAAAAGGAATATTGTACATCCACTAAAGTACATCTCTCGTGACTGGCTGGTCTTCCGCGGCGGACCCGCTCTCTCGGTTTTGACGATACGCATCCATCACTCGTACAGCCAGTCAATGCAGACATTGATGCTGGATGACAAATCTCTGCTTTAATAGTGCTGTCAGCAACATGTTCCCCTGTCGGACTGAGAAGTGATGAGGATCAGAAAAGGGAGGCAGGAGGGAACTATGTTCACACACTTTAAACAGATGGCTTTGCCAAGAAGAGATGCTATTTTCCCATCATGCCTCGAGGCTTTGTCTCGTGTGAATTGACATGATGCAGCCCGGGGGATACGTGACTTCAAGCGGGTAAATTCGATTTCCATGATCCATTCCAGATTTTGTTTGGTTCAGGTGGTCAGTGTATCATCGATCGTTAAACGCCAATCACACCAAACCGATGTTAAAATACAAAGATTACATGCTTTTTAGGGGGGGGGGGGATTTAAAATACAGACAATAATCCCAAATTACAGCTTGCACTCCATCGAAAGAATAAAGCATGTCATATAGCAATAAATTAGACTAATAAACATCACGTTCTAAGTAACTGAAATCTTCTCTCAGCATATTTCAAAATGATTTGAGGAACCAAAGCTTCTGGTGAAATGCGTCTAAACAACAACAAATCAGCATGTGACATTTTTTAAGAGAGATGAGAGAAACTAAAATAGAAAAAGACCACAGTCCCAGCCACTTAGTTTTGGTTATGTCTTAGGACAAAGAACCACAATAGCCACTGACTGACATTAAAATGTGAAAAAATAAAAAAATACCCAAAATATGCCCAAAATGTTGCCAGTTATTTCTAGCCAAGATGAAAAGTCTGCTATTACAAAGAGCCTGATTTAGTGTAGGGTGTGAGAGAGGAGACGAGACAGAACGAGGGAGAGGGAGGAGGAGAGGAAGAGCCGGCGCTCCGCAGTCTCCCCTCAAAATAACACAGGAGGGAGAGAGAGAATAACATGTTTGCCGTGTACGTCAAGAACTTACACGTGCACCATTTATAAAAGACGCACAAAAACTCCCTCGCGTTCTACGCCGACGCCGCCTGCTGCAGCACGCCGATCGTTTCGTGCACACGCATCGACTCGCATGTACAGTTTTCCATTTAAGCAAAACTCTGCAACTGTTGGATCCATTTAGGGTTCAGTAACGAGAAGTCGGGAAACCTGCATGGCCCCCTCGAAGGAAAGGCTCCATGTCATGACCGAAGCAGAGTTTTTCGGGACAGAAGCCATTAAAACGGAGGCTCCACTGCCTGTTTGGAGCACTTAACAGGGGTGCACAGTACTAGCAGACAGCACGAAGGGGAAATTTGGTACAGGGGCCAATATATACATTTAACTGCAGGCTTTCCTCAGCATATGGAACCAATCGGACTCTGTGTAAGAAGGACATTGGATTCTGAGAGACAGGCAGGGCGAGGGAGAAGGGAGAAAGAATGAGTGAGTTAATGGGAAAGAGGGACACAGACTGGTAACCAGAGAGTTGAGATGCTGTGGGAGAAAGAGTGAAAGAGAGAGAGAAAGAGACGCAGCGGCAGAAATAGACTCACAGAAATAGAGGACGAATAAAAGGGATATTCAACATAAGGAAGAATGGATGAAAAGAAAAAGCAGGAAAGAGCACCCACGGGGGCAAGACCAAATGGACCAGACGAGCCACGTTAAAAGCACCGGCAACAACCGGCGGCCCCACGTAACCCGGCGACGGGGCTGAGCGGAGAACGGGCTTACCCTTGTATGACAGCTTCAGCCTGGGCACGTTGGGCTTGGGCTCAGCACCCCTTCCCGGCTGCAGCGCCCCGCACAGCAGCATTACAATCCCAAACAGGTAATCCATGGTGCTGGAGTGCTGCCGGCCGGCCTCCAGACCAGGGGGGCACTCACACCCCGGACCAGTGCACGGAGATGGAGTGTCTCCCGCTTTCCTCCACGCGAGCCCTGATAGTGGGCCAGAGATGGGGGGAGGGGGGTAGGGGGTGTTGGGGAGGTATCCCGGTCGTGCTCCCCAGCACAGAGAGCCGGACCAGTGTGTGTGTGTGTGTGTGTGCGTGTGTGGGGGGGGGAGACTTCTGTAGTGTGAGGCGGGCGGAGGGGCGCCGCTCACATGGCTCCCCGCGTGGAGGTCCAGGCTACACGGCCCCTTGGTATATCTGTCCTCCTCCCACCGGCCCCCCCGTCAGGTGAAGGCTCAGCAGAGGGGTTTCAGCTTGGCGTGAAGGCGAGAGGTAGAGCCCGAGTGAAGGTAAATCAGCTCACTTATCCACAGGAGCAGGGCTGTACCTCCTCTGGAGATCTTTTCCTTTCTTTTATCTCTTTCGGTCTTCTGGCTTCTTCTTCTTCTTCTTCTTCTGTGAGCAGACACTCACGGCAACCCTCTAATCCTTGTGTGCGGCTCTAACAGACTGCGAGAGAGAGGGAGGGAGAGAGAGAGAGAGAGGGAGAGAGAGAGAACTCAACCATCCACGGGAAGGGAGGGGAGGGGAGGGAGAGCAGCTGAGAGAGATAGAGAAGGGGAGTGCTGGTGGGAGGGAGGGGGGGGCAGGATGACTCTACAGTGAATCCGGTACAGAGAGGATCTAAAGCGGATGGTTGAATCTTTGTGGTTTTTTTTTCAATTGCTACTTTTTGTCAATTATTAGTTTATTTTCTTTTTGCCTTCTGCTAATTTCCTTGAACCTTAAACAAGGCGTCGGCTGCTTTTATTGCCCTTGTCGGTTGTTTAGCAGGTCACCTGCATGCCCTGAGGCAAAAGTCACAAAAACAGATTGACATGCTAAAGTGATAGATACCAACGGATCAAATTAGATAAGGCAACCTTTCTGCCTCACAGGCCGGCCTTATTTCCCCAAAGTAACAAGATCCACTGTTCTGTTCTTCATTATTTGATCGTAAAAACTGCAGAATGTGCTTGTTTTTTGATCTTATAAACAATAATCTACAACAACCTCCCCCCACAAATCCAAGCGGTTCTTCCTCAGTGAAGTCAACCCAATTTTCATGGTTGTTTATATGCTATACTTCGAAACTTTTAATTATTTCAAGCACTTGAACGACCACCCATTCGCGTTGGAATAAACGCTCACGTTGACTTTGTTTGCGAAACACAACAGACATCTTGTTGGAATTTCAGAGAATTTGGAAGGAATTTCTATCGTACAGCTTTTTCACCATCTGCCCACGTTATATCCTGCAGCTGTGTCATTATGTGCAATTATTCAGGATTATTTCGACACAGACAATATATGTTTTTTATCAATAGCAGTTTCAATCGCAGGATGAAGAAAAAACATTCACGACCCTGGGAAAGGTTAAGAGGAATGAATCACTGCCATGCAAGACAGTTTTTTAATTTCTGTAACAGCTATATCACATACCGCTCCAAGTGCCGCTGCAACAAAGTCGATTATACGGAGGATTACTTGAAAAAAAAAGGCCTGTCTCTGGTCTGTGGACTAACTTCTATAAATCACAAGTCACAATTTTCCCACAGAGAGTAAAACCCTCAAGTGCGACTTATCCAGATGAAATCCGCCGGTCGGGGCGGAACACATGCTGCTGGTTAACCTGTGCAGTCTGAGACGGATCCTGTATCTGGTGAAGTCATTTGCATCAGCATTGCAGGTCAATAGCACAACCCCCCCACGTCTCAACCCCCCACCAGCCCCTGCAGGTGTTTGTGTGTGAGTGGGCACCTCCTGCTTCCTCTCACAGGGTGACACAGCAGCGGCTAGGTGATAAAAGCTCTGATAAACAGGAGTGCTGATGTGTCAACTCACACACCTCAAGACACCAACAGAAAACAGCCTGAGAAGGTGTGGAATGAGGGCACCCTCACATTCCTGCGCTTGTGTTTTGAAACTACTGTTTCTACATTGTGAAGCGTATCAGATGCAGGTTTTTGTGTGTGTGTGTCGTATGTAAAAGTTAAGAGGATTTTTTTTTTTTTAGACAGGGATGATGCTGGAATTTGATAATGTCTGGAAAAGTCACAAGAAAGGTTTCATGCGAGACGTCCGTCTCTTAAAGGGGACACGATCCTTGAAAGTCAACTAAAGTTAGAACTCACATTTTATCTCGGTGGTTTGGGCCATGATTGCTGTTGGTGATAGAACATTGCAGCTTTAAAAAGCCACATTTCTATAGAAATAAAGAAAGGTACGGTGGACATCCAAACTGTCCAGACCGTAATCTAACAAACAATATGGTGGATTTACTAAATCTATGAGGAAAAAGGTGTGACATGAGGATCTTTCTTAACTCAGGTTGACCCTTTATTTGTCCATGTTGTTCTGAATGAATCTTGATGAGTGCCAACATGCATCCGTGTCTTCCATTGTGCATTCACTTCCACAACCATGGCGCCCGCGTCCTCCTCTCTCATCGCCCCGTTACTCTAAACAGCCTTTTTAGCTGTTTACCCAAAACAAAAAGATGTGTGGACAGACACAAGAAAGTATTCTCTTCACGCACCCAGCCTCTCTCTCTCCCCCTCTCTCTCTCTATTGACCTCTGCCTCCCTCCTACCTTCCTCCAATTTATCTGCACAGCCCTCCATCGATGGAGTGAGATGTGCTGGAACTCGCCTTTACGGCTTGCCCTTTAGGGAGTGCAGCAACAGCCCGACCTATCCGCGCCCATCTATTTGCGACGCCTCCCCCCCGCCCCCCCCAACTCCCTCCCTCGCCCTGAAGTAATGACGACTTAATAAATGGTGACACGCCGATGGCGCTGGAATGAGATGCCCATTGACAAGGAGCTTCCAGAGGCTTTCAGCGCCTGCCGGTAAAAATAGAAAGGGGACACGAGGCGCCCTGCTTGTGAGGACACGGCGGACAGCGGATAGGCGTCAAACGGGTGTGCGTCCAGTGTCAATGTGCTGTAACTGATAGGATGGTGCGTCTTCATCCAGGGGTCGATCTCCTACGTGTATGTGTCAGACAAAATGATTACGGTAACATAACCCCAGATGTCTGTTTCATAGAGGACATCGGAAATGTCCCACCCCGTACAGGCACACTGCCCTTCAAACCTTCCCACGTCTCCACCAGAAGTGCACACGCCTAAAAGTCGGACCGCTCGCATCCTACGTGGCCGAGCGCCACCGAGGCTAACTGAGCGCGTTTTCGATAAGCGGTGCACCAAGTTCAAGGTACGATCGCTCATCACTTCCTTTTAATGCCACGGGAGTTCCTCTTCCTGTCCAACAACAACTCCCTCTTCAGTGTGACGGGAGGTCAAAGTGCAACACCCTGACTCAGCAAATGACGCGTCCAGGAAGCGCGGGAGAGGAAACGGTGGGAGAGGGTCAGGAAAGATGGGCGGAGGCCCGGGGGAAGAACAGTAGCAAGCGGAGGCCGTTATGACGGACGGGCATTTCGGCCTGTGAGGTGGTGGACTGCTGACTGAGGCCTCGAAGCTGCTTTTTTCTGGCTGACGCAAAGACAATGCGGTCGTTGTGTGCACGGGTAGATGCACATGCATTGAGGCTGTATCCACGATTTGTGTGACACCATAAAAGATGCAGTGAAGGAGTAAAGTGACTAAAGTGACTAAGATTCAGCACATGGGTGAGTTACGTTGATGGCGTTTATTGCTAAGAGGGAGGATAAGATAAGACAACTGTGCAACGCTGGACTTTTCATCACTTATTTGGCTGTAAGGAGGAAGATCACCTAATATATCACTGGTTGTGCGTGCAGCGCGGCACAATCAAACATTTACCTGAAGGTGAAGGCCTAAAGAAAACAACAACAAGTGTAGGAAAATCATTATAGGTCTGTGCGAGCTGTTCATTGAGCTACACATCGCAGTATAAATATCACAGCACTGGAAGTACGTCCCTGTTAGCATTTCAGCATCAACTCAGTTTGTCATATTTTTCAAATTCCGAAAAAAGAGATTATTTTAACAGAAAAGACAGTGTGATAGAAAGCTGGTGGCGGCAGTTACACACAGTTTAAAGAGACGTACAAATATATGAAATCCTCCCCCCTATTTAATAACCTGTCCAGTCACGTGCTGAAACCGGTCTCTGCCCTTGCATGCTCTTTTTGCACTACTCTTACCCTTCAAACAAAGTGGTGGTTTCATTAAAAATCCATTCTCGAGCTCATTAACAATGCTTCCTCCGCACTAGAAGAGCCTTGGAACCCCGGCGGAGGGGAAATGGGAGGTTTTCGCTTCTCGAAAGGTCAAAGGTCTGCCCCCGGGTTTACAATGGGGGGGTCACGCAACCCCCGCAGCTTGAGTAATCTCTTTTAGCCGGACCTTCGCCTGCACGCACGCAGTTCCGTGTGCGCGCGTCCAGTTATTTTCCCGCATCCACTCTCGGGGACAAGTACGAGAGGACAAATAAACAAAAGTGGAACCACATTGCACCATGGGAGGGGAAACACGACCGAGCCGTAACATCTGCTGCACTGAGGGAGTGACGAAGGGGAAGTTGTTGGGGTGTATTTATTCATCGCTTATGCATTTCTATCCGTCTTCTGGTGACGGAAGTCTCCCGTGGAGGCCTGACTCACACAGATGTGTCCGCTCCGCTCGTACGGTGACGTTGGCGCGACGCGGATCAAGAGCCGCTTACAGGAAGGGAGGAAACCTGACACACTGATTCATAAAATCCAACCTTTTCCTCCCCACGTTGGTGTGGGGGAGGGTCGGTGGAGCGGCTGGTTTGCTATCAGCTGGCGTGCACTTGTTGAGCAACGACATGTCCTGAGGGGTGGGGGGGGGGGGTTTCTTCTGAGGTAAATTATAACAATAAACACTACTTTTACATCAATGGGCTTTCTAAATGAGAGCAGATGAACAGGGAGCGTGACGTTACAAATGAAATGACTGAGCGACTTCCGACTTTAAGATGAAAGAGCTTCTAACTTGTCCAAAAGGAAGCTCATCACGAGAGGTACCGCTGATGCGGAAAGGACGAATAGAAATCTTGAAGTGGGGGGGTGGGGAGGGGTGGGGGCACTAATCCGAGACCTGAAAGATTTCTTTAAATCGTATGTATATGTAAATGCTAAACACACCATTTGTGAATGGAGGCTTGTTGGGGGAGGACTTAATTTGGGGTTTGGGCTCAGACAACAGCGGAGAGGCTCATTATTTCCTCTCTATGGCCAAAATCAGAGAGCTTATGGGCCTTGGAGAAATCTGCTTTCCCTCACCCCTGCCTCTCATCTACACCCACAGGCCCGAATAGATCCCTCAAAGAGCATTAGCCACTCTGGGAGGCCGCTGAAATCAAAGTGTGACCTAATTGCGTGTGAGGCTTCGTTAAGGTGGAGCAGTAATGGCGGCACTAAAAGCATTAGGTTGGGACCTTGTATTTGAACATAAACAATGAATTAACTCTTTTGGTGTCACTTGGTCAAAATCTTTTCTTTAAAATCCCCACAC